ATTATAGCACCTCCGAAACCCATATCGAAATTATTTTCTTCAATTATCGATTTCACAAGTAATCTAACTCAAAATAGAGTAGTGCCTGCACATCTACACTATAGCAGAAAGCTTTTAGTGAAAATTTGAAGTCTCTAGCTATTGTAGTTGTGGAGATCTAACGCGGACAGCCGGCCTGCCAGCAATGACGAATATAATAGCGTATTTTTTTCAAAAATGCGCTAAAAAGTTCCGATGTTGTTTGTTAGTGAAATGTATTAAAGAGGAATTAATCAACTTTTAAAATTGGCAGCGCTTCTTTATTATATGATTGAAAATAGTAATATATATTATATAATGTCTAGATTCCTATAATATACCTACTTATTTTTCGCTTCTGATTTCTAGCACGCTGCTGTGCTTGCAGCTTAAAAATAAAGGCAATTCGTAGATTCATTTTACAGACATATATCACAAATTTCCAATAGAAAATAATCTGGTTTGTTAATTTATGGGATATTTTTCAAATTTCATTGAGTTTAATTACATAATCAGTAAAACCTCTAAATTGGAAACAAGGCAAGGAAATGTTTTTCCTTGGCTCCGTTTTTTTCCATTTTTTACCAGTTTCAATTCATCGAGTAGTTTATCTAATGATGATGATGTAACGCCTCCTTTGACTGAGCTATCAGACTTAGTTTATGAGGGGTTAAGTGGTAGAACAGACGTTTTTGTTCGATTAAATAGAAATTAAATAAATGCGGCAAATTAACTCTCGCGCTTATTACATTCGTATTTCCCAGCGTGAAAATAAATAAGTTAACATAATGGTTTTTACTTTTTAACGTAAAAAGTATAACGCCATACATATCAGCATTTTGAACAAAACATTCCCGCTTAGATACTAATTTTTTTAGAGTGCGAATTATCGCAGCAACCACGTCTTCAATTCGATACTATTATGTTCGTTTAATTACCTATGTCACATCAAAAGAATGACATTAAAATGAAACTTTAAAAGCCCATCGTTAAGCTTTTGGTTAAAATAATTGTCCAATCAATTTTGTTAAGTTACTGAAGCGTATCGTATCAAACATGTTTCGCTTTAGTAAATATTCGTCCTTCTGAAAATGTTAATAGAGAAATCGTACAAAGCCATCAATTATTTAACCATATGGTCCCGAATTCTCATTTATATTTTTAGCGTCTTTAAGCCGATTCTGGAATTATGAATTCCATGATATTCGCAATTGGAACCTCGAGGCGTAAACTCATTAGTCTATACAGAAAGTTAAAGTTCTATAAATGGAAAAAAGAGACTCCGAGTTAAAAAGTGTTATTACCGTTCGGGTTTACTATTTAATAATTCATTCGATTAATGAAGCATAAAGTTTAGCTTTCCAAATTCAATATTGCCATGAAAATGGGTAATTTGTCATTATTGCGAGATTTTATTGATATTTCCAGTTTAATGTCTGTATGTATAGGCTTAAATTAAGAGCCCGCCATTATTTTATGAAGTACGTGCGTAAATATTGGGCCGTGTAAAATATGTCCGTGTACCCAGGTAGCGGTATAAATTAAGTATTCACAAGGACCTTGTCCTGATAAAATTTAAAACATAAATCCCTTTACATTGTCTGCTCTTTCGAGTAGTTGAAGAAAATTTCATTTACTCACTGCTTATCTTCTATTCATAAAACTAAGTGGATAATTAACGTGAAGGAACCAAACTTCCACTTACAAACAAGATTTTCAGCCTCCATTTAGGTTGTATTTCATAATTAAGTATCTCGTTTTACTCGGAAGCATCCTTTATTCAAAACAAATGGTAAGTAGAGACTTTTCGGAAGCCCACGTGTAGTTTTACCAGAAGTTGACTAGTAATAGCTTAATAGAATATATGTATACAAATATAGGTATACAGAAGCTGCAGCAAAATTTTTTTCTACATATTTTCGTTTTCGTATATGTATTGTGGGCACTTATTTGCCCGTCTTGGTCCCCACAACATGCATGTGGAGGTTGTTAAGTTGACAGTAGAACATTTCGCCGTATTTTAGTATAGGTAGTCAAAACCCAAGATCTGTAGTAACGCATCAGATAGACAGTTTAGGGATCTACAGTTTTAGGGAAGGAATGAGAACAATAAAGGACGCTTGTAGTATACATATATTCAAAGGTCACCCAGATTTTGTAAGCAATGGAACAACGTCAACTTGTAAGATGATATAAAAAATGTTTCAAAATCCACTCATGGGTGTTGCGACGTAACATTACTGTAAATGCAGCAATCAATTTGTGAAAACCCGAAGTCTCTTGATGGCCTAGAGGCCGAGATCTCGATGGAACAGACAGGCAGATGACGGAAAATTGAGAATATAAGCGTTGGTTGTGTTGCGCTAAAAATGTATAAAAAGTCTCACTCTTTCAGTTTACAGTAAATTAAATCATACAGTGTATAGAACTGGTTTGCGCACCAAAGGTACTTCATTGGTAATTACTTTATAGTACGTGATTCGTTTCTACACCCTGTATAGCTTAAACGAGTATAGAAGGATAGAAAGAAAAATGTGCTTGGTCGCTACTTTCAATATACAAAACGCGTAAGATTCCAGGCCTCTGATTAATAGTGAGGTGGGCTATCTGAACAATAAGTTGAAATAAATCCGTTTCTCATTATAAGTACAAACCATAAATTATATTGAAAGGATTTTACAGTTGCAATAGGATTCACAAGTTACAATTCAACATTTTAATGAGATAGTCGTCCTGAAAAGTGAGGTTAAACGCGGCGAATTCATCTCTTTGCCAATTTTGCGTGTCGACGAATCAGGTGAATGCAAAAAATTCGGCGATGGGTGGGGGTGCGATATTACCCTTTCGAACGCGAAATGCAATTTCTCGCACTATGTATCTACGAGTTTAATTAAAGTAAAGTCAAATTGCTATTACAGGTATTTGCAGTAGAATGGCATGCCAATACTGCAATTAAGTTAAATAGACAAACTAAGATTCATTAAGGGGAAATTCATCTCTTATAGGGCGGAGAGGCAGCTACTAGCATTAAATTATATACATGTTGAGAACCGAGACATCTTTGAAGTACGTGACAAACACACGTCTTACTAAATCCTAAATCAAGGATGACTTTCTGGTGATTGTGGCTTAATTAGTGATGTGCTGTTGAAATAATTTATTCAAGAAGCATTGTAAAAAAAACATTTTCATTTGCAGATTGCATTCATGTTTTGTCAAACACCCTTTAAGGGTTTAGGTTTACTACTAATTCAACACACTATTATATTTTGTAATTTAAAAAATAATCAATGGTAATCATTCATTGACTAATTAAGCTATAAGTGTCTTTAATTGTTGTGTTATCGCGACTGTCTTTTTATTATCGCACACTAAAAACACAAAATAACTCAATCTGCACTAAAAATAAATGTAGGTATATATCTAATATCTATGCATATTTTCATGGAAGAAGTAAAACTTTAATTCAGATTGAAAAGGCAAGGAACATTTAAAGAAACGGTATTTTGCATTTTTATCATTTCCAATGATCTCCAAATAAGTGGTTAGGAAATTTGTTTTTAATGTTCACTTTAAAACAACCATGTAGGTGTTAATGGTGTGAACTATTAAAGATGATTTACATACAGGGTATAGGTAGAGTACAGTCATTATTTTCTCCTAAATATGGTGATTTATGTATACAGGGTGATTCCTATAGTACCTGCCACCGTTTGGGAGCGTGTAGGTGGTGCGTAGGGGAGTATTTTGATATAGGACACTTGGGGGCGGAAATCTAAAATAAGGGTGCCAGAGCCAAATTTACCTTCTGGAATTTCGCGCCTGTAGGTAGGCAACCCAACCGGCCGGCGGTGCACACGGAGCGATCTCAGGCGGCGATTTGTGGCTGACACTTGATCAGAATTTTGTTTAAACCCACGAAATCCCGTCTGCAACGACACGTATCAAGTGAATAAACACTATGGCAATAGTATAATAATAGTTGGCTAGATGTAGGAAGTGCATTGAGAACAACGGTGGCCACGTTGAACACTTGAAAACGTTATTGCTTTTGACTGTCGTTTTCCCTCCTTCCCTCCCATGTCGCTTCCTCGCGCTAACTCGCTCTGCATCGCTCCGCGCGAAACGTCGGTCGGTTGGGTTGCCTACATACAGGCGTGAAATTCCAGAAGATAAATTTGGTTCTGGCGCCCTTGTTTTAGATTTCCGACCCCAAGTGTCCTATATCAAAATACTCCCCTAGGCACCCCCTATACGCTCCCAAACGGTGGCAGGTACTATAGGAATCACCCTGTATAGTAATCCCTTTGATGCACAAAACCGGAAAAATCCACAGTCTAGCAATAGTACATTTTGGATTTAAACATTCCAAAATTATGAATCTGTTAACCGTTTAAGAGTTCAACTATAAAAAGATTTGAATTTGAGAACTACCAATAATACCTATACTGTCGGATTAAAGTATGCGGTCGAGTTTGAAGCTTAACACAAAAATAACCACATTGAGCCAATTTTATTGAACCTGGTATCTAATCAAAGCCTGTTTAATTCTATGTTATTTTAGTCTAACAATTATTTTATTAATTAATATTTGCCACGCCTTATCCAGTTCAAATTCTCAACAAATAAAATTACTCAACCAAAGCCCTCCAAATTTTAGTCTGTTATAAATTGAACAGTTATTAACGCACGTAAAAAATGTTGTTAATAAACTTGAAATAAATTGCCGATAGACCTTTAGATTGTTTGTTACATTAATCACTTATAATTGCACAAGAGGTTTGTATTTTACCGAGTAAATTTGGGTTGTTTAGGTAATGAAAATCTGTTGCCTAGCAATTAGACGAGAAAAACTGTCAACTAATAAAAATGTTACATTAATCTAGGAAATAGGTATTTTTATTGACTACCTATTTTATAATATCCATGTCTGTAATCTTGAATCGGATTGGTTTTAAATTTTGCTTACTAATACTACTCCGTTAAAGTCCTCTAATTAAGTTCGCCGCTTTCTCCGCAATCATTATGGTAGGAGCATTAGGATGGCCAGAAATAGCAGATGGCATGATGCTCGCATCGGCGACTCTCAAATTACGCACCCCGAAAACTTTTAATTCTGGATCAACAACCGCTCCCATTTTAGGATGTGGTCCCATTCGGCACGTACCAGTGGGATGAAACAAGCTAGTCGTCATATGGCGAATTTGACAATACCAATAGTCACGAGAGAGATACTCAAGATGGCTACAAGCGGGGAGTGTGATGTCCTTCAGTTTGGTGTCGATTTTTCGGAATGAGTTTGTGCGCGTCATCTCCATCACCATTTGGATGCCTTGATACAAAGTCTCTATATCTTCATTTCCCGCGTCCGAAAGTAGATTCAAGCGAATAGTGGGATAATGAAAAGGATTTGCTGACGTTAATCGAAGCAAACCCCTCGACCTCGCGTGCAAGCAGAATACAAAAAAGGTCAACGTATTCGCAGAATCACTGTTTGTGCCCAATATCTTAAGCGTTTCCTTATCCAGATTCCAAAAGTTGTCTGGCTTTTCGGTTTCTCTGCCCGGAAAAATTGATAAGATTACTTCAATATCGGGATAGTCGGGTATACTAGAAGCTTTGGTCGATAGGAAAGCCATACCATACACACTCAGAGGATTGGTTAAAGAACCGTCACCGGACACGTAACCTTTTACCAAATCTTCCAAGCTGCGTTTGGGCTGTGTATAATTTGTTAGAAACTGGAAATGTGTGAACGCGGGATGATCCTCTAGGTTGTCTCCTACAGGTAAGTTTTCAACAACGTGTATACCCATTTCTTGCAGGTGTTCCTCTGGGCCTATACCTGACAACATCAGTATCTGGGGAGAATTAAACGTCCCAGCCGATAGCACAACATCTCCCCGTGATTTGGCTACGTACAATCTTCCGTTTTGACTAAAAAGAACTCCGTAAGCTCTTTTTTGTTTGACCAAGAGTTTGATTACAAAGCTGTCAGTCAATACTCTAAGGTTAGACCTGTCTAAAACTGGCTTCAGAAATGCGTTAAAAGAGCTATGTCTTTGTCCGTTAAGTGTGTTTAGTTGCGCATTACCGTAACCTATTTGACTTTCAGCGTTGTAATCAATCTTCTCTCTGCCCAATTCCTTATTGGCCTCAAAAAAAATTTCTTGCTGTAAGTTACGCGCATTATAAGGTACCACGTTCAGGTACCCGCCCTTTCCACGGTAAGGTGAATCTTCGCAGACGAAGTGTTCCGACCTTTTGAAGTACGGCAAAAGGTCACGATAGGACCAACCAACGTTACCCTGACGCGCCCAGTTATCGTAATCCCGTTTATTTCCTCTGGTATGAACGAGACCGTTTATGGTGCCGCTTCCTCCGAGCACTTTGCCTCTAGGAATAGCACTACTTCTGTTTACCATGGCTGGAAACCTGCATGTGGTATTTTGCACAGAATGTCAAAATTCTCACCTAAAGATACTTCATCGTTCGGCACACTTTTGTAATTCCAATTAAGCTCCAAGCCCGAGAGGTAGGCCATCATTCCGGGAATATCTGAAAATTCTGTTGTATTTCCACCAGCCTCCAAAACCAAAACTTTTCGAAATTTGTCTTCACTCAACCTGCTCGCTACAACAGATCCAGATGTTCCGCAGCCCACTATAATATGATCGAACGTGCCATAATCTGCCGAGATTTCGTTTCACTATTTATCAAAATTAAAAAACTGATACCGGTATAAATATTGGAATGCGGCACAAATTTGGAGGCGTTTGTCGGAAGTGGAACGTTGTACGATCTCTTCGTTTCTTGGTCAATTATTTTGAGCAAATGTTCGACTGTTCCAGCGTCGCACCCTGCCGTTATGATGTACAAAACTATAGTCGTGAAATTTTCTAAATGCATCTCGTTGCTGCAGTGTGCTTGTACTGTACTACCTATATGACAGCAAGGTATCACATAATTAATGATGGAGCGCTGCTTTTTAATCTCAACTATTTGTTACGTAGCAATTACATTAGCATTAACTATGATAATGTGTGGGAGCACACAAATCTGTAAAGTACGACTAGGTACTTATATACTTAGTTTGTAAAAAAAAGTAGATTTTGTATGTAGTATCCTCGGAGTGCTACTTTATCGCCAAACAAGATGTTTTCATTTCCGATACCCAGTATAAATCGGAAATGGCTGAAAACCGCCAATCAGCGATTATAATTACTATTCCGTATAGAAAAGTATCAATTTTAGCTTTTGTTCCTCAAAACTATACGTTTTATCTTTTCCTATAAGAAAAAAATTGCGGACCATCAGAATAGTATTCGAAATTAGCGAGCAGGTACTATTATAGAGGCAAATGAATACGAATTTTGAAACAAGTCGAAAGTAGGTATAACACTTAATTAACTATCAACACAGTTTCTCATTAAATAGTGCATGGGGAATACAAAGTGTTATAAGGAAACACAAAAATTCTTTCGGAATTTTCTTAGTCCAATGTATGGGTACCAATACTGCGCCGAATGTTACGAGAAAGAAGTTTTTATGTGTAGTTTAGTACAGTAGCCACGACACATAGATGATTAATAGACCAAGGAAACAAAGTTGTAGGTGAATTGATGTCTACGTATATTCAAGTCCATCTATTCAATTAACGGTCAGCTTTCCTTAAATCTAAATCAATGAGACAAGCAAAACTGATGAGGGTTTACGGCAGATTAACAAACTAGTAGACCGCCAGCGAAGTCGTCTTTAATATCAAAGGCCTCCCCCGTAATTACTTCCACAACTAGTAAACTATAACTACAATCCGAAAAGACATATATACACCATACACTACACATACAAACATAATATACAATAGAGTCGAACTCTAATTAGTAAAATTTGCGAAAAGCACTATTAAGCATCGCCCGTATATCTTGTTAAGGGTGTTCTTCTGTTGGGCAAAACTACAAATTAAGCTCGTCTCGTATTATGCACTATTAATAACGGCGCGGCGTTAACTGACGCGCTCCACTAATTAGAAACGTTCCGGAGACCGAAAAACTTTTCTTATAAGTCCTAAAGTTTGAAAGGCACCTAGACTAATAGTATGGAACTCACACTAGCGTAAATACTAATAATTAATGATAAATAAATACAGTCTTGCGATGATGTCGACTAAAGTTCGAGGATACTGTTTTAGTTTACGGTATTGATCATAGTTTTTTAATACATTTTATATAATCAAATTAAGAATAGTGCAATCTAGAAAATAGTATTTACCGCATGTTGCACTTGTATATTGTCCAAATTAAAATAAAATGCAAGTTCTTGACAATCCTATCATTTTTTCTATCGAGTGATAATTTTAAGGTTAACTGCTATACGTAACGATTAAACCTTCAACACACTATCTAAAAAATTTTGTCCACCCCAAACATTTTTCAAGATAATTCCATTGAGAAATAAAAGAATTGCAAGAAGTAATGCAACAGGGCGCAAACCTACCTATGTTTAGTTATTGCTTATACATACAATCATTTTATTTTCCATATAGACTACATATAAGAGTATGGGAACGTCACAAAAATAAATAAATAAATAGATAACAAACAAATACGTGCAATAACGGGAGACTGAAATACACAGATCGTCTTATGAATTGACGAGATTCTTTAATACTGTAAAATGGGTGGTCAATGAGGAACTTTCTTAGATATCTTTTAAATGGGCGAAGAGAGGTCAGATTCTTGGCTTCTGGTGGAGACGGTTGAATAGCTTTATCATCATACAATTTTGGTGATTCTTCAAATAGCGTTGTGCTGTGCGAAGGTACAGTGAGGTTGTTGTGGTAGCGGATTTTCATGCCCTGGTTGATATCCTCGTTTGTAGTGAAAGCCGATTTATTCTCAAACATATTATACACCAAACAATTATACACCGGGTGAATACTTTCAAACCGAACATAGGGAATTAACATTGGAAAACAGTTTTTCGCAGCTTGTTGCTCCCCAAATTAACTTAGAGGGTCCACAATGGCGCCACTGGAAAGAAGATTTTTTTCCCATCTAACTAAATGCGAATTAGTTAAGTTTTATTTGTATTTTCTCATTATTTTATCAAAAATTCTCAAAATAAAATGAACTCAGAAAATCATGTAGCCATGACCCGTAGATTTAAGCATCCGGAATTGTCATATTGAAAAACTGTCGTATTGTCGATATTGACGGAATAAAAGTTTGATTAAATTTCATGAAATGTCGCACTCTGCGGTACCACTATACCGCCGTAAACGTTTTTTACAATAAACACTTTTTCCTCAATGGAATACATCGTAAGTATTGTAGTAAGTACAAATTAAAATTATTGACAGTTATCGTACCTTGTTTTCATGACTACCGTGATTTTTTAAACTAAGTACATACACATATTGACTACCTAACTTCGCAAAATAATAATTAAACGTGTAACTATAAGACGTTAATAATTTGCATATCATAAAACGCGGAAAAAAATCTTCTTTCCAATGGTGGCATTATGAACTCGTCTAAGTTAATTTGGGGAGCAACAATCTGCGAAAAACTGTTTTCCCATGTTAATTCCCTATGTTCGGTCTGAAAGAAATACCTAATGGCAATAACTCGTTCATTCCACTTAAATAAGATGTAATCGAAAGTAACATAGAAGAGTACTTAACTATTGAATAAAACCGTGTGACTAGTTTTGATGTTTCAAATAAAATTGATACGGAGTTAAAAGAGCAAGTAGTCCAGAGGAAAAGGAATGACCTTGAAACTATATCATTAAAAATAGGAGAATTGCTTAAAAATGTAAAAAGAACGTAAGTAAATCTAAAGAACAAAAACACTAATGAGAAGCAAATTTTAAAAACTGAATATAGAAAATGTCGTATTGTGAATAAAACAAAAATGATAAACAAATGTTTTCAATTTCTTTATCATTAGATATGGGAGTCCGCAATATCGGTGGCGGAGGCTAGCAGAGTAAAAGTTATGACAGGATTCAACATCCGAACAAGACCTGCACCATTCTAATTCTAATTCCTCTCACGAAAACGCTAGTTCCATTTATTGTTTACTTGCTAAGTAGCAAAACTCGAAAAATCTATCCATATAAAGCACTCACCTATCCATAAATAATTAATGTAAATTCGAATATTACATTAAGTTTTGAATAAAATTGTGTGACCGGTTTGAAGCAAAGATCAATTGCGCAATTAAGTAACAATTCATTTAAAAATGTATTAAAAAATTTAATTTATTTTTACATTCAAAATAATGCTAATAACATATTAATAAAGACCGTGATCTCAAAGGTCGAATAATTGCGAAAATTTACAACAACAAAGGATTAGATAAACTAATTGAATCTAAGTACATATATGAAAAACTTAATTGCATAAAACATTTTGTGAGAGATTTGATGAACGTTGCGGTTTCGGTAAAATGGGTAAGGGAAAAAGTTTTGGCTACCCAGACATTCATTCATTTCATTTTTTTGATAAAGTATCTAAAAAAATTATGTGACTGTGGAAGAGGTCTTAAACTGTGCCTCAATTCAAAAATTAGCCGCCTGCGCGATATAGTTTCTCTTAAAAAAATGTCGAGAACTGTCAAATTTTGACCAAAAAAGGTAACCTATAACAACGAAATCGTTAAAGTTGGGGGTACAACATGTTATATCAACAAATAAGTATTTTTCAAGTACATTTCAAATCAGTAACAAAATATGGGGTATTCCATTTAAAAAATGAAACTTTGATACGCCACTGGAATACATCACGCCCCTGGTAATCAACAATATTTTTAGAAATATGGCGACGGTAATTGTGTACAATTTTGCAATAAGACTTTTTTCAGGATCTTTTATGGTAAAGGAATTATAATCCGCGGGATCTAGGTGCTACACCCTGTACATTTAAGCTGTACCCTGGAAATATTTATTGAAAACGCCTATTTTCTACGACATGCGGTGTAGCAGTTAAAAATTGGAATCTCGTTTTATATAATTATTACTTGCTACCCTGGTTTTTCAGTGTAGAATCTCTTGGTGGACAGATAACACATATAAAATGTAAACGTAAGCGAAGATGCGGAATTATTCATAACAATAAAAATGTCATTAGTCAATGGTCATTAGACCCCTCACAAATTCTATTCGAGAGCAAATAAAGAGAAAATGACATCTATAAGCGCTAACCTACGAAAATAGCTTGAGAAAAGTAAGGGTTCGAGGTCTGTTTTCTCCAGTCGATCGCTTATTTCTGTGGCTCGAAGAAACTGAGCAGTTTATGTTTCATTAGGTACCTACTAGGCGTACTGCATTTGTTATATTATTCTTTTGTCCTAATTTGTTCATCTAGCTTGGAACTGTGGATCCGATCACTGTACAGTAAAAAAGCGAAATCAACCGAAAGCTTTAGGTACATCTGGGTCGTCGGGGATGAAAAACTGTAGATATGAAAACATTTGGCTCAATAATTAGAATGATGGCAATCAGCAAAATTTTTAATTAATGGCAACACGAAAGAAGCACAAATATTTTTTTTGAAAATTAAACTGGAGTTAATTTAAAAATACCTCATTTGTTCATCGTATTTCTCCATTCATATTCGTCAAACATTAAGAACCCAACGTATTGATGTAAATACATAACCTATATATTTCTTATTACAATTCATGCCCAAACTTGCTGAAAAAGTGTATTCCCAAGGAAAATCCTATTTTTAGCGTATTTTTCTTGTGAATTATGGACAAACGCGACGTTCCTCGAAAGAATTTTTTACTAAATTATTTATGTGCAACTTTTGTAAGTCCTCATGCGCTGTTGTGCTCTAAGATATTGAGAAAGTGCTTTTACTTATTGATGGAATTGGAAAGCATGGAAATTGAGAAGAGCGAATCATCAAAAATTTATGATCTGTTTAGTTTGCCTGGTTGTCGTATAAATTAAAGTAAAATTCCTTCGCTTTTAACCGAAAATGTACGTTACAGATTACAGCGGCGCGGATACAACAAAAAATGTGACTGCGGAAATAATAAGCCCGTCCCGAAATTTCCATATTATAATAATATATATTACGATATCAAGGCGGGAGTTAGGGGGTAGTCTTCGAGCCAAAATGAAGGAGAGCTTATTCGTTTAGAAAGAGTCGCGTCCGTTGTCAATGGCTGCTCCATTAGTAAGATGAATAGTTTCCTTTATGAAGTGCGGAATTATATGTATATACCTACCTACAGATAGGTAAGTAATGAAAATGCATATATTCGTACATCTACCTACTTCATTTTCTTTTGGCATCACAACACGCGAATGCACAAAAGGGTACTCTACAATATGACGTTTTGTATTTCGAAAAATGAGTATAGAATTTTTGAATAAGCTCGAGTCGCTTGAGAGATGACGAGCACGGAATCCAATTCTTATTCAACTAAATCGGTTATTATATTTAATTCGATCAATTTTTAAACCCGACGTTTCACTGAACGAGCGTGATAAGAGGTCGTGAGTGGAATTCAAACGCCAAAAACGAAGACGAGACTTTGTTTCGGCATCCGCTGGGTTTAATAAATCAGCCGACGAGGAGGGCCCTGTATATTTAGCAACGTACCTACGTGACTCCTGACATTTCGACTCGTAAATAAATTAACAATCTCGGTTTTCCTAATTAATCCGTTTCGTGTGGCAAAGATCCGCCGGGATCAAACGTCTCAGTTTAGATGGTGACATCACTCCAATGAAGTCGATGAAGCAAAATAGTGTGAGGGTACACGATACGAGATTAACGTCAGAGGAAAAAAGTCACCATGGCACGATTGGAATGCCTTCGACGATGTAACTTATTAAGAGTTTGTCAACGAAGCCTGGATAAAAATATTCTGTAGCAAGAACCCACCTCTGGAGAAACTACCCAGGTAAAAACAAATATGCATAAATTAAGTTGTAAATTACCACTTCTTAACCTCACAATTCCAGTAAATTGTTATGAATGTTATGATTTTATACAGAAGTTCAGTAAGTTTGTTAACGTAGTTGCTTGTATTATTATTAAATTTTGCACTTGCTGAGGAACGAAATTTATGCACAAATTTTACTTTTTTAGAACGCTCTGATCCAGCATACAATGCGCGTTATTTTCCAAGTAAGTGCTTGGGTTACAAGCGATCTGACGCGACCTGGGATTCCAAGCCCAAATTAATTTGGTTGAAAAATTAGAAACAAGAAGTGAGAGCCAGTGTGGATCACATAATTCCGAATGTGTCAAAGGCCTGCAGAGAATTAATTACGTGCCGCTCCACTGGACTCTGTAAGACATGCAAGTGCGGGAAGACTAATATTGCGTGCACAAATTCAATTGTACTAAATACTAAGCACATTAGATATACCAATTTTAAGAATATCGGGTCTTAAGCGCATGCAGTCACAGTTATTATATGCCGAAAAACCGCTACATGTCATTTTTACCTTTGCATAACTTTAGATGTACAATCGGCAACCGAATGTGGAAGGTATACATATGTTTGGTATTATTTTAAAGATCTTTTCGCGACCCACGCAAAATTTTACTGAAGAAAAAAAGTGTAAAAATTCAAGTGTCTGAGAAAAATGACAAAATGTCAATTTTTAGGGGTTCGAATCCTTATAACATAATAGTAACTCCTCGAAGTGGTAGCCTTTCGAAAAGTGTTTGTTAGGGTTTCGAGAAGACTCATGCAAAATTTGATGCTTGCATCCGGTTTGTAAATATAATGTCCAAATTTTACATTAAGCGACGTCACTAATATCATTGAATTCAATGCTAATATTAACAATATCGTATAGAGATTGTCTCATATACGTGGCAAAAAGCAGCAAACCGAGACGTTTCACTTGTAATATAAACAGTGGTTATGCTTTACTTTTCTTTCAAGTGCAACAAGATAAACCTAAACAGTTCCGCATGATCTAAATTCCTAGATATAATTATCGACAACCATATGTGATTTGGGGATCATATTAACATAATATGTACGTAGGTACTAAACTTAACAAGGCTTAACATGCTACTAAAAAATTTCGGAACTTAGTCCATCGTCGTTCCGAAATCGATAACCTACTAGAAGAATATATAATTATAAGATTACGGCAACACTCAATTGTTTTTATTTATATAAATATCTCAAATAGTAGGGCAAAGTTAAGATGCCAAGTTCAACAAATTTATACCTACAGCAAGCTCAGCTAGGTACCTATAATTAATATTTGAGATGTTTCGAACAGCACGTCTTTGTATAGCGAAAATTCGCTTTGTGTTTGAAGCATGACCCCATGCAATGATTGCACAGCTCATATGATTGCATGAAAATAACCATAATATGCAGCAATTGCAGTATCAATAGAAACAACCGACTAGATCTGAGCAAGAAACATACTTTTGACAATTTACTTGAAAGCTGATCACAGTGTCCAGACCAATTTAGCTTAGGATCAATATATACTCCCAAAAACTTGATATTTGGATTGTTTATATTGTCCACATGCTTTAAGATGAAAATGCATTCTACTGATTTATTTACATTTAATTTCAGTCTATTGTGTAATAATTACGCGAATGTGCATTCGGTCATCAACTATAACATAATAGTGTGGGGTCAATCATCTCAAGTTAACAGGGTTCTCATCGCACAAAAGAGAATTTTAAGCCCAATGTACAATATTCCCTACAGTCAATCCTGTAACAAAGTATTTAAAGCAAAATGGATGTACATTTTACAGGTACTAGTGACCATGCACACCCATGACACCAACACTCACTTCTGAACTCCATGGTTCATACATACAACACAGCCAAAGGATAATGTTCACAACGAAAGGCCAACGCACGAATTCTACAAACAATTTCCTAATTACTCAAAAAGTTATCTATTTAATTTGCTACCAGCCACTTTAGTTATGGCGTGCCCTCAACTGTGATATTTAGTTCTTATATGTGATATTTATACCTTTTTTTAAAATCTGAATTCTAGTCCAAATCTTATTTATATGTATACATAATTTTTGTGGTGTATATGACGATGTCTTTTGAAATAATCCACAATAAATATTTGAATTTGAATTCCGTGCTATAGGTACTGTCTTTTTCTATCGAGTTTTTGTAGAGTACCGCGTGAAACCCAACAGTGATGGATATCACCTTTGAGTATGTATAATTTTTAAATTATTTTTTCGTGTAGTTAATAGAAAAGTGACGCATTGTTAAATCAAAAATCGTGAAGAAAAGTGATACTTCTCTTGTTAGAAACACTTTTTTTCATTCATTTTGTTTATTATTGTAAATCATAAATGAACAATTTGTTAAGTTAATAAATATTACCTACACCAGAAGATGAGGAAAGCGACCGCAACGCAGTCAGTGACTAATTAGAGTTAATTATTTCGCTTGTTGCTTCTGTTGTAGTCGACGTTTTAGATATTGAAGAACGGCTGTGGTGCGTCAACACTGCGTCCGGATATTTAGTTAATTTTGATATCTATCGGAGAACTAATCCCAGGCGACGAGGTGACTATGAAGGAGCTTTTAGAAATTCAACAGTTCCTTTTATCCTGATGCTGAATGATTTACCCACCGATCAAAAAATTACCTACCATATATAACTCTTTACGTTCAACATTGACACGATACTATACCGGAAGTCGCTCGCATCTTAAGAAAAACATAGATTGTAGACCGGGATCAGATGTTCTGTGACGAGAGGTTTACATAAGCTCTTATATGCCAAAAGCACGATGCAGTACATATATGTCTTAGTTATTTAATGACCTCCGTCATTTCACGAATTAAACGCATAGTGTACTTTACAGGGCCAAGCGATTGGATTCCCTTCCCCTTCGAGATCGATAAATGATATCCCTTATCGATCTATAAGGGGAAGGGAAACTAGCCCACACCGCACACGTCAAATTGTCAGCGTTTCACTAAATGACTAGGCCTCGAACTAGGCTTTAGTGAAATGACGGATTTCACTAAAAGCACAGAAAAGACAGCCGACTATGAAAAATGTTTATAATTGCACAAATTTTCATTTCGTTTCACACAAACCGTACATTTTACGTATAGGTATAGGTAGGGATATAGCACTCGCTTCAGTACAGAATCCATTTGTGAACAAGGGTGGCGGAGAGGGTATCTACGTTTTATTAAAAAAAATAATGAGTTTACCTCGTTTATCTTATAAAAGAGAATTTATTTTGTAGAGGCTCAAAATGTCTAAGAGAGTGACATAATTCAAAAATCGTTCGATTTAGGTTTATTGTCTCTTGTACCACTTACCTACTCCAAATTTTGCATCCATAAAAAAATTCATAAAAATTAGGGCATCTCGTTTAAAAAAACGACATGTAATTCAGCTGCAAGTATAACTGTAAGTCGTATAAAACTGGGAAGAAACTTAAAACACCTCATCCTACCCCTAACTTTACTACAGAAAAAAACAAATTTACTATGATAGAAATTATAATGTTTCTAATTATAATAATTATAATTTATAAAATATAAACGTTGAAGATGTGGATTTATTCACTACAGTAAAAATCTCATTACTTAATCTCCGATTATTAAACATTTATTTCGCCATCTAATTTAGGCAGCTTTATATACTCCGCTCAGAAATTTTATTTCAGTCCATAGGCGCCTTAAACTTATATTATACAATAAGATGCTAAGTAAGTTTAATAACAGATTTAATAGGTGTACTAAAGAAACCGGTTTGCAGTTTATCTATACCAAATCTTTAATCTCAACTTTTTTTGTGTGCAAATATTGGGAGGAGGGACCTAAGTATAAACTTTTCTCTAACTTTTACTACCTTGCGTTCTGCTCGTCTTCTCGTCTTAGGAACTAAAATTGTGGCAAACTGTCATACAAGTGTTTGTAAAATGCACTTATTAGAGAATAAAGCGCGTTGTGCCACCAAAAACTACCATTTCTTGCTTCGAACATATTACGTCAACAAATCGCGCGTCATTTGGCACAAAATATTCGTATACAAAATCGACGGCCGCTGAACGTGTACTAAGAGGAAAACCGGTGAAAAGTTTTCGCGAAATGGGAAATCTGCACACGCGCGACGCCGCTGCCGGCACCGACGCCGCTCGGAAAAGAGGCGTCCTTCCTACTTGTACAATGCTCTAAAGTTAAACAATTCACTACCGTGTCTATAGAAAGTTAATAAGTGTAGCTCAACAACAATTAGGATTGCAAACTTAGTTAACTCATCTAAATTATCCCATTGCAATAATATTTTTGGCGAAAAACGTACGGCCACGGAATGCTGAGTTCCTAAGACTTTCCTAAATGCGACTAAATTTCGCAACTTAAAATAAAAAAGGTTAAATGCACCGAAAAGTTAACTTCTGTTTGGAAGGACTTATAGGGCTTTTTAAATGTCAATGTATTTTGACCGGGTAAGCAAATGTACGTAGATGTAGCGACTAAGCGTTAACATTAACTAATTTCGCCTGGTTAATTTCTGAGATATAAACTTTAAAGCAAATTAAGCAGTTGCTGACACAGGCCTAGGAACGTATTCCGCCTATTAACTTAAATTGCACTGTAAGAACCGCAAAGTTTCTAAAGAGCTTTAATGTCCACTGTATACTGGGAGCTACAAAATTAAAATACTCACACACTGCACAATTTAGGCATGAGATCTATTTGTTTATCTTTTATAAATACCATAAATAGTTTAGGATGTTTGTCCAACTATACTTCCGTCTAGTAAGCGTAATAAGTGCAACTTTTGGATTTCTTGCAGAAACTTTATACAACTAACAACTTAAATGCGTAATACTTAGTGTTAATGCAAACATTTGAATTTCAAATATACGTAATAAGCTTATTTTTTCATTAGAGCTTTCATCACAGTGTTTAGGACAGAATGGGGGAAATAACACCTTGGAATTGTCGAATCGAAAAACTTTCGTGTCGTTTATTAAATTTATAAAATAATAAACAAAAGGTTATTACAACGTAATTGAAATTTTGCGCTTCGCTAAAGTGGTTGATTTTTCTTAACTTTTTTCCTCAATTCTATTTTCTCGCTCTATGACTTTTAAAATCAATTGTATGTCGTAATAATTGTTTTATCACAGAATAATAGCTTAAATTCAATTTGAAAACATCACCCGAGTAAGTTATTAAAACCATGTGTGCATTGTGTCACCTACATTGCTAGTCTTTGGTGTAAAATTCATGGAAAATCCATGGCAAATAGTATTATCAAAGTACCTACACAGTGACGATGTATATTGTATGCTTCATCATTACTGTGTGTCGTTGTAAAATATACACTGTGACAAATATTAATTTATTTATTCCGTATGAAATAATTCATGCACGGTGGAATGCTTGCACTATGAAAGAGCAAAATAGCATCCCTGTCTACTTCTACATGAATATCACTGTATACAATTTTCTTATGAAAGAAAACGTTATTATAAATTTTAAGTGCTACAGAATTTAGTAAATTCCATTACTTGCTACACATAGGGACGCTGGATGATCATGAAATACATTTCATATAAAACCTATAATAGAATAATATGGTTTATTTTGTTGCTGTATATTATTAAAGACTTTTTTTTAAACAAATTTTTAAAAATATAACAAACAGAAAATAACGAACACATCGCCAGCAGTTACAAATTCATCGTCTGTTAAAAACGATTCAACTATTAAGTATTACTAACTTTTTCAAATAGCAAAAAAATGAGTAGTGTTATGATTATGAATGTGGCGGTCGGATCGATGCTGGCAGTGTACTCTTGTAGTTGTATGTGCTATTTTCTGTGAAGCAGACACTTTCAAGAATGTACAACATTCCAAGAAATGTTAATATTTGCATAGCCTTGAAAGCATCTCGCCAGTCATCCAAATTCGGCCTGCGCGATAATACAAGTTGACTTAACGATAATCAAAATTATCAATAAGTAAGCAGCCTGCTCTGTCGTCTCAATGACAGCGGCTACCATATACGCTGGGGTGTGCGGAAAAACCGACCATATGAGTTCATTATTTCTACCATTGTATATGTACATACACTGCCTCTTTTTTTGACCCGAAAAAAAAATTGTCTCAAATCGACATTCTTATAGAATGTGGCCTGTAGAATCCATAATTTCAAACAGTTCCAAGATTGGGCTACTAGTTCAAAAGTTACAGCCCTTTGAATTTTTTTCTAGTCTATACCTTTGGATTGATAAGTCTGATCGAAAAAGTACAAATTGATTTGGATTCTACGCACCAAAATTAATACGAAAAAGTGATTTCCCGAGAATTTTTGGTGTAGTCGATTTTTGAGCCCCAAAGAAAAAATTGTCTCAGATCGACCCGGAAAAAACATTTTCTTATAGAATGTGGCCTGTAGAATCCATAATTTCAAACAGTTCCAAGATTGGGTTACTAGGTCAAAAGCTACAGCCCTTTGAATTTTCTCGTTCTTATTATTCCTTAAATGGCAGTTCAAAATGTACGGAGTCTTGTGTCTTGCAAGATCTGTAGAGCAAATGTAGTTTAAAGGCCCGGTTTTTGAATAGATAATTTAAATACAACAAGTACTACTGCGCCATCTCCTTGGCAATCGATACACTATCTATCAATTATAGTTTTAGAAGTCTAGTTGAGATGGCGCCACGTACGCAACTTTTTAAAATTTTATTTGAATTTATGCGATTAATAGCAACGTCGGACTTATTATTCCTTAAATACAGTGCCGTTTTTAGTTTTACGGGGCCCTGGGCCATTCGTTCGTGGAAGCCCTCCTTACCCTCAATAAAAACGGCAGATTGGGGAGATTCAAGCAAATCCCTAATTTGAATATGGGCACTGGATATTTGTGTAGCCTGGTTTGTAGGCAACACATCATACTCAATGAACAGAAAACATTATTTTTGCAATTCGTAACTTCTTATGCATAGGAGTTTATTTAAAGCCCTTGGAAGAACAATTTCAATAACAGGTACATTAAACTGAACCGTTTTGGTAAAAAAGGAAGGTAAAACACTGCCTTTTTTGAGCCCCGAAGAAAAAATTATCTCAGATCGACCCGGAAAAAAATTTTATTATAGAATGTGGCCTGTAGAATGCATAATTTCAAACAGTTCCAAGATTGGGATACTAGTTCAAAAGTTACAGCCCTTTGAATTTTTTTCTAGTCTATAACTTTGGATTGAGAAGTCTGATCGAAAAAGTACAAATTGATTTGGATTCTACGCACCCAAATTAATAAGAAAAAGTGTTTTCCCGAAAAATTTTGGTGCAGTCGATTTTTGGAAAAAAGGAAGGTTATATGTTTACGCGCAGATTTTGTAGATCTAGATTCTAAAGCTGCACTGCTCCCCTTCCAGCTGCTAAGTCCCCAGTGTGAGGGTCACTTAGATCTTGAATGAAACAAACAAGGGTTAAAATGCGATCTTGTGAAGCCGCCAATAGGTAATTCATAATCCTAGAACATGGCCGATTGTGCTCCAGCCCAAGACCTACGGCACAGATAAAATACCCAAAATTTTATCTGTGCCTACGGGCACCACACGAAGTAAACTCAGAGCGTCCAGACTGTTTCTTGATATGTATGTTTTGCAGATTTAGAATGTTATGTGAGAGCTAGGGTAGTTTTTAAAAAAATATTGGTTAAATCGAATAAACTATTTACATGTGATTATGGGGTTACTTAACCTTTATTATTTAATAAACTCACTAAACATATTCATCAGTTTATTTAAGCTAGTACTAGTAGTAGTACCTAGTCTGTAGTGGTGGAATTTGAATTTATTACTTCTATCTATTTTTGGAAAGGCGTATCGAGAGTGCTCTCTGGTGAACGGCATCGTATGGTAGTTGCTAATATGTACCCAGCAGATGAAAATGTCCTCTTCGACTCAACACCGGCTGACTTAAGTAAACTATTATTACTACTGCCGCTCAAGCGGCTCAACTTCGTCATGTGCTTCAAGATTGATCTCCAAAAATGTCCTCTAATTAATGTGTGAAACTTAATTTTTTCTAATCGCATTTTATCAACAATTATTACTAATAGTGATGTAAAAATTTAATTAATATAAAAATACATTAGAAAACCTTTATGATTATCACATAATTTTAACAACCTCTATTTCTTATACACACACTTGCCAGCTATCCATGTACTTAAGAGACTTAAATCTGAATCCAAAAATATAAAATCAGCGTCAACTCCAAAATTTAAAGTGCCTTTTTTGTGTACTATTCCTAATGCTTCAGCTGGATGTAAACTTGCAGCTTCTAAGGCATACTCTATAGAACAACCTGTAGCAGATTGACAGATATCCCATGGTCGTCAATTTGCAAAATTTACCCGTTGATTGTAAGAATATTTTTACACATGTATCCATAGTCGCAATACTTCCACATAGTGTATTGGTACCGGCCACAAGTGCCATTCCATTTTTAATTTCTACTGACAACTGGCCGATGTTATGTCTCCCCTCTTCCAAACCCATGGCAGAAACTGCATCTGTGACTAAAACCAACCCTAAAAGCGGCATGTAAGTAAGTAAGTTAAACGAGAGAGCTGTTTTAACCATCAGGGTGTATTCTGTAGGCAATTCGTAAAGCCGCAGGGTGAGTGTGAATCCCATCTGATATAATACCGAAGTACACGATCTTGTCCACTAGGGTGTTATGCGACGCCAGAAGCCCTACTAATCCCGGATCACGGTGATGAAACTAAAATTTGTTGATCATTGAATTGCAACAAAAGGTATAGTCTCTTGTAAAATCAATGGTTCTAGAAGACCAAAACTGCAACATAAGCAACTCGCATAACAGTATCCCCTCCAATTTTGTTAAAGTTTGATTTTTAGATGTGGAGCGAGGATCAAATGTGGTTAAACACATTTTGGATATTACATACCGAGTGATATACCTACTACAAAACTTACTGTACATAGTGAACCAATTCTATTTGTAACACTTCTGCGGTTTAATTACCTTTTTTATTTTGGTCAACAAAATTCATTATGGATACTTTATATTTAAACAATGATCAGGAGTATTTGGAAGCTACATGTTATGTCAAGCTTTAACATATTTTTAAGATTATCAATCCCCAAATATATTTTCCAAGCTCATAAATTATTCACATACTGCACTAAAAAAAGTGAAACGCATATTGTAAAGATCACTGAACTGACTGGACTCACCCCCTATGATTTACTACTAAAAACATGGAAATGTATGTCAATTATGGATTTTCTTTGAAAAAAAAAGGGAAGAAACTTTTCAGGGCGAATTTCAGGAGACTGTTTGATGAAATGGGGATCTAATGGTATTTATCAATGCTGCAAAACCAGGCAGCAAGTTAAGGTCTGCCAAAAGGACCACTGCTATGAAGTAAATAATCTAATGATATAATCCTCTTGCCTTTGGTGTCGGTTTCTCTGAACAGTAGGAGTAGGTAAATGTGCATTTAGACTTTAGCTGTTTGGGAAATGAGAAAAAAATTCAAAAAGCAATTTAAAAATTTATAAATTATGAATTCATTCAAATTAAACAAAGCTGTTTTCTCCCTCGATTTCTTACAGTATCGGAGTTTGGAAACAAATCGTGTGTAATAAATCTACTTTTTAAACTGCAACTCAAGACTCGTATTTCGTGTTATTTCCAAGCTAATTGTAGACCAGCTTTTGTAAAACTTCAGATTCTGACAATACCAAGTCTTTTTATTTTAGTGTGTTCGTCACGCAAGGCTAAATTGCTATTAGCTGTGCAGGCATACACATTATGACACCCATAATAATATCAATGTTACTATTCCTAAATGTCGTGTAAGCAAAATTCAAAAAGGCTCAGACTATTTAATTGTACACCACTGTTGGTATGTGCGAGCTCTTAATTTTACAAGAGACTGTACATTCTACATAGGCACTCACAGGAAGCATCGCATTAAAAAGATGAGTGATTAAGGTAGCCCCACTGCTTATAGCGCTTTCGCCATCCTTCAAACTGGCCATGGAATGACCTTAACAAAAATTCTTATGTTGCATAGATTAATCATAAGCAAATCGAAATGTAACCTACATACCTACTGATACCGTTATACCTAAGCTAGTTAGTTTAGATATGACTTCATTTGCGTGTTTTAACTCAGGTGCCAGCGTAATTATTGAGACATTTTCTAATGTACTGTAAGTTTGAACAAGACTTTGAAAACCCTAAAAGCGTTAATTGTCACGAAGGTTATACCATATTAAGAAAATACTTCATCCAAATCCTTTATGAACTTGGGTGGATGGGCCCCTTTCTTATTGATATTAATGAACGGACCTTCCAGGTGTATGCCTAATACGGTCGCACCATGCAAACCTCCCTGACTTTTCTTAATTTGTGGCAACACATGCTTGTAGACATCATTTGGTGATGTAACAATCGTTGGACAGAACGAGGTCACACCAGAACTTAGTAAACTTTTTGCTACTCTGCCAAGTCCACTGTCGATATTATCACAATTGGAGAAGTCGACTCCAAACCCACCTAAAATTATAATTGTAATTTGTGAAAGCAACAGGTGGTAGTCTCACCGTTTATTTGTATATCAATAAATCCAGGTGCTATGATGCAACCATTGCAGTCAATGACAGTGTCTGCTTTAATTTTCTCATCGAAAAAAACATCTTCGGGATTAATAATTTTGCCATTTCGTACCCATAAATGCTCCTCAGTTAGAGTATGGTTTCTCAAGATTTTGCAATTGATAAACTGGATTAACTCTGAAGAGGACATTTTTGTGTTCAATTTCACTTTTAGTTCAATCACCTGCTTATCAACGTTTCATGAGTCAATGCCCTAGATTTGATAAAAAAATGTTTATGAGAAATTAGGTTATCTCATATACAGAGTGTTGAAGTGTTGAGACATCAGTGGAAGGCGAGGTGGAAGGGATAATCGACTTTACGTTATCGTACAGCACCGCTCTGATGTATACGCATATCATCGTATGTAATTTTTAATCGGTTTAATCCAATTATGAGATATGTATTATTTCATACAATCATACATCTCGAGTTTAATTGAATATAAAAATAATTGTGGCAATAATATTGTAGCCATAGCACAACTTACCAACCTGACGATTGGATCTCCTACCCACGACGCTTGCAAAAAGTAGCAGGGTCCTAATGGAACTCATAGTTGCGCGGCCTACAAAAAATACCCTGAGGAGAACATGAAAAGGAAAGAGTTCAAAAAGGTTTATCCTCAAATGAACTATAGTAAATCTAGAAGGCGTGCAGTAGTGAAGCCTCACTTCTAGGTAATAACACTTAAACGGCCGGCATTATTGAAGCATACTTAACTATGTTGTCAGTTTAACAATGTTGATGGTTATAATTGATTGGGTATTTTTTCAAAGAATAACATCATTTTTTGCAAAAACATCCGATCACTTACCTTAACATCAACATTGTTAACCTGACATGACAACATACGGTTTGAGGTGTGGGCCTCCCACAGACAGGAGGTACCACTAAGGATCCCAAAAACAAAATGGTGTGAAAAACATAATCTGATCTGAGCATTGATCCCTCTAAGTACAATCGTTTACTAGATGCAGGAAGTTAGCAAAGCACTACTGCTGGGCTAGGAGGTCTTACCATATTGCTCACCCACATATTATTTATAACCTAATATTTGGATTTGTTTAAATAAGGTTATCTTAAATCCTTACCGTATTTGGCGTGATAATAAGGCTTGCTTTAATAAAGGAAAACGCACGAAACCCCCTATTGACCTTTGTCAAGGAGCATAATTCTCATAGATTGTGCTCTTTAATCTCCGACTGGATTATCGGGCCAGGACCTAAAAAATTTTTTAACCGCGATTTGAACCTTACCTACAATACAGATACAGGTGCACTTGTGCTCAATTTAACGCCGAGCCAAATAAAATTGTTAATGAAAGATCTCATAAATGAAATTGGGAGACAAAGCAGTAAATCGGAAACAGAACAAAAAGAAATTAGCGAGAATTCTTTATTAATATTTATTCAAAAAACCAAATAACTTACAAATTAAAACAATCGTAGTACATAGTAAATAAATTAAAGTTTCCAAAAATATGAAGCCTTAAAACACAGCTCCTGGAACCCTGAATAACCATATTTGTAAACTGAAGGCAATATAATTGAAAATTTGGGAGCGTCGCAAAGGACTTACTACAAAAACCGTATCCGTATTATTAGAAATGCTTAAAAACCTTAAATGTAAATATAATACATAAATAATACGGTAAATGAGATTGTATAACGATTAGTTATAGTGTATATTCAATTTGTTCAAGGATGAGAATTTTCGCAAACAGGTTAAGCAGAGAAACAAGAGTGCTACTATAGTAGGTACATATAAGTCAGTCACAAACCGACGAGTGATTGTTACACAAGATTAAATCCCTCTCAAATTTACACTGTGCTTCTCGCGTTTTAAAGAATTGGAGGTGTACGAGAAGCAAAGTGTTTATAATACATACAATGATAGGGACTTTTACATCAAAAATAGTTTTAAGTTCTATTAAAAAAAATTAAATGCCACAGCTCAACTGCTCCTATCTGGCGGGTAATAAAACAGAATTTGCTGCAAAATTCACCAACAACCATTTAATAAAGCAACGAAGATCAAATACCTATAACAACAACACTACGATTAGTTTACGGAGAGAGTGGTTGATTTTATTGCCATTCAATTCTGAAACACGAGACGGCGTCCAAAATCTGTAATTACCCGCGCTAGCATTTTTCACACGCTATAAATCTACGAGCTTAGCAGATTATGGAGCTTTAGCAAATATCTTACGCTAATTTATGAAAAAATCTTTGGAGAGAAATAACAATATTAGTTCAAAAATGTATACTTTGTTAATTCGTTTAATATGACATGGACTAAGACACAGTGAATTTATTCGTTCGATTATATAATATTTAATATATTATTTATAAGTATAGTATAGTGTATATTATTTTGACACAAAAATAATTTGGTGTCAGCAAAATTCACAACTCCCTGCATAATACACACGACTACATATGAAGATTGGGCACCGGGATGCGGATACGTGATATGTCGACCCAAGCAAATGAGCAAATGCAGGCAAAAAAACCCACCCATACTTAACTATTTGTACTTTAATAGACTAACAAAGTGGAAATACGAACATGTGTCGATAATAGTAAACTGGCGCAGGGCGGCAAAAAGGCTTGGAATGCTCTACCTCAATGCCCTATGCAGAATTATTGCACAGTTCCTTTAAAATTGTCAAAAAGATAATCTAAAAATTACATTTAGCTCACAACCATGTTATGTATTTATGGTCTGGTATGATTGTTTAGAGCCGGCTGCGCCATTAATGTAACGGTCATACGTACGTCTAACGTACGCTCTTTTGTTATTAAAATTAAGTAACAGTAATGTGATAGAGGCTGTTACAAGACTTACGAAACTAAATTACGCTCTTGACGATCAAGTGCCTATGTCAGCCCGAGAACACAGTGTTAATCTAGACAAACCTAAAGCTAACTCTAGTCTAAACAAACGCAAAAATAATACGATACCAAACTAAAATACGCTAATGGAATGATCGCAACTTACTCACTCCAATACTGACTGACAAAATACTTTATTGCTTAAAGTTAGTGAAACGTTCGCTAGTTATCGACAACAAAAGTTTAACATTTTAGTCATGTATGTATAAACATTATGGCAAAAAGTACCGGTATAGGAGTATCTAAAATGACTTGTACACATACTAAGACTGTGATTGTAAAAATCATCAAAAATCTATCACATTGACAATATATATATTTATATAATATATATTACTTTTAATTTAAAAAGATAAAATTTTGATGTTAACAACTATCTATACCACATTCACTTCTTAACCGCCGTCGACGAAGAAACAGAGTTACAGAATTTCATTGAGATCAGTCAAGACAGTTTAGGTGCAATTTTAGAGCGAAACAGCAAGCGTGACCCGTTTCAGCATCACGGCGGTGATGATTCGCCGAAATGAAGGTGGTATAAAAAATATTCTAAATATATAAAATATGCAATTAATAATGTGAGCAAATGCTATGTTATCACTATAGCACGTTGATTTTTAGATGTGATATACGCACACATATATATCAGTGTAAATAATATTATTTGGTAGATACTAAAAAGTAAGAACTATTATGTCAAAAACACTGGTTTACATTGTGAGATTATTCACATCACATTTAATTTTGAAGAACAATCCTTCATGAACAAATGGTGTATATAAGATACAGTTACTTTTTATACATAAATAATCTGGTTTAAAATTTGATTTTTTTTTATTTTTGTATTATATACATATACTTTTAAAAACAGTTGTGTGTGTACAGCATGACCGCTGAAAAACAAAACGGTAGCGTGCCACACACAAAATAACAACAAGAGACTAAGGTCACAACTTATCCTGAAGATACTATATCACAGGCATGGTTTTTCCACGGCAAACAGTAGCCCATGGAGAGTTCAGAAAACATACACGCACACGCAATCGTAACTTAAAAATTTTTGTAGCAACCCTAAAATTGCTTTGGAATCACAAGCTTGTCGTCAGGCTGATACCTAAAGACTTAACCTAAAATGGCACTCATCACGGAATGGCCGCAAGAAATTAACACACCAACCTGAGTGAAATTAGTGACAAACGCATACGCACCCATACACACCGATAAAGAAAAAAAATTAAATAAAAACGTAACAACTTAATTTGTGCTTTTCTAAATGAGATTAAACTTGGCACATGACTTCAAACACACGAATTTATAATTGACGCGCGTTAAAAAATTGAAAACATAATCAATATAGGAACCATGTTATGCCTGCTGCCAACAATTTAGACCTAATAAACATAAAATTATAACGTCCAACAGTAACTAAAATACACGTACGTATATAGATATAGATTTATGTGTAAATAAAACCTTTGGATCGAAACCGACTAAACTAAAAAATGCTTAAATTGTAAGTTCATACGACAATCTAAAGCTAAACTAAGATCAGTTCTGTAGATAATGAGAGATCATACTACTTGCTTGGTGTCTGGTCCTAAAGAATATATAGCGTGTTTAGAACCAACACGTGGTGGTTATTCTTTGCTAGGGTTACTATGTAGCCTTCTGATGTGATTTTCAAGCCACAGCACCGCGACACCTAATAAATTCTGGATTAGGAAGTGTCTCACAATTCTTTTTGGTTAAAATTTTACCTTGAGACAGCGAGTAAATGTAATCACACAGCAGTTATCTATAAGTTCAACTACGACTAAGTAGAATACAGGGTGAACTGACGCCCCCCCCCCCCCCTCCGACCAACTTCTAGCTGGAGGGACAAATCGGATACGAGATATGATAAATTTTTTTGAATTACATTTTTAGTTATTGAGATTCAAAAGTTTTATTAGAAGCCACGCCACGTTATTAAATGATAAATTCCATAGGCAATCATATATTTTTCATAGAATCAGGTATTCTGTGACCGCACTCTTTGGTGGCGAAACTTTTAAGTCACGAGCATCCCAACAATTTGCATATTTTTATTCATTTAGTATTGGCTGGCATGTTTTTGCCAACATAATCACAGTCAGTTTCTTCCTGTATTCTACTTGTCACGCTTAATAATGCCTCCGGCCAAAAATTGGGAGGGTTTGAATCACCTTGTACAATCAATGATGTTATTAAGTTGAAGATTCTTAGAAGTAATTACATTGAAAGAAAATAATCTGCAGATTTTCACTCACATTTTCAAGATCAAAATTTTAATCAAAAAGATCTATCTACACACGTCTCAGCACACATCTTACCTTAACATAGGGGCATTCAAATTCGGATACTAGCGAGCCATCGCGTGAAAATACGGCCACATGAAAACGATTTCCATGAGAGTCTCCAACCAAAACGTCTCCCGCATCAGATATGTCAATACCATTTGGAAAATTTGTGATGGTCTCGCACCCAATACGTCGCAAGAACGCACCCTCCTCACTGAACACAACTACGTTGTGACCCTTGAAGTCGCACACATAGAATTCCTTACCTATAAACAACAAATTAATAATTAACATTGAAAGACATTATCAGATGAGTTTAACTGAAACAGGAAGAAAATACCTTTGGCCTTCTAAAACTGTTTTGAATGGGAAGTGAGCTAGCTAATGACAATATTGACATGGATCAAAGCACCAAAGCATTTTGTCCAACATCATAAGTCCATTATTGTCCTTGACAAGTTCACACAAGCGACTAATAATTTAAAATCATACATATCACAAAAACCGAGACCAAAAACAAAGATACAGTGGAGTCTCAATAATTCGAGCCTTGATAGTTCGAGATTACGTATATGTAAAAAAAAGATTGGAGAAACCATTTTTTTATTCAATGCTTATAGCACAGTATATAAGTGCTTATAGTTTTTAATATGATACAAGAATTTTACAGCAAGGACTTGGTAACTTACTTCTACGAATCATTTAAAAGTAAAATTAAGAATCTGGTCCAAACGGTGTCCGTGGAAACCATTTTATAAAATTAAAATAAAATACAGAAAAATTACATTATTTTTTTGAAATTTTATTTTAATTTTAGTGTAGTTTCATTTCAATCGCTTTTATATTTTTAAAGTTCGTTTGAGTTTAAAATAAAAGAATATTATTATTACTATCGTCAGTATTTATATTGTCAGAACTCAGGTCTAGCCTGGTTAACTAATCGCATGTTGTGTTATTGTTATTATTATTATTAAATATCAACCTAACAGTTAACTTACCATGAATTGCGATGTCGGATGGTTCTCGCATGTAATCACTACAGTCAAACCACCTCAACAAATCCCCAGCCTCAGAAATAACAAAAACTGTGGGACTAACACTGTCAACAGCAACAATCTCACCGGCCGCAGTTACAGCCAACCCTGCCACTATATCGATGTAACGTATGGCGATCTTTTTTATAAAATGGCCACTCTTAGTGAAAATTTGCATACGTGAACGTTCATTGCCACGATCGCATACTACGTACTTTCCAGTCGAACGCATCACTGCCACTTTACGTGGATACCAGAGTTGCCCTTCCTCCTTACCAGGTATACCAAATTGAAACTTGTACGTGCCCGTCTTCTCAAAAATCTAAAAAAAATTACGATAAAAAACATGCAGAGCTATTGCAAGAGTTATACCTGAATACGATGATTGTTTGTGTCCGCCACAATAATGTCTTCTTCAAGTCCCAAACAGAAACCGTGAGGAGAATTAAACTGTCCTTTGCCAGGTCCCAATTGACCAAATTTACATCTTATCTGCATGGGGCTTACTTTATTACTACGTGATAAAGCAGTTGCGCTATTTGGTGCGGGTTGATTTACAATGCCATTAAGTGGATCGGCTATGATATCGTCTGGAGTTGAGATAAGGGGTGAAGTCGAAGCTGACACACCTCCGAAGCCATTTATTAAGGAATTATTCAGACCTATCGATGCGGCTGGTGAATTTGAGCGTATCATCATCGACCCATTGTCTAATTAAAAGATTTATTAGAATTTCTTTTGTATTACATACTAATAATTCATTTTACATAACACGTTAAGTTTTCACTTTAAATATACGAATGAAGCAAATAAAAGAGCCTGTTAAAATAACCTCATATTTTATTATTGAAATCACTCCAAATTTCGATTTTGAGATCTTTACGTTTCAAGATCTTAGGAGTCCAAGAAAGTGGTTTAAAAAAAATGTCTTCTGTTCATGTGTGGGTGTGGTGTGCATATATTGTGCGTGCAACATAAGTCTTGTAAACAAGGTTTACCGTACCCATTTGTTACAAATGTTCCCTTAAATGACTTTGAAAGCTGAAAATGGCAAATGCCTTTTTGGAGATAAAATCCATATTTTAACTTTGTAGGAGAAAAAGGGCCTTCAACAGATTTTTGCATTTATTTCTGCTATAGCTTTATTTATAGCCCATTACGAGATTTTCCAAATCTATTCTAGTCTCTGTCAATGATCTCAAAACGGCATGGAAATCTAGGACCTACGTTCTTGATATGTAATACGTTGCCCTGGGGAAGGCCTGCAAAGCCCTCGAGCCTAGAAAGTTCCAGGAGCGAATGTCGGCCAACGAATACTTGATGCATATATTGTTCTATAGTTCTATAGTTTAATATGAAAAACATACGATTGTAGACTTGTAGGGTTCAGGTGTTCTGTGACCGTCATTCTATTCTGTAAAGTATTATATAAAAGAATATTTCCCTCATATGTCTCCTGCGTTCGTGGGTCCACAAATATACAGGGTGATTCCTATAGTACCTGCCACCGTTTGGGAGCGTATAGGGGGTGCCTAGGGGAGTATTTTGATATAGGACACTTGGGGTCGGAAATCTAAAATAAGGGCGCCAGAACCAAATTTATCTTCTGGAATTTCACGCCTGTATGTAGGCAACCCAACCGACCGACGTTTCGCGCGGAGCGATGCAGAGCGAGTTAGCGCGAGGAAGCGACATGGGAGGGAAGGAGGGAAAACGACAGTCAAAAGCAATAACGTTTACAAGTGTTCAACGTGGCCACCGTTGTTCTCAATGCACTTCCTACATCTAGCCAACTATTATTATACTATTGCCATAGTGTTTATTCACTTGATACGCGTCGTTGCAGACGGGATTTCGTGGGTTTAAACAAAATTCTGATCAAGTGTCAGCCACACATCGCCGCCTGAGATCGCTCCGTGTGCACCGCCGGCCGGTTGGGTTGCCTACCTACAGGCGCGAAATTCCAGAAGGTAAATTTGGCTCTGGCACCCTTATTTTAGATTTCCGACCCCAAGTGTCCTATATCAAAATACTCCCCTACGCACCACCTACACGCTCCCAAACGGTGGCAGGTACTATAGGAATCACCCTGTATAATACTCTACCGCAATATATAAAGAGTTCTTGTAACCTGCAGCAATTTAAATGTCAACTTAAAAGAAAATTGTTTTTACTCCATCGCCGAATATTTCAAATTTTGTAATGAAAAGTAGTATGTTGAATTGTCTATTTTATGTATCTATTGTTTGTCATAGTTTATTGTCTCATTAATTGTTTGTCATATACCTATACTTGACGCTTCCTATAAAATATCGATAAATGTCAAAAGGAACTATAAATAAATCTAAATCTAAATGTAATAAATCCCATATGACGTGTGCAATTATCCCTCAATTACAGCGATAATTGCATTGCAGAAAGTGAAAGAGGCCCTGCGAAAATTGCACAGTTCATATCCATGGCCACTCCATTGGACACTTTGATAATACAGTACACAGACAATTTATAAGTAGGTAACGTCAATTTTACAAGTAATTTTTGTTCGGGAAATATTCCCCAAAATTACACTTGTGTATCAAAATAAACCTGAAAATTTTTTATTCAAGCATTCGGTCATTTCATATTTTGTTAAAAGAGCCCTCCACTTCTCTTTCGCCGAAACATGAAAATAAACTCATGCAGTTTTTAGACAACATGCTTTCAAAAAATTTTTTGATGCACTTGTGCAATTACCTATGATAATTTTCAAAAAATTGTACGTAAAGACATCAAAAAACAATGTTTCTCTTTTCCATCATTTTAAATCTAATAGATGGCCCTAAACCGAGATCTACCATCAAGGTTTCTTTCTTTCGATGGAACAATATTCAATTTTGCTACCCGAATATTGGAATAAACCCGCTGATTATTTATAAAGTAGACAAATTATATTCTTTGAAATTCAGGTTTATTTGCCTTAAGTCGCGCCAGTGAAAAGAAAAAGGGGACGGAACTGTGGGTATGTAAGTTGGGTTAAACGTATTTAAAAAGGAATCTTGCAATTAGCCTAGCTGTACTCGCTAATTAGGCTTGTGTTACTAGGACTAGTGATAGTTTTTTGAGTTTACATAATTTTTTCTTTAAACTTTAGCATGTGCAACATTAGAATAGATCATCTTTATTTCTAAACAAGAATAGTAGATTACATACCGAGCTGGGAGGTGGTTCATTACCTACCCCGAGGGCTTAAGGTAAGCGCGAGGCGTTGGTTATGAACCACTGACCAGCGAGGTTTGTATACTATTTTACTCACAATCGATCATTTAAGGTAAAGTATATAATTCAACAAGGTGTTACTTTAACTGTCAATAATAGTGACACCGCCAATGTAACCATTAATGTTTACAACAATAGCAAATAGTTTCGTTCTTCTTCGTAATTTGCTATTGTTGTAAACATTAATGGTTACATTGGCGGTGTCACTATTAGTATAAGTTTCATATAAGGATAATATGAATAGCATTTGCAGGTAAGGAAAGTGACAGATGCTAGCCGGGAAAGTTACTTTCCCGGCTAAGGTGAGTAATGAGTCGCTTCGCAACCGCTATGAAGGTTAGGAATTCAGATAATACTAACCGATTGTGAGTAAAATTAGTTACCTAAATTAGTTTGTACTCTAGTTTTAATAGCTTTTACTGCATCATATCAATCTCAAATTTATATTTTTTGGTAAAGGCTACACGAAATATATGAGTTTATTTGCGCATGTTTGCATTTTCATAAAGGTTTTTCTTAATTCACAATGACTGCACAAATTTTGTGCCTATCCTTTTTTAATGTTTGCTTGCTAACTACAAATAATTATAAGGACATATGCTTGGTTGGAACATATATTGCAGGAAGGGATCCAAACATCTCTGAAAATATCAAAATTTTAAAAATAAAAATTCAAAAGTAGAAAAAAAATGGTTATAGTGGGCAAGATATCGACAACGTTCTTTCAAAGCAAATTCTTCCTGGTTAGAAGAAAGCATATCACTCCCTACTATTGTTACTGATGCTGTAAAAGGTATTTCACTATGCCTGGACCTAGCCTGAAGACCACGAAACAATTTTGCGGATAACAGCACCCAACAAAAGACAGCAAGTGCAGACTATTATCGAAACAAAGTATTGCAGAGATCTCGATGGCAACTGAGATACAGCTTTGAACTTAAAAGTGTTCTTAAAACCACCTAAATTCATATACATGTCTACATAGTACGATTCAATAATAAAAATCTACACATAATACAAAAATCTGGCTTCAATCATTTTGTCCCGCTAGATTATGAAAATAACACATTGTGCACAGATATGAAGAATGAATCACATTATATAATCCTTTGGTGTCTGTCCGTCTGAATAATAAATCTTCATGTAGACTTTAATCTTCTGGGAAATGAGCAAACATTCAAAAGAAATTTAAAAATTATTAATTAATACAAATTAGGTAATTCCGAACGGATATCAAACATACTCAACAATTTACAAACAAATTCAAAGGAGTTTCCCTCTAGTGTTCTTATAATCTCAATAGTTTTGTGACCATTTGTTTGTAAATGAAGGAAGAGAACCTTTGAATGTAAGTCAGAGGCCTGTAACAGAAACTATACAATTGTAACAAGTCTATAAGTTACAGGTAATCTGCCTGTAACCTCTAAGTCCTAATTACTTCTGTATATGCAAATGAGTTGTGTTATAAAGAAGGTACAAATGTAAAATATATTCTAACAATTCTAGGACTTGTATGACTTGTGTTATAGGCTACTGATCTCCTGCCATAGAAACGTAACGCGCAATGGTGATTTCTGTCACTGTCGATTGCATGCGAGGATGATTTCTGCAACTAACTACATTGAGACGTGACAATCGGTCGCTTTATTCATACCCATCCTCTACAGAAAGATTAAGACACAGATATCTAATGTGGCCCTCCCTCAGATCAAGCTGGCGGACGAAGCGTGTGTTCCAGTGTATGTATAATTCAGGGTTACTACCACCCATGACTCACAACTTGGTAGAAATTTACTTACCTACTACAGAAATTGCATTGTGACAAATCACTTACAAATAAGGAGCCAATTTAATTCAAGTTGGAAATAATATTGCAAGGACCATTCTCTTGGCTTTACTGAGAAGTAACTTTAAGAGTGACGCATTTAAAATTGTGATGAATGATGTAAGCATGATTAAATTAAAATTCAATGTGATGATTGATGGTACAAATGTTCTTTGAAGACACATCTTTTTAATCCAACTTAAATAATTTGAAGGATAAAGGTTTAAGGACGAATTAAACAAAAATTAAAAACAAGTGTATTCAAAAAACATTTATGTTATAAACACGCGTTACAAATGGCCTACCAATAGCTCATGTGGTTACCTGTATTATTAAATCCTAACTTGGCGAGGGAGGCGAGGTTCTTGTAAGCATTTTCTGTTGAGAATAAGTCGGCTAATGCTGTGAACGAAGGTGAAGGTGAAGTTGCTGCACTGACTGTGCTTTCGGCTAAGCTTGCCAATTGCGCAATGTTGTATTCGGCCATGCTGGTGAAACCTTGTAATGTAGCTGCATTAACTGGCGGTGGCGGGCTATGTTGCAGGGAAAGTCCTTGAAGACTGGCGGCCAAATCTCCGTCAAAGGACGACTGCATTGAAGTTGACAGGGAAATAGGGCTGCTATTTGTTAACGATGATCCGGTGCAACCGTTACTTAACGCTATATTAGAACCATTAATTGTTAGTGGTTGTAGATTTGTGGTTACTATCGAAAGCTGACTAGTATCTTTATGGAGAATTTCATCGCCTTCAGTATGAAATCTTCCGAAAATAGTTTTAATAGTTTTTTCAAATTCGTTAAAGTCTGCATGGAATTCGAGAGAAAATGTCTTTTGAGGTTTAGGAGTATTATTCATTAAATTAAGCAGTTGGTTTCCGACAGTTTTGTGTAGGTACATTATTTCTGCGGTGGTGCCATTTTCTGTTAAACGCCCGGTAAATTTGCACGCATCCTCTAATAAAGTAATATATTTTTCAATTTGTTCAGTTTTATCCATGATTTTAAGTTCGCGTTCGTGGTACAATTCGTTTAATTCTTTCAACGAATCGTCACGACACTTCTCAAGTACGGCTTTGTAACTTTGATAGGATTCGTTAATTAAATCTTTGGCAGATGAGCGTTGGTGGGCAAGCTCCTCGAGGCTGCTATTCAGGTCTCCCGACAGCTTGATGAGACTTTCAACCTTTTCCCTTCCCTCATTGAGCATCTTTTCAACTTCTTGTCGTACATGCTTTTCGGAGTCGTTCATGTTTTCACATTGGTGACCACTGCTTGGCTTATGATCGGTTTTAATGCATTCATTGCATACGGGCATGTGACACGTGGCACAGTAATAAAGTAGACTTTCCGCAATATGAGTATCACAAAGCAAAGGTTTATGAACTGTAATCTTTTTACCATCTTTACGCATATCATCCAAAGTAATGACTTTATGATGTTCAAAACATCTCATAAAGCGATGAGCCGAATCACAGTTACTACCAAGCAAATTATGACATGTACAGCAACGTGAAATTGCAATCTCTTTAGCAGTGCAGCTGGTACAATGCAAACTAGAAGAGTTCGAAACCTCCGAGATATTAATTGTGATTACATCTAAAGGGAGTGAGGCCAGTCGTTTACTACCAACCTATAAAAAGCAGCAAATCAACAATGAATAGCTAGAATGCAGACTCATACTTTCGTATCCTGATTGCAGGTCGGGCAAGTAATATTGGACTCGATCATTCCATCACCTCCCTCTCCAATCAGTTTTTTTTCTAAGCACTGCTCGCAGAAAACGTGCAAGCATGACAGCACACGAGGAACAACCAGTCTTTCTCTATAACAAAAAATCTAATGTTACAATCTGTCACTACCACTAAGCGTTCCCTAAAAGATCCCCTGTTTCCTAACCTCAATCTAAGTTTCATTTGATTTTTTTAACATACACAAACATACGATTTCTATTTTATTTGATCAAACTTTGCATACCAGATTGATGAAAGTACTAGAATTAGAAACAATCATACTTACCCACACATTCCGCAACTATCTGGATCGGTTAAAAGATCACCTTCCAGTGGACTAGAACTACAACTTTTAGATCCATCGCCAAACACAGTTTCAGATAGATCGGCGAATAATTCGCGACCGTCGAGAAAATCTTCCTTCCTATCCATAAGATCCTGCTGTACATTGACAGCCATTATAATAACAAACTTCAGGGGATAATTACAACAGCTTCAAACTTGTTTTACAAAATAGGCCTTAAGATGTCTTAATACGAATTCTTAATCTCGTAATAACTTCATCTGTAAACAATAGTTAGCGTTAATGTTGAAAGCTAGAAAAAAACGTACACGTACAGAAAAAAGATGCAGGTCAAGGGAAGAAGCTTATCAACAACACTGCGGTGTTTTGCTGCGATCGTTAACTTCGGATGTCAAGTGAGAGAATTTAACGGATTGAAGATATACACGGACACGATTTTTTAAAATGTTGTTGGTACAATAATGATATAATAATAAATAAACGTATTTTAAAACTTACCCTTGTCAGGATTTGTGAACTGTTTAATAAAATGGCGCGTGTTTGCGTCGGAGCATTGCGGGTTCGCAACGCGATTGGTCCATCGCAAACTTCCGGTACAACAGAAGTCAAGCAAAAGGAAAATAGGATTTCAATTGAATCTTTCCCCCCCTAACGTTATTCGCTACTCACTCGCACCCTAACACAACTATTTGTAGGAGGAAAGGGTTGTAATCCATTATTTAACAAAATTAACTTAAAACTTACCTAGAAAAAAACTACAAAAAAAGCACGGTTTTCCGGTTTCCGTTTTAAAGCGCTCTAAAACTTAACAACACACCACCTTATTTATGGCTTCGTAACGATAACAACTCATTACGATGTGATTTTGTTTTATTGCGAAGACCGCTTAGACCAGGGATGGGGAAATAAATTTAAAAGAGGGCCACATAAAATAATTACAGCATTTAAGCGGGCCAAAGAGGATTTATTATATAAGCAAAGAGTAAATAATCTTTGATATAAGTAACAAAAAATCAGCTTGGCAAAAATTATTGTTTTAATGTCCTGGAGTGTCACAAATGAAATTTTGACTGTTCATTCATTATAGAGTCGAAATTTGGCTCCAAATTAGTGGAAGAAATTCGCAAAACGCTCTCAAGGTGTTCCTCAGTCATTTTGTTCATATAAATTTGTTTTTATGAAAATAAGTGATTGATATTACCCGCGGAACAAACCATGTCGCGGGCCGCTATTTCCCCATCCCTGGCTTAGATCAACTATATGGTCTAAAAGTGTGTACTCATTTGCAACAAAATGCCCCGAACAAACCAAACGCGCCGCGCGCGCTGAATTTATTCCATTTTTCTGTGAAAATTCGCGTGTTTGGTTCGTTCGGGGCATTTTGTTGCAAATGAGTACGCACCAATTTTGGAAAGTGCGGTATTCGCTATGTTCCCTTCAAACCTCAAAAACCAATCCATCGTCTTACGAAACGGTTGCGGGGTTCCGTTGGGGTTAAAGCAACAGACCAATATTTCCACCCCGGTGCCCTGGCATACCACCTCCAGCATATTGCGCACGGTGGCGCCAGACCACATCCGATTTTCGGAATTGCAGGCTTTGTAACACAAGAATTATAAAAAAAAAACCTTTTTTGAAGGTTTGGGCAGTTTTTGGACTGTAACTTTTTGGCCCGTTAGTCTACGTAGCCGAAAAACAATAGCGACCTTTCTTATTACATCCTGAAGAACATATGTATCAATTTTCAAAGCGATCATACGTTTCTACACAGTTATCGTGCACACGGACAGACAGACAGTAATACAAAATTATAAACGATCTCGAGGATCGTTAATCGTTAATATGACAGCCAGATCTTTATTTGTTTCAAGAAGTTATTTTGGTTGCATAAAATTAGGCGTCTTTCAGGAGACTTTTTATCATGTAAAAGTAGACATAGGAAATTCCTATAGGAAATCCCTATGTCTACTTCTACATGAATATCACTGTATATTTGGGAAATGGGTTAAGTGGAAGAGCGAATGCAGTTTCTGTTGAGAACTGCATTTGAACTTCGCCCCATTAGCTACTTAGCACACAGATTGTTGTTTTCTTTGTACTTATGCATGCATTCAGATGTAATGTAGTTAATAAAAGACATTATTATTATTATTAAACAGTGTAATATATCTTATATAAAATTTATATACAAATTGCACCTTTTTGGATGGAATGTGTAATGTACCTACCTAAGGCAGTCATGACAGCGCAGTCAATTTTTCCCTATAAGTATTTAAATTTAACATTTTTTTTATATACAAAAGAAAATATTCGCGTTCAATTGTCCAGAAACTACATACTAATATCACACCTGAGTTAAGATGTCAGTTCATAAATAATCTACATCGCGGTTTCTAATGGCTGGCTTTGGCTACGTCTCGATTCCGAAATACTGGGCGACATAAATGGTTCTTCTTCGCCTTCGACGTAGTCAAAGTTTGTTTCTAAAAATATTTCGCTTTTTGATTTTTCGGCTCTAGGCTTTAAAATGTTTTCATCTGTAGTTTTTGCTACGCCGTGAGTGTTATAAACGGGTGCTTCGTCGGAACTGGGTGGATCTGGAGGGGGCGGCAAATCTCGTTTTGTCACGTAACCATTGGTGTTGGGAACTTTCGATTTGAGTTCCTTCAAGAAACTCATATTTGGCTTATTTGGAGCGTAGGCACTACCGTATTCCTTATAATCGGAATCTAATGTGGAATCCGATTTCTTTAAATCCATTTTTCCGCCGAGTGGTAGAGTGTCGGTGTTGTAATAGTCGTACGGCATGTACTTGCTATCATCTTGACTTTCAGGGGTGTCATCAGAAATTAACTGAACACTGTCTGCACGCGACTGATGGTTCGAAGTGTTTGCGCTTCCAAAAGTCGAATTATCTCGAAAGCCCTCATTTTTGAATGCCAAGTACTCGCCAGATGTTGGTGTTTGAGTTCCATATCGTGTAGGAGATTTGTGGAACTCGATTGTTGGGTTGTACACCAATTCAGGCGGCGCCGGGGGATTGTGAGTTTCGTAAATGTCGTAAGATTGGTTATCTTCTATTGAAGAATTACAAGTCGACTTCTCCATGCTGTCAATTGATCCGTTGTCCATTTTTTTATAGTCCGAATTTTTGGTTAAGGTGTCAGTAGAACGAGTGCTCTGCAATAAGGTGATCGGATAGTTTAGTTTAGGACATTGATTAATAAGATATTCAGAGTAAAAAGTGGATTGAGGTCAAAGTTTGACAAATGAGCGTAGCGAGTGAGTGTGTCAATTGAGCGAGAGTTGAAAAACACTTTCTTCTGAAGTTTTACACATAATTTTTTCTAAAACTAATTGAAAAATTATTGTATGCAATGATAAAGTATGGCACATATAGCAATCTAGATTCGGGTTTGTTTCAATTTTAAATGTCTATTAAGATTAACGCAGCAATTGTTTTTTTTTTCCTCACTAGAGGAAAATCATATTTTTTCACTACTAGCGTCTGATGACATGATTATTAACCTTTTTTCCACTTGTAAAGTAGGCTTTCTCGGCATTTGTTAGTGGTTAATAATTTTTTATTATTAACTAGTAGTCAATAATGAGAACTGTCACGCTGTCACTTTTAGAAAACACAACCCGAAATTTCGCTCAATGAACGTTTATACAAGTTCTCTAAAACGAATAATTGCCACCATTCGCAATTTCCAGAGAAATTACATACCTAAAATTATCACATTTTGAAAAAATTCGAACGAAATTACTCTTTGAAAAATCTCAATGACAGAACAAAATACAGCCTGTTTGACTTGTACTTCCACGTACTTGATTGACATGTTAAATTAAGAAACAAACAATTCTGTCCAACCGTTAACTCTCTTATCAATATAATATGTTAATTTAGAGGATTTCAAGTGCTAGTAGTGAAAAAAATAGTATATATACCACGGCAGAGAAGTCTATTATTGCCTTCGCACCTTACACCCCTCGGCGCAAGCGCCTCGAGATGTACCTAATCTTGGTGCTCAGGCAATAATACTGTACTTCTCTACCTTGATATTTAATGTACTATTTCTTAACCCTTTTTAGAGACGAAAGTAGTTGTTTCTAAAGTAGTTTCAGAAAAGCAATATTTCTAACGTCTACACAGTAGATAGATCGGTATAGATTTTGTACATTGTTAACTAAAAGTGCAGTTTTTCCCCAATGATAATCAGAACTAAAATCTACGAGCTAACTACTAGCATGGAGTAAATAATATTTACTCTATGCTACTAGAGAGTCAGAAAGCCTTTATATTATGAGTACCATTTGTGATGGCTTTCCACGTCGATATCCAAAATCGGAAAAGCCTCCCTGGATAGATCCAAGGGACCGCACAGAGTGCAAGCTTTGTCTGATGCTGTTACGTCTTTGAAGCCGTTGCGCATGTCGGTACTTTGATTTTGACCACCAGCATGCTATGACGAATATTATTAAACAAAGAGCGACCGCAAGGCATCCAATTACAGCTATTGATATAGTATCACCGTGCCATGTGAGGGGATTGATTGTTACTTTTGGATCTGAAAGTATTTAATAAAGAACTGTAAATACAAAACGATGAGACAAACCTATCTCGCAAATAAAAGGTAACCGCAGATAACAGTCTTCAATTTCCACAGTTTGATAGGCAAACATCGTGCACTGATTTATTTTATCTATGTGTTGCACCCAGATACGATCAGAAAATAAGTACCATTGCTGTTGCTTCTTTAAGAAATCGTACAGATCTAAGTAGTTCGTTGTTCCAACTAGGTAGGGTATTGAGGCATTGTCATCCTATTAACAGATTATTTTTATATTAACAGTCACAAAGAGTTGACACTTACTCGACAAAATTTATTCGCCTCGAAAAACGACATGGGGGCGCCAATAAACATGTAACACGTATTTCCTACCAAATCCCATCCTGGAGGACACTTCCCATTCAAAATACTTTGATTGTTCATGTAATATGGCGAATGTACAACTTCAAGTAGTCGAGCATCATCAGTTTGATCCCTTATCCTTCCCCGCACAGCTAACGTTGTGTTTACTCCCCAGTAGTTGTGTGCTGCATCGATTTTGGTTTTCCATACTTCTAATGTGCTGAAATAGGCTCTAAATAAGATATATATACCGCTGTAACTTGCCACAAACAATTATTATAGTTTTAATATAGCATAACAGGAGACGGTAAAGTGCTTTACATACATGAAGTTGTGTTTTCGTTTCGACTAATACAAAAGCGCACATGCAGAATAATCTACACCAAAATAATTAAAATTCTTACCTGCTAAAATTAAACCTGAACATGCGCCATGCAACATAAAAAGAAAATAAGTTAAAATACATGTCAATAATACATATCCATAACTAAACACAAGTGACAAAACAAAACAGATATTGTACCATACTGCAACTGTTTGAAAATATATTCAAATATGCTATACCGAGACGTGGTTGCTAGATACCTGCGCACATTCAGAACGAGCGCTGCTCAACAAATTAGTTGTGTTCATAAGGTGATCTCAATTGATCGTTACAGATTTTAAGTGATTAACAAATATACTTACAAAGATCTGTTCACTGTAATCATTTCATAATCGTTGTCTGGGTTGAAGAAAATGTTGTCGACATAATGCTGACCTGCAGTACCAGCGACAATGGTAGATCTACTGTCTGTATGTACGGCATAATTGCTATAAGGAATTATTTAAATAAATTAAAACACGCCCAATTAAAGTATTTTTGTCATTTTTGGTGTTTGTTGTATGTTTTTCTAATTGTATTTATCAAGCACAGTGTTATAAACTTACTTATAAAATCCGTTATGCGTGGTCGTTTGGTAAATGGGCAATCTGACCTTATCAAAACCGGACACTTCCAAATTTTGTAATCCAATATTTCGTTTAATGTAATTAAAGCTAAAATTGGAAACCACTTGTTTGAGAACAATATTATTCTCATAAACTGCCACGTTCCGAGTGAAGTAGTTGCGATAGATTGTTACTTCTTGGTAGGGAGACGATTTTCGTCCCTCAACGTACATGGCGGGATAATTTGTATTGTTCACAAAGAGGTTGTTGTGTATCCAGCCTTTCAGGGAAGTTGCGGAACCACGCGAATCCGATTTGATCGATAATCCACCTTGATTGCTTTGGACTAAATTGTTCTAAAAAATACAATTGTTCAATACTTGATCTGTGGCACAATAAACAAAATTACTAAGTTAAAGAGGTAGGTACGTAAGTACGCTACCTATTATAAGAATCAGAAACTTGTCGAATTTCAAAAAACAAGTTATTGTTTTATTTCAAAAACTCTTAATTGTTTAGCAAGAAAACTATGAAAGGGCAAGGCTGTTTACGACTTCATATAGGTAGGTAATCTAAGCGTTTTACTGTGCAGTCTATCCTTGCGCGAGTGAAGCTTATACATACCCTGAAGAAGACACTTTGAGTGTTTTGTATATCCATCTCAATAGCAGCAGTACAAGTTGAAAAATTGCCATATAGCTTTTCACAATTGTTGGTAAATTGATTCTTTTCAATTGTAACGATTGGATTTACCTCTCCTGCCGACATATACAACAAACCTCCCTCTCGATTCCTATTTATTACTGAAAATGAAATGTTGTGCTGCACATCCCGATCTGAAAGTGACACGCGCACGTTAGGTGTTGGCGGAACTCGGATGAGGTATACTTACTAAAGCCTATGGCTGAAATAGGAAGAGTGACAACTTCAGCGATGAAACCGTGGCTAGATGAAGCTCCTTTCGCAAACAGTTTAATACTTAGACTAGGCTCTTTAGTTCTGTACAATCCGTTGAAATCCTCCGAATCCATGGTAATGTGGGCAATAACTTTCGAAGAAACGTTGTAAATATCACCATCGTGTAAGGATATAAAATCGGGAATCCCGTAGTCATCAGATGTGTTAAATAAATTGAACTGTAAAAGGCGGAATCCGAAGGGTTTAACATTGTAGGAGCTCCTAAAGATTTTCACGCAACTGACCGGATGGTTATCGTACTTGTAATAAATCAAGACGCGTTCCTCCACATTAACCACTTTCGTTGTGTCGCACACGTCAATAAGACTGAATAGATGGTATGGAATTTGCAAACCTTTCAAAGGCGTGAAGCTCGACTCAGTTGATTCGCGTCCTTCGCCCGTCAGAGACAAGATATTCAGACCTACCCCCAAAGTGTCTTCCACATTATTTCCTAGTAAATTAATGGTGTTAGTGGGCGATATCAGGTTAATTCCATGTGAAGCAGCGGCTTTCACATTGACATAGTTTATCTTCGGGCTTTTAATAACACTTTGCACTGCTGGTGACTTCTCATTATGCAAAATACCTGCGCCCACAACGTTCACGAACTCTAAAATCGATTCAGTGGTTTTTACAGTATCATGAGTGTGTATATCGTGAATTCTGTGCTCATAAAAATGTTGCTCAAACTGCGCGTCGGCAAAACGTATTCCACCCCAATAATCCACTTGGGAAACATGCTTACCGCAGTGTATAAAAACGAACTTATCGTTCCATTTGCACTCGTGTCTGTGACCAAACTGTTGCCCATTTAAACGTATAGGACATTCCTCGTAATTCATTTCCGTTCCTTTACATTCTAAAGGTTCCGGCCACGACCATATTCTTGACAACGAATTGCTGTGAAACTCGATTCTAATGTCGAATGAGAAATAAGCTGTAAGCCAATCAAAACCCAATTCGCGGCATACCACTTGCGCATTTCGCTCGGTAAACCGTGGGTCACACATCGGTATCCACTGAAGCGTCGTCTTATTAAAGTACTCTAAAAACCCTTCATTTGGCAATTCCTCCCGCCCTTCCTGACATTGTCTCCCTTTGCACAAACGAATTGTATCTTGCGCAACAAAATTTTCCAGTTGCCTTCTGACCCGTTTACTTCCTCGATATTCATCGATATGTGCGGGTTTTGTAAGAGGTTTGAACGTTATTTCATAGCCCTTCATTCCTTCAGCTTTCAGCACGCCCAAAACCAAAATGCCAATATTCGGACCGAACTCCATAACCACCCCAGGCTGAATGATCAGTGTCGCTTTCGTCATAACTGTAATATCGGATTTAACGACATACGCTTCCTCGCGCATGGGAATAATCAAATCTTCATAGAGCCGTCCCCCGAGATTGTCTAAGTCGACCACCTTTTCAGTTTCGAACGACACCGAGTGACTTGCTTCGAACGAATCGTGCAGGAGAAATGGACGAAATTGTGCAATCGCGTGATTATTCCAATCGTCGAAATCGAAAATGGCTTTCTCGATTTCTCGCTCTTCAATTGTGCCCCACCAATTTTCTTTCGCATCGAGATAATTGTCAATTTTTGCGGTTTTTATTCCGGCGATGAGTTGATAGTCCAAGTTGTTGTCGACAATTAGATTTCGATTTATATTGATTTTTTGAATTCCATTGAAGCCTATCACGCATGTCGGCTCAGAGTATACCTGGAGCACTCCAAAGTTTCTTAGTGTCGCGATATGACGGTTGCGTTTCAATTCATTGTATACAAATCGAGCGGGTACGGTTCCAAGAATTTCGGACTGGCTGTTAGAGCTGAATTCCACCATTGTTCTACCTACAATTATAAGGGTAGTAAATTAATTTAATACAAAATAAGTGCAATGATGTTGTGCTATCGCCACAAGCGTGTTTTTGACGTGGCATCTCACTAGGTATATCTTTCAAACTCCACATTTTTGTTGTTCGAGTTATGAAAGGTGTCCGAATTAAGTGAAACAATACAAACAATGCACTATGAAACAGAAACTGACTCACCATTATTATTTTCAATCTTATTGAAATTGATCAACAATTTCTTCTCCATTCCTTTGAAGGCCAACAAGCTGTTTTTGCAACTATTTTCCACGAAAACATTTTTAGTTATGTTCACTATGGCAAAATGTCCATCAATAACAATAGCGAAGTCTTTATTGTTCCTCCAAGTGTTATTGTGCATATAAACGGAATGAGTAAAGTTTTCATTGTATTGCCATACGTAAGGTAGGTTGATGGCGAAACCATTTTTGCCATTGCGCTCAATAGTGTCATCTTGCAATATGTAGTGGAAGAGATTGTTGGAGAAGCGCATGTCTCGAGAGAAATGGTATATACCATGTCCGTTGTCTGTTATGAGTGTGTTGTTCAACATTATTGTCACTTCTGAAATGTTGCTTTGATGCAGATCCCAGTGTGGGGAGTGAATGTATATTGCTTCAAGTTTATTGTGGGAGATTTCGCAGTGGAGAAACTTCATGGACTCGTTTGCTTTGCGGAGGAAGTGTTCCCCGAGTTCGTTTAGATATCGATTGTAAAATGAAGCGTGAACGCCGTACTTGTTACTGCGAATTTTCGAATTGGAAACTGACAAAGTTGGAATGGGTCCTTTTACGATTTTGTTGTGTATATTTTGAACGGGTGCATTAATTGCACTTATCACAAATACTGTCCCGCCCGTTGCGTACGGGCCGCTGGTGTAGTCAAGAATAATTCCGTGAGTTGTTGATGTGGTTGGAAAAACTGTTAAGTCGCGCGTAACATTCCAGATGTCAGAGATGCCGTTGTACGTAATGCTATTATGAATGAGAATTGACTCTGTGCTTCGATTTTCGATGGGATTCAGCAGTTGTATTCCGAGTACGTAACCGGGAGGGCAACTGATTTTGTATGATCGTGTAATATCTTCGTTAATAACTCTTGATGTTACAAGATACTTGGTCGTTCGTTCATTAACGATAATGTCATTCCCCTTATCCAGAGGAATCCAAAATGGTTTGTAGTATATGTCTGCGTCAGTTATGCTAAACCAACCGGCTAATTCTCGTTGTTGTAGATTGGTAAGTGCTGGATTGTGCCTAATACCAAACTCGTTGTTTTCAATTGTACTTCCCTGTACTTTTAGACCAAGTTGTTTAAAGCTAATCCCAGCGCCCTTATTGCGTGAAAATTCCGAATTTTTCACAATATTTACGCTGTCGGAAGTGTAAATGTCAGAATACAGTACGCCCAAGCCATCGTAAAGGTTGTCAACTACTTTGATGCTCTCAAAGTTATGATGAGCAAAATCGATTTGTAAGGCGGGCTTAAAATAATTGGTCGTATAATCTAATAAACCAGCCTTTTCTATCGTGATATACTGTAAGTTAGATCTCTCTGCCAAGACACTAAAACGCATACCAGCCCAAGAGCTCTCGTAGCATCGCACACCCACATCATTCTCATGGGAGCATGAATACTCAAAATCATCTACACTTTCTGCTTTGCAATTTGATATATCGGTATCAAACATGGTACACTTCACATTACTCAAAATGACCTCCTCAGAGATACCAGCGGATGGAATCTCATTTCTTTGCATGTTCCAATCATCACGGTTTAAAACAAAACCCAATTGATTGCAAACAAGGGCGGCATTTTCGATAGTCCACCCATAATTACATACTGTACCCCACCTATTGTTAATGTTTACTTGAAGACGACCTTCGGTGGGAGCCTTTTCTCCTAGTAACCGTATTGGGACGGTTAATGATTCGGTTGCAACCTCAGTTTGTTCATTAACTTTCTCGATATCCGTCTCGTAAGTCTCCTCATCTATGGGGTGTTTGATCTCTTCTTTCATTGTAAATTTGATACTATCCGGTCCGATGCCGTGAGCTTCCAAACGTCCACCAACCATAATTCCCACAGACGCCGGAAAACGTAACGTCACACCAGGTTCTAAGGTCAACTTCCCACCAGGCCTGATATTAATATCCTTCTCAACCACATACTCGCCAGGTGCTAAAGTTTCTTCGCCCTCCACCTCTCCTCCCACAACATTTGAATGCTGCCTACGAAATATCGGCACATACAGAGGTAGGTAATTAAACCGTGTCGTTGATGGATTTGAGTTGTGCAAGAGGTACGGTACAAACACAACTTTAGCTAAATTATATCGATCGGTCCGATCAAAAATTCGATGGAAGATCTTCTCCTCTTCACTAAATCCGAGCCAATTATACGAACAGTTCAGTATCTTACTTTGATCCTCGAAGTGACTTCCAATTTCGTACCTAGAGGAGGGGTTTTCAATTATATTTCTGTAGACCAAAATGTTACTGGAACCGATCACGATTGCGGCCGCGACGCGACTGCGCGGGTTGAGTTTTGACGCCGAACCGTCCTCCGATTGAAAAGGTTCGGTGATATTGTTAAATTTGACAAAGTTTCTAGTGAACATTAGCGACTGTTTGTCGGCGTAAGGTGAGAGTCCAAGACTCACCACGAAGTAGCCCTTGTTTTCGAAGAAGTAATTCTGTTCCACGAGTATGTGAGCGGGAAGCAAGTTAAACTCTTCCAATAGTTGATTCTTTATTGCAATCGCGCCATACGCTCCATACTTGAACCAATTGTATTGAACGTGGGCGACTAAATTTAAGACCGGTATGATTTTGATCGATACTTTTTCACTACCTAAAAATGTATTGTGCCCAATTTCTAGGTTCGTTGAAATATTTACTGCTAGCCAGCATGATAGGACTTCTAGGGCGGTATCCAGAGAGTTCTCAAACTTATTCCCTGTGATGTTGATGAAGGATGGCCCACAAAAGTTGCCGTGTAAAACTCCAATGTCTGCGTTTTTAATGATTTCTGAATACTCCACCACAGTCATTTGCTTTATGAAGTGGTACTCAGTTTCAGCTGTGTCATTTAGCCAGATTGCTAGACCGTATCCTAGATTAGAGCTAATGGATGATTGTGAGATGTTTCTGTTTCCACCAGTGTATGTGATATTAATCCCGTCCCCTTTGTTGAATGAAATTTTGCTGTTAGTAATGTTAATGTGACCCACGCCGCTTGTAACATGAACGCCGGCCACATGATCATTTTTAGAAACCGAAGTTTTGTGCACGTGTAGCTGGGAACGTAAATTATCTATAGCAATGCCTCTCCCCGAATTTCTTGAAACATCTGATCTACTAACATTTAACTCGTATGTTCGATGCAATCCAGAGGTGAGCCTCATGTAGACTACCAAATTGGTGCGCGGTTCCGCTTTAAAGACTATGTAAATTTGATTACTGGTGGTCGTCACGGATTCAGGCCGTGTATTATTGCGTATGGGGAAAGAAGTAAGAAGACGATTGTTGACAGAAGAACCGTCATAAAGTTCGATGGTGGCACTGTTATTTCTGTCAGTCTCGGATCTCAATATGTCCAGTGTTAAGACCTGTCCATAACGCGTCGTAAAATACTTAGAACAATACTTATCAGTACCGTAAAAGAGTGATTGGTCTGCGTATATTTCGATTGGATACGTCTGAGAAGACGTGATTGCCAAAGTACAAAAGTCTGATATTTCTGAAATATCGCGTTTTTCATTTGGACGGGCTTCGTTATGAAAATATCGAACACCATCACCACCATTATCGGTGATCATGCATCCATCTATGTGAGCTAAGCCATAACTGGAGTTAATGAATACACCATATCCGCGATTACGTCTTAATGTGCAATTGGTAATTCTTACAGGTGCATCAGGCAGTGTTATATTAATACCATTGTAAGCAGAATTGATCACCTCCAAATTGCCCATTATAGGCGGCACACCTTGTATATGTATGGCACTTGTGGCGTTATAATCGCGCCCAACTCCCGCGTACTTTACAATCACATATTTCAGTTCGGATAGTGAGCTTGGAATGTAAAGCGTATTTTGAGTTTCGAGCAATTTTTCGTTTTGAGCATTTTCGAAACGTATTCCCCTCCAGTATTTCACTGGCGTATCATATCTTGACAAGCATTCGATTGCAAGATCCGGATGATAGTCGCACACACCCGATCCCAGCTGCCGAGATGACCACTGACAGTCCCTTAGAGATTGCTCAGTACCTACGCAGCGCGGTTCTTCGTACAGTAAGCGAGGTTGCACTGGCATTTCCCTGTTGAGCCAGTTGAAGAAGCTTCCGCCTTGAAATCCCAGTTCACGGCAGGCCGTTTGCATATCGGCAACTGTCCAACTGAAATTACATATGGAAGATCTTTGGCAGTAAAGAGTGGAGTTCACTTACTTTCGAGAGTTTGTACATACACTTCTCCACTTTTCTTTGTGAAAAAGTTGCACTCGTCCTGCCAATATACTAGGTCCGTCTACCAAACGAATTTTGGGATATTCTCGATTTACCGTGGATGTGTCGGCATTACTTGTTAGCACGATTCTGTTATCTTCGGTGCCCTGACAATACAATACATATCTATACCCATTAAAGTATGGGATAGTTACAGAAATTTACGAAATCGGATTTACCGCAGTAGCTAGTATTAGTACAGATGCTGAAACATTTCTAATTAAGAAAAGTTATCATATTTTAAATTTTATTAATAATAACTGCAAAACATAAAATGCAGGTATTTGACTGTTATTACTGCATGCTTAGCAAGTCAAGTTTGTATATGTACCTGATTATGTACAGTCGTGGTCAGAAGTAATGTCCTCCCTTAGAAACTGCAACTGTAGAAAAAGTACCAATGTGTCAGCTTCTCCGTGATTTAGTTCAATTTCATTTCAATCTTAGGCATTTTCCTCATGTTGAAAAGAAGCTCAAATCTCACAGGAGATCTGGTATCTTAATTATGTGCCACACTTGAGATAATCGAGGGACATTACTTCTGACCAAAACCGTACCTTGGTTGCTATACGAGATAAATAATAAGTACTTACTCGAAATGGCCAAATGGGACAAATCAATCTCATTTCTCGCATCTTTTATTACATAACATGGACTCTGAACATAATGCGTTTGGCAACCGCCCATTCCACTCTTTTCTCATTATTTGATTATTCATTACCAAATGTTTGAAATGTGCTAATTAAAGTGTTTTAAATAGGTAAACGTAATTGAGGAAGTACGCCTAAATTAAGTGATTTCATAATTAACCGTTTTTATATCAGGACATACAATCAGAATTGATATTATAATTTAAAACTATAACCTACACTACTACGAATTCTGGATTGGTTTGATTTGATGGCAATGTTCTTCTGCTCTTTTGGAATGTTTTCACATTATAGGGTTCTCCACTGTCCGACTACAGCACTTCGAATTAGAAAAATGGACAAAACATGATGTAATGTAGGTAGTAGATGCTTGACTCCGGCAATGAGAGTTTCTGGTTAGAATCTATAGATTACTTACTTAAGTATTAGAAATTTGGTAAAGCAACTTCGGTTGAAATCTTACCCACTAATAAATTAAAGGAGAAAAAATAAAATTACAATTGCATGAAATAAAAATTGCAAATGTAAGGTAAAAACTGTTAAAGAATTATTATTTACACCTTCTAGGATGAATATCACCTCCAGAATTATTAAATGGTCATTGCAAATTTGTGATTCCGTCCTTAATCGCTTGACAAATTGCAGATCTAATGGTACACCACCAAGCATGCCACAATAACGGCAAAGTAGAGCGGTAAAAAAAGTCCACCACGGATGAAACATTTGACATTTAGTTATAGCACAGACAACATGTCTGTGGTTATAGTCAAAAACGTGGGCGTTCCATGTCATTAACTCCAATTTAAAAATAGGCAGCTGCACCACCGGATACATGCGAATTGACTATCTATTAATTAGGTAGGTAGGTACGAATACTCGACTTGAAAGTCAGGGTTACATTCATTGTCATAATCCATTACTTTACATGTCATTTTAACTGTTACCAAAAGTCGATCCAATTTCGTACCGTTCGGAATTGTATTTAAGAAAGCGTAAAGCGAAACAAGATCTGAAACGAAGCATGGCACTTATACGGTATTCCATCAGGTCCAGGTCAATGGCACCCACTATGTTGGGAAGCCTCATCCTTTCGCCTTCCTTCTCCATGTTTAGTTAACAACTTTTATACCTATTCGCAATGGCAATCATCACGTAGGTACTAACGTGACATTTCATCATCGCGGCACCACTCATTAATATTATTCTACGTTTGTAGGTACGTTGGAAAAAGTTTACTTCACTTCATTTATTCGTCTTTCGTACACTCATCCTTAATGCCCACTTAAAGGAATTGACCTCCAACCCGTAGTGATGAATCAGTCCATTAAATTTAGAATTGTATGTAGGTACCGAAGTAGGTACCTACGTACTGAGCTTTTAGGCAAGGAATTTTTTTGTAACTATATACCGAAAATATATATGTTTAATATAGTAAATAAGTATTTATTTTCAATTTCCATTTCGCAGAAACTTATTTATTTCAATGCAAACAGAATCAGGGGCGGTTTGGGGGGGGCGACAGGGGAGATCGCCCCCCCCCCCTAAACATACTGCTCAATTGTTTTTTTTATTTCATTAGGTTTACATAATAATCGAATTAAATAGGCCTAACCACAAACCACCTGACGGAAAAGTAAAATTGAATAAAATAGGTACACAAAATAATGCCGGCGGGGGCGGAATCGTGTATTGTCCAGACTGCGACTCACGACTGTACTTTAGCACTATCATTATCGCCTCTCGTAATTTTTCTGTCTTTGTCAGTATTCGGAAATTAATGCGGCAATAGATAGTTTAACAAAAAAAACAGCTGAAATTGGGTCAAAGCTACTCAAAAAAAATTCCCGCGCACCTCTGCATCTGCAATTCTGTGGCTTTTTTATTTTCGCCCCCCCCCCCCTGAGTGGATGTATAAAACCGCCCCTGAACAGAATTGCATGAAAAGTTGAGTATCAAATCGCAATGAATTTCACCGCCATTGCTTATGAACGACAAGATATAATAGGTACACACTAATACACTACGATCCTCAGTCGTGTATTATTTCCTCCACAGATCCTCGGTAGTTACCCATTTTCAACGAGGATGAGTCGACCATGACAAGGCTCTAACCAAGTACAGATTCAGCTCCAAGAATAGTCAGCAAGCAGTCCCAAAACAATAGTCTACTAAACAGTTGTAAACCCAAACATAAACATAAAACTTTTATTTATCAAAATTTAATAGTGGAATTCTATTCTTACACTATGATATTACTTAAGTTAGACCATTGATTATATACTTTCGTAAGTATATAATCAATGGTTAGACTCACTTTACTAATTGCACACTGTTCTGCGCCACTCTTGAATTAACATCTTTCACTCAATGGCTAAAATGCCCCTTTATCGTCTTGTATAATAAATAACAATTAATGGATCCGTAAGCATTTTATCCAAACCAAAGTTTAAAAATTACGAGCGAACGCATAAATCTCCGCTCCTCCACAATCACCTCGTGACAGAATTAAAATATGTCATTGCAGAATGCCTAATGTGACGAAATTTGCAAAATAAAGGTATTCATTACCTAGTAGAAATTTGTTACAAACGGCGCAAATCGAGGTTCAAATAGATTCCTCTAAAACACGCTGTTCAACTGTTGAACTTCAACACAAAAAGTGCAAGCCATCTTTTAGATAAAAACACATTTCACCAAAAATAATAAAAGGGTGATACCTTGAGCGTTAGGGGCGAGGTTAGGAGTTACTTGGCGTGCCGATACCAGGTAACAAGGGTTTGAACTTTAATCAGATTTACCTACTTCTTATCTTCTGGGATTTCTGAAGGGTTGTAGTTTCAGGGAGTAATTGAGTGCTACATGTTACAATCAATTCAACGACGTTTTTTTTTAAATTATTATATATCGAACTCTTCGATCCATTGTAACATCTGAAAATATATAGTGAAAGAACTTCGTGACTTTCGAATGGTCTTCTTTGTGTACAACTAACGGAATGTGGAACATATTGTTATTATATTGCGTCACTGAGCAATGGCTTTACGACACAGTAAAAGAAATAGTTTAACAGCGCCGGAAAAGGAAGCATCATCACTCTCTAACAGCTAACTGAATGAGGAATATCCTTTGTAAAAATACATAATCATTCATTTGCACTAAACGACTTTTAAACGTTACCAAAAATGACATTATTTTTTATATTAAATCAAATTCCAGATGCGAAAATCTAAGTTGTACATATTATATTTCAGTAGGTAGGTACCTATATTTTGTTTGTGTTGTCTCCATCTAACATCTACACTACTTAAATACTAACCAACATTTTATCAACTTGTTCTACATACAATAATAGTTTTTTTTTAATTTTTACTACTCCGACTCCCGTGCTTACATTATTTAGAAAGTAGGTACCTACAACGTAGGTGCCTATATATCATGTTTAAATGTCGATTGTTGTTGCTAAAAGTTCTCACACAAAAGAACGGTATTTGTATTAAATTTCACTGTAAAAAGCCATGATTATAATCCAATTACTTTACAATCACGGAGTTAATTCTGGTCTATATAATGATCTTTCAAGAAATCTCATGTATAATTGTAAGGGCATTAGAGTGAATATGACACACCGTTTCTTGGACATACCATTTAACCAATCAAGTAATATAATCTCGAATATAATTAAATCAACAAAAATAAGCAACATTGTATCCCCTAGATATTCTGCTGTCATAAGTGAAAATAGGATGGTTCCATGATTTAAAAAACTGAGAATTTTAATTATGAACTAACGAAGGGGCAACGAGGGGGGCAACCACTCTGCATGGAAATGTGATGTACGCGGCGTGATTTAAATTCGGTAACGGTAGGAGATATACATCAGTGTAGGTTAAATGGAGGCCCAGTAAGTTGTCCCTTTTTATGACTAAAAAAACGCACATTAGTCATTAGACTTTGAAAATAACTGAAGTATCGCCGACAATTGAAAATGTCAAACTTCGTTTTTATTTTCCCTAGCTTAAACGGCCGGAAATAGACGGCTTCCGTTAGCGTCTTGTATGGGCATTTTTTTTTGAGAATCCGAATCTACATATAATCATAAATCAATTATACCCACTCGAAGAGTAGATCATAAAGTCTTTTTATTTTTCCTACCATAAGGCAAGTGCGGTGGAGGCTGGAGGAACGGCCCCTTCATCTCCGACTACTACCGATGTATCGGCCACCAATATCCTCTGATGAGGCGTACCGCACAACTCAGAAGCTTAGGACACAGATATGTTATCCCCGAGGTTATCCCTATTTCTTGTTTTAAATTGTTAGTGGGAATATGGATGTGAAAAAACCTTGTTTTGGACATCGAAAGACCCTCGACCATACGCCATTTTTTCTGCTATTTGAGGGACAGATTTTTAAGCAATTATTATCGCATCCTTTTTGAAACTAGTCAAAATTTGTGATAATTCAAGACATTGGGCCGTATGAATAAAAGTAAGCAAATGCTTATACTTGCAAAATTCAAAGTAAATACTCGTAAGTGCTCCTTCGCACTGGGCGACTTAGCAGCCCTTCTAAGCAGAAGGACAGGACGCAGTGCAGCGCTGCTAAACCATGCTAAACAGACCAGTATGAAGGGGCAGTTACGAGTATTTACTTTGAGTTTTGCAAGTATAAGCATTTGCTTACTTTTATACATACGGCCCCTTAAGGCTTATCTGGATCAGTAAATTTAATTGTTGCGGAGATACAGCGTTTTAAAGATTCGTAAATTCTTCAAATGACGGAATGTTGAGATATTTTTAAACATACATAGGTAAACCGTTGTCATATTAATTTCCTGATATTTGAATTTATTTGACGTTTCCAGCACCATATTGTTTTTAATCTGATCTAATCATTTTTGTGTCTTTCAATATATTTCCTGAGAGCTTTTTCAGAGAATAAGAGTTAATTTTGGGGGCATGAGAAAATTCTCAGTACCTAGTAGGTATGCAATAAAAAAAGTATGAGAGCACAACATTTCGAAAAGCTTCCATCGAGGCTGCCATAATGGCATCCTTCAAAAAATTTTGTATTCAACAAGTCATGCGTTTTTTTTTGTAAAAAAACTGCCACAGGCGATTTGAACATAATAATTATGTTCAACCTCTGCTCTGCACAGATAAAGAAGTTAAATTTTATGGGACGTGTTGGTGCTAGGTGCCAGGTTTTCCATTTTAACCAGAACTCGGTGGTAAAATACCTAGTCAATTGTTATAAATTATTGGGAGTTTGATCAATGGGTACAAATAAATTCTATTGAATATTATTAATCATTTGGCTTATTTGCATAATGTGTACTTAGTATAAATACATATTTCATTATCTCCTAGCTAGTATGTCACCGTCACGTTTAATTGTTTTGTATAAAAACTAGGTTAAATGCATCAAATTCTCCTTGCTTAATCGTAAAATAAAATTAGATTATGATGACTGGTAATTAAATCTATACCATAATTAGTTCAATTTTACGCACTTCAAAGCTCTCTACTCTCATAAACATTAGCAGGGCCTTTACCTAATACCTATAAAGGAAAACTGGCCCAAATTCGCCCAACTTCAAATTAAATAAATATTTAAAATCGATAATGAAAGAATTCCGTACATACCGATAATTAGAACACCACCTGAATTCTAATATAAATATTGCGATAAGATAATAGTGAATCATTGATTTGCGGTAATGAATCCACATTATTCAGTAAAAGTTTCAATTGGCCATGGAATGCTTAATTACGGCGCGTGAATCACCTACTAGGAAATCCGATTTCGTTTTCATCTAATTTTCTTATACTCACCACCGCGTTGAGGATTCCTCGGACTGTTATGCCGATCTGAGGTTCGAAAATAATTTTCACACCAGCCTCTATAACCAATTCACCGTCTTTTTCTACCAAAATATCGTTACGTACGAGGTAGGGTTTACTGCTGTCCTTTTTGAAAACAAACCGGTCATTGCTGATTATTCCCCCTGGATGCTCGATGACATTGGGATTAAAAGGTGCATCGTAGTTGCGTTCCGTCGAGGGTGGTCCCCAATAATAGGGCAACGTTTGCAGATTCACTCGCGTTATTGTAAACAGTAGCAGATATAAACTTTTAAATTTCACCATTATGGGTCACACAGCGTTCGCGACGCGCCCTTGTAGAGAACACCCTGTATGTCGGCGATCACATACGGAACTTTTTGCATAAAAAACAAATGAACGTAACGATTTCTTAAACAAAAGGTATGTTTTATAAACACGTCCGTTACGAACAGGAGCAACAATCAACGTTCGCCATAGGCGCGGTTTGAGTTGTTTTTTACCGTAAAAAACGCTCGTCACGTGACGGGCAGGTAAATATCCCCCCCTTTGTCCCACCTGCGCGTTTTTCGAACAGGTGAGTTTTTGTTTTACCGATAGACGGCGACGTTATACTTAGACTGCGCACCTACAACACCAATCCTATTCGTTTACAAACGTGGATAGACTTGAAAAAGTTCATTTAGTTTAATAAAGGCGTACGCGTAGGTGTCGTTAAGTCTAATTAACGTTTAATTAAATGCCATATTTAGAAAGTACTTACAATGAAATTAAAACTCGCGCGAACTGTGTTACTGACTACAAATTTCTTGAGTGCGCCTTACCTATATAAGGCTATATAATCGCAGTAATTAGGAAACGGGAAGCCTCGTGTAATATTACACTAATAATTAGCTCTTTAATCCAGTCTTTAATGTAAAACTTGTTTTTTAAAATTTATTCGCACAAAAGGAATCAAAACATTCAAACTGCACTCTTGATTGATAATAATTCTTATTTTGTATTTTGGAGCATATTTGTACTGTAAAATTAAGGTCCATGGTTATTGGCCAGGCGTGATGGCCTACTATACGATCACCAACATTTTTCCAACCGGAGACAACAGATGATTGTCGAACGGGCGATCAAAAATGAGTTGCTGTCGAGTCACCTTTGGAAGTTCAAGTTGAGTACGATTTCCCATATAAACCAAAATTCCAAAGGAGACTCGACAGCAACTCATTTTTGATCGCATAGTATTTGCCATCTTGATAGACGCAAGCACAATCTATATGCTGACCACAGAGTTGTAGAGAGTGCAGGATTATTATTCCTGTATGACTCGGCTACTATAGCTTTGAATCATTATATAGTATTTTACAAGATAGTTCACAAACACCGTATTAGGTGCATCTGGGGATCAATTAAACTAACCATTTTTAAAGTGCTGTTGTTTTTGAACTGCGAACATATAATTGAAATAGAGAATGTTAGAAAGAAACCAGTTCGATGAAGTAACCAAAATGCATTTTTCATATATGAGCCATTGCCAACTCTTATAAAAAATATAATAGAAAAACTTACTTCGATACAACATACACTAATCACGCGAGGTATGATTAAAAAAACTTTACATAAATTAAACGGTTCCATTAGACAGTAAAGGATGACGAAATAAAAAATTTTATTCGTTGTAATAAAAATAAATTATAATCTTTAAGTTTATTTACGTCTAACGAATATGTACAGAATAAAAATAAAATTATCTGCTTAGCAGTTTTTATAAAGTTACGCTAATATTCACATGTTTAATGAAATGACGTTCATTTGGAACCATGATGAGCCCTGATGAATTTTACTTATTCAATGCAAAATAGAGAAGAAATGAGGACTAGAAATTTGACTCGTAATTTTTGTTGAGTTTTGAACGAACGCAATGAACCAATTTTGTGCAAATTATACAACGAAAACGTGTAGATCACTTCTAATTGACCAATGAAAATAAGTAAAATTCAATTAGTCGTGTATTCATGTACAATGCGGCACAGAGAAAGCTATACAAGTCTCAGACGAGATATTTGGGTTTATAAAACTGCTTTGTACACCCTGTATTCTTGTGATTGAACACAAATGTCACAGGTCGATTGTACTCATTTCTCTGAATCACAGTGTAGTAAAATAATCGTGAAGTACTGTATTGAGAGCACCTTTTAGTACGTTGTCGTTGTTGTCGTTTAAGTCCAACATACTTCACAATGTTTCTAAGAAAAAAATGCATTATTTGTATAACTGAAACAATCGCTATAAATATATCAGAGTGCTTGTAAAAGTACCCATAATTACTACAAATATAAGCAATTGTGTTCGCTTTCGAAACTATCGCTGAACATTTCCGTATGTAGAAGACTATAAACTGAAAATTTTTATAATAAAATTTTACATATTTACATTAGTTATAGGTAACATTTTGTTAATTTTTTGAATGGACAACAAAAAGATTAATACTCGCAAATCGGATCTACAATCATTATAACATCCGAATAATGTCCTGTTGTATGTTTGGGACTTCCATTTACGGTCCTTTAGAACGAACCGGTGCTCTTGTCCTTACCAATGTAATCTTGAAAGTTCTGCTCATAAACTTTCTCGTGATTGGTAAAATAGGATATAACCAGTTTCAGAGGACTTTTGTGTGTCTGACGTGAGGCCATAAAAATCTTCAATTGTAGACGCATCTATTTTCTGCAATTTGAATTCATATTTTACAATTTCATTTTTTTATTAAATTTAGTGGTAGTCAGTGAAGCTTCCATATTTGTACTAACTTGTGCACATCAGGGGCTATCGAGAAAGCCACATACCTTAACAAAAGCTAGACAGGGCTATGGGAAAACAGGAGAAAAGATCGAGAGAGCTATTTGAAAACCTTGTATGCTCTCGAAAGTTTCTGGTTTTCCTGGCAAGCGTAATGTTAAAACTAGAGCCACTCACGTCATTTCCAAAGAGCGAAAAGTTCTTTTCATGGCTACAAGAGCTTAGAAAGCTTAGAAAAGACCTATATAGTTTTAGAAGAGATAAATCACCTTAAAGACGGTACAAAACGCTCTGTAGAGATCAAAGGAAGTTTTAGAATGTTTTCAAAAAGATTTAAATACTGATACTACTGCGTAGCTCTGGGTAAGTGATAGAATGCATTGGTTCACAAAGCTCTGCATGAACCCAAAAGGCTATAGAAACAACTCCAAGGGACACCTCAGGTCCTTTTTTATAGCTTTATTTATAACCTTCTAGTGCTATTACAGGCCTTTCAAGATCTATTTAAAAGTCTAGAACAGCAGTCGCCAACGTTTTAATTCTCATTGGCCACGAAACAAAAAATATTTTATGTAATTAGCGGACATGTATATTTAATCAAATGTCTAGTTATTTCAATATTACATGCAAAATTATTTGGTACTTATAGGTAATTCAAATATAAAGGTCTTCATTATATTTTACTCTATTCATAACGTTTATCAAAAATGGAGACGTACATCAAAAAAAGGCACACATAAAATTCAAAGATGTTTCCCCAACGCATCCATTATGTTCATATATTTAAAAACCAATACCTATGGAACGGTTATAAATTTTAAGGAGTGTAATAAATTAAGCGTTGAAAGATTTGAAGGCCTCGGCAATTTATCCATACTTGAAAGGTAGAGAACCAATAATAGTAGCAAATTTAAAGAGCACATGGATAGATTTGTACCATTCCTCAAACATGAGCGTACCCAGCAAGCGATGTTCTCAGCTTCATAGACTACACCAACGTAATGTTGGAATAAATACTTACATCAACTTGGTCATCATCAAACAGCAACCAAAACCCATGACTTTTCACAATACTGATGTAATGGCCACGGTTAGGTCCGCTACCACAATGGATTACTACCGCTACTAAGTCGTACAATCTATCTGGATTTACTGCATCATCAGACTACAATAAAAAAAAATATATCCCACTTACAAGTGACACTCTAGTACATATTTTATTTGGAACTTTATTGATGTTCCAACATACCAATTTAAAAGAGAAAAGAAAAGGAGTTTTTTGAATGCATATTTTCTTTTTCGATTTAAAAAAATGAGTTTGTGAATGAGCAACTAATGTTGTTTCTGTAACAATCGTGAATGTGAATAAATGCTTATTATTCCATTGAATTATATGTTACAGAAACAGCAGGTTTAGGCATTGTAGCTTGCTTGCAATAAAAGTTGTTACGATATCGTAACAGCTCTGCACAGGATCCACAAATAATGCCACTCGATACTAACCGTATTAAATAGTCGTAACTCTAAGGGGAAAACAACCCTGTGGGATACTTTAATATGCCTGTTGTACTGTTCCATATACTTAAATCGTTTCAGATGTAGCGCAAGAATCATAGGCAATTTCTTTACCCTCATTCTTTTCTGCGCCTCCTGGTAACTACTACAATTATCACATTTAAACTTATTATCGCTACATAACGTTTCTGTGTTACTAAAACACCGAAGACAATGCGTTATACTTGTATTTTGTTCGATATCTACTTGTAAATCAAAAAAGTCTTCATCTTTACTACTTATCGTTTCACAATTTAAACAACGCGTTTCACTTGTAAGTATACCCTAAAAGTTAAGAATGTAATTTTTAAAGAAAATTCACAGCCGAGCCAACCTGGAAGATTTCGTGAACCCACGTCGGTTCGTTAGGCATAATATGTATCGTGCCATTCTCTCCCGGATTTTTACTTTTAATATTGTTTGTTGATGAATTCTGTTGTCTTTCGGCTGAAATGCGTTCAATTTAACAACAATAGTTAACAATGCAGCTTACCTAATATAATTTCACTAATATGATTGATTAAAAAATTTAAAAATTCGTGGGCATCCTGTTGCATGTAATTATCAAATTCTTCCTTTTCTTTTCGTAGCCTTGCTATAAATTTTTTTGGTGCAATAGACCCTACTTTCTTTTTTTGCGTTGCAATACTGTAAAACAAGTCGGCAAGACATGTCAGTAGAGTTTCTTTCGTTCGTTTATTCTTAGCCTTATATTCCAATACTTTATCACGGAAAGGTTTACAAAAATACAGTGCTTGGAGTACGGAGTTACTGTAACACGTATTTCCAAACTGAAACAAGCCATTATCATCGTTAGAGCCAATAATGTTTCAACGTACGTTTACTAGTCCAAAGTAATGTTCGTTTGACGGGAACTGTTCAGAACCTATATCTCGTTCCAGTTGGGAAATATTCGCACCCTATTTCATAAAAATTACGAGTTAATAGTGATCAATTGGATAATTAATGCAGGAGTTGTTTGAAAGGACGGATGAGGGATTTATGGTTAATACAATTAATTTATTCCAGAAACTTAATTTAAATGTGCATTTAGATAAAAATAATTAACTATACCATATTTTAATTGCTAATCCATTACGTTAACGTAGAAAACGCCTAAAATAAACATGTATGCATGATATAAACTCCATTATTGCTTTTTGACAGCTGTAAAACAACTTATGGTTATATGTGAACTGTCAAAACATTACGTAATTAAAAACCCTACAAATTACGTCTAGGTCGCATTCAAACGTATGAACGAATGATTTTTTTATTTGTTAAATGTACCTCGATCCTAGTGAAATTATACCATTGTTTATAAACAATGATTAAAACAATGATTAGATTAAGGGCCGGAAAGTGGAGAAATGGAAAATCTGTATATAATTATTACTTTATTAACTTAATACAAAATTAAGCAATGAACTCATAAGGAATAGGAGCCAAAACAATCGGTTGCTGTTTTCCGGAAACAACATGTGCCGGTTTAGGTCCAGCTGGTTGCCTTTTCAATGAGACTTTCGTATTTTTGTCCTTTGCTTCTTTTCGTAGCTTTTCATTTTCTTTAACACGTTTGATGAAGTCCTCTCTGCATTTTGAATGGTTAACATGTTCAATTCGAACGTTAATCCTTTTCGGGATGATGCGATGGCGAACACGTTTGTTGACAATAATACCCAAAGCGTGTGCGGTGACATTATAAACTCTTCCGGTTCTGCCGTGATAAACTTTGTATGGCATACCTTTTTGTACAGCACCATTTCCTTTAATGTCAACGATATCGCCCACTTTGTACACCTTCATGTACGTTGACAAAGGTATCGTACCATGTTTACGGAACTTCCGAGAGAATAAATCTCTTGTTCCACGACGGTAACCTTTTGAATTTGTCATTTTTTAAGATCTGGAAGAAGAAAACGAGGATATTAGTTACTGGCCATAACCTCACCTGCTCGCCATTACGTGCATTGAATCGGTCTTAAATTTTAAAAGCAGCAAACATTGCACCAATATAGAAACATACAATTATTATACGTCGACATTTTACCTAATAAGCCGTTTTAGAAAAGAAAATCTCTTACCAGTTACAACGTGGTTACTCAAAAAGAAAGTAATGGCGGATGTAAGTAACGATGTATTCCGTATTATCACTTCTCTCTGTTGGCTGCACTCATACCATAGAAGGATCCCTATAGTTTATTCACTCTAAAATTATTCTGGCTCACGGCCCGTCAAAGAAATCCACCATATACACGGTGTCTCAAATCGAGTGGGACCATTATTATTATTATTTATTCACAACAGAAGTAAAAATGTGGAAGCACACGAGAGAGCAATTGAATAGCTCATCAAGGGTCCCCATACTAAACATCGGAAAAAACCTGTACCTATATGAAAAAACACGGCAACCCTGTAATACAAATTGTTGGATATCCTAACCTGATGTTTGTTTTGCTTTTCCAATTTTCATTCAAAGCATGGCAAAGTTTCGTGAAAATTTAATAACAAATTGCGAAAAAAAGTTTATCATAAAGAATTTAGAGGACCACACGGTAAAATTTATCGTATTTTCAATGTGCGATACTTTACAGCTTTTTGTAGCGTTTAGATGGAAGAGCCTTTGACGAATTCCGAGAGCTATCCATTGACTTCGGTCGTGATTGGGGATGCTGTTACGTATCGTTAGGTAAAACACGGTAAGACTCTCCGTCCTGCACCTATTTGCAATATTGTAGTTCAGTGTCTTAGCGCAGGTGTCTTGCGAAATCCAGAGGCCAAAATCATCGAGACTAAGTGAGGGTATTCTCAGTATAAATGTCGAATTAAACCCTTTGGGCGCGTCACATTTCGAATCCGGTCGCAATTCCGAATTGCAAGTTGTCATGAATCGAATTTTAGAGAAGTGTGTTAAAGATTCAAGAGCGGTCGATATGGAATCCTTGTGTATTAAAATAAATGAAAAGGTGTGGGCGTTTAGGGTCGATATTAATATACTGAATCACGAGGGGAATTTGCTAGATTGTGCGTCTATAGCATTGCTGGCAGCGTTGGCACATTTTCGTCGACCTGACGTCAGTTGTGATGGTGAGGAGACTATTGTGCATTCGTATGCAGAACGGGATGCTATTCGTACGGTTATACATCATTATCCTGTTTGCATTACTTATGCACTTTTCAAGGAGGGGTAAGAATTAGTCACTACAAGATCGGTGATAATTAATATGTCTGCAGCACTGTCGTTTTGGCCGATCCTACTCTGCTAGAGGAGGGAGTCGCCGATGCTAGTTTAATTCTAGGCATAAATAGTTACAAGGAGGTTTGCACTTTGCATTTGGGTGGGAAGGCATTAATGGATCCGGAAAATATACTTAAATGCACTTCGAAAGCAGCTCATCGTGCTAGTCTACTTGTAACAGAGATTAAAACAGTGCTGAAACAAGATGACGAGAGGCGAGTACAGGGTCAAATTAACAGCTTCCAAAGTTTCAAGCATGCTCAAGGTACAAAGTCATTGGATACTCTCACAAAGTATTTGGATCAGTGGTCAGTGCAGAAGAGGAAAAGGGATTCAAAACGGAAAAATACTGAGAATGGTACTGTGCAACCGTTAGGCAAAGGATCGGCTGTCCTCTTGCCTGTAGAAGATGATGGTGCAAAGAGTTGGAAACCAAGTAGTGATGAAAATGAATCGGACTCGTGCAGTTAATAGTTTATTCAACATTTTAGTTCTTATTGCCAGTAAAATATTTTATAAAATTTAATTTTTAAAATTATATTATAAACGGTTTATAAGAAATATTAAGTTGTATCGCCGGTAATACCATTTTTTTGATCCAGTTTGTTACTGTTGGTTTTAACTGTGTAAATAAAGAACGTCAGGACATCTTTTTCTCTTACATGGATCGTTTTAAAGTGTTTCATTAACGTCTGTAACAAAACAAAAGAAATGTTAATCACATAGTTATCCATATATGTCAAAGCAGATTTTAATCTAAAAGGTATTTGCTATTTCCTAACCACATTTCATGACATTATAGTTGATTCGTAACACCTCACAAAGCGTCTTCTTGCAAACAAAACACGTTTTATAAAATAACTCATTGTGCATTATTCTCGTTGTACCTGTGTAAAAGAAGATGTTGCGTTTATGAAAGATTCGAATTATGCCCAAATAATGAATTTTCAAAGAATAATTTACGTATAGGTACAACTAATTAATTATGGCTAAGTAGAATCGAATAGGTGTTTCTTTACAATTAAAATTAGAAAATTGAATTAATTTAAAAAATAAATTCTTGAATGTTTATACCCGCACGCATATAACACTACAGAAAGCAACCGTCCTCGATCACAGACGATGGCTCGTAGTTATAGTAGGCTCTGGTACCCATTGCAAAATAGAAAAAAGTGCATTTGTGTTCATTGAGGTCTTATCGCCATGCATTCATATTATAATGTGTGTGACTGGGGCTCAATTCAGGGAAGTTATGTTGTGCTTTAACCTTTTGATTCAGTGTTCTTTGCTACACGCACACTTGTAGGTTTGTCACGTGAGCGGCATTTTTCGGGATTGTCCCGGTATTAGCTGCATTGTCACGGTTCTTCATTATATAAATCCCAGAAAAAATAACGCAATGTTTTGAATAAAGAGATCAAGCGCTATGAGAAATAAGAATAAAGACTACGTGTTTTATTCAAAAATGTATGGCCGTAATAAGAGCCAAAGGGGACGTTCCGCTTCCAGGTCCCCAATTGTGAAATATCAAATAAACATGGAAAATATTTGACGGTGCTTCACAACATAAATGAAGTTGAAATCTTCAAGATTTGTTTATGTGTACCACACATTTTGCCATATTTAACTCACATACTCAATTATTGTTTAAGGCACAATATTTTTCCATCATTTTGGAAGACATCTATTGTTATACCTACCTATCTGAAAAATTCGTGAGGTAACTGAGCTAAAAGATATACGACCTATTAGCACTACCCGCTTTTTCTAAAATACTCAAAAAGTTAATTGTCATTCAACGGCAGGAATATCTTAACAATAATTCTATCCTTCCCGAAATACAATCGGGTTTCCGTCCTGGTTATAGCTGTAGCTCTGCTTTCTCAAAGATTACAGACGATATCCTAATAGCCACAGATGAGGGCAAGTTAACACTCCTAGTCTTTTCTCCCAAGTGAAGCTGAATCAGCACTAGCTGCATTCAACTGTGACCTAGCAAGCCTAGCTAAATTTTCGAAATCCCACTGCTTAAATGTAAACCCCTCAAAGTCCGTTGCTATACTATTTGTGAAAAAATGATCGTGAACTGCATCTAAATGACCTAGCATCGACGCAGCTACCATTCCCTTATCCGATCAAGTCAAGAATCTACGGTTGCACACGGATAGCAATTTGAAGTTTACGCAACATATCTCCTTTAGATTGCAAAAAAGTTTCTTTTTATAGATCGTTGAATATTTTGAGGGGCATTAATAACATTTTCATTAAAAGAATTTCCAATTGTTTGAGGATTGTCGATGATTGGTTCTGAATTTTTAAGAGTAAGTGCTTGTTTACAAGGAACGTATACGTAAGAAATACGTAAGACTTAAAAATTTCGGAAAGTTGAACTGTATAGAAACATACGAAGGTGTTTATAATGAACGTAATTTTTACGTACGTATACGTAAGTGCTATGTAGGTAAGTCTTGCGCATAGTCGCAAAAGTTGTAAATGTTTCAAAGTTACGTACGTACTACATAGTAGTATGATCTTTGGTTTATTGTAAACAGAGACGTAAATTTACGAAAACGATACGAATATGCACGAGTTACGGTTTATGAAATATTTACATACGTTCATTGTAAACAAACACTAGGTAATATTTCTATGTGACTTTTCTATTGTTAAGTATAGATATAAGGCTCCATACTGTTTTATTTTTATTATTTTGAAATTATGGAGAGGTAGTGCCTGATGACATCTTTGCTTGCAAATGTTAATACGTTTTCAGTTCGGTACAGGCAGCTCAAGTAAAAGACTTTCGCAGCAAACCATAGTAGATGTACGTTTAAAAATTAAGCTAAAGTGACGGCTTGGAGCTTATGAACTTGACATTTTCTAAATTGGAACAAACAATATTGTATTTATAAAAAGTTATGGACTACGAAATTAGCGTATACATTCGACAAGATTGAACTAACTAAATCTCGAGTTAAATCATAAAAAAAATAAGGCTCTGCATTTTCAAAAAGTAATTGACAGTGACAAGGTAACACAGTTTTTAATTTTGAAGTTTTTATTTATATCTAATGCCCCATTTTTCCACCTCTCCAGAACTTTACTCTCCGAATAAATTCTATGTATACCATTGTCAATACAATCCTTGTCACTGTACTTATTGACCGAATAAATTTATCGAGAGATGAAAAAACTAACTCTTAATCTACTTGTCTACCACCACCTTTGAGAAATATGCAGCATATTTCGTGATGCGCACTTTCTCAGTATCTGAAACGATTCTTTGTTAGTCCTCGTTGAAGTTGCTTGAAGCCAGGGACAGCCCGACACAAAATCTTCATTGTGCAGGATTTGTTTTCGAACCTAAAGCCTTCCCTGCTTGAAGCAAACAGATATGGGCATGGACAATTTATAAACCGGCACTCCATTTACTTAAAGCAGCTTCACGAGGTCCAATGAATAAAGTTACTAGTTTCAAGCGGTCTTACATAGTACAGTATTAAACGTGCACTGGTTAGCATACTTACATCTGCTAACTGTGCTTTATTTAAGCCTGGTCGGGTAGGGACCTTATAATGTCTTTTATATCTACGTAATGTATTCACTTGTAACTGATACAAATCCACCTCCGGAACATCAGTATCTGTCTCATTACTGTCATCTTCCGAATCCTTACGTCTACGTTTACTTCTAGCACATTGTATAATCATTTTGTGGAAGTCACAGATGTAGATATGCCTCGCCTAAAATGAAGTAATGAAATTCTACAATATCCCCCGAGCTGGGTAGACTTACGGAAGTATCGATACTTAAATTAAGTCTTCTTTGCGTAACAGTTTTTTGAATACGTTTACTGTAGGATGCGTTACCTGCCGGTTTCGTGCATCGTTCGTTGTTATCAACTAGGCAACAAACTTGGTCCGTGGGACCTCGCGAATCTTCCTCCCCGGTGCTAAAACCGTTCATTCTCCACTACAGCTCGCACGAAACACAAACAGTTCGAACTACACACATCATTCACTTCACCTGCTGCACATCAACATTTTTATTTATTTATTATGGCATTTGTGTATAAATTTTCTGATTGGAGACACATAATGAAGAGCGCTCGCCCCTCCCAATAACAACATAATCAAATTTCCACTTGTTAATTGTACGTGTTTAATAAATCGTGTATTCACTTTGAGAATGCGATAAATGCGGGAAACGGCGATTGCGGTTTTTCGCTCAATTTTAATTAATTATTGTCCGCCTAATAGGCCCATTTAACGATTGTACTTTTCCAATTTTATGTTTACGTACGAACAAAAACTCATTCCTACCATTGCGCAACTGATAATGTTATTGGTTAGTAAAAGAAACGTAACAGAATACAATAAATGTGTCGGGATTGGTCGGATTTTTCCGCGAAATTTAAAATTGACCAATCGAACTGTTTTAGATTCCCTATGTTACACTTGTATACCGCATTAAAGTGGCGTGGGGTCAAGAAATACGAAGCCGATCTTCAGTTGTATCCAGACTAGGTACATCAGGTAAGAAATTTTTATATTTTTACTTGTAGGAATTGTCATTGAATAATATTTAAGCCGACATATGTAGTAACAATTTTGTGATTAAGTTTGTGATTCACGGCGTTGTATTATCTTCGTATAGGTTAAAACTAAATCCATAATTTGCTACGTACTATCCCATATAACGAGCCAGCAAATGGCTGCCATAAGCTTTACATAGGAAGTAGCCTTAGCGAAGTTTACAATTTTTTTCTACGATTACCGTTCGTCGAAGGCAAGTGTGATTTTTTTTTAAGATTACTAATTTTCGTGCCGACTTTTATGATATTTTTGCAAGCCGTTACGGTAAGTGGTTTGGCAGTTATTGTATTTTTTCTAACCGGCTTTGTTCGTATGGCAAGCCCGTATAGCGTGTATACGACTCCATTTATACAATGCTTTTTCCCTATGCTGTGTATAGCTCCGTATAGATATACGTTACGAATTATTTGTCATTCTCGATGATATTTTGTCAATTATAACGACGAAACCTTTTGATTTTACTATTTTAAGCTTATTCAGGTAAAGTTTTATTGATGACGTAGTGTATTTCGAAACCATTATTCAATATTTCTGGAATTTGTTAGAGCGTAGCATACGTTTTAGTTTTGCCGCCAATATGTCAGCGGGCGTCTTTTAACTGTAGAGATATATTTTTCCTTGGTTCTCCCTTAAATTGGACTTTATTTTTAATTATCCCGTTTATAAATTTTGTAGAACAAAGGTCATTCAAGGTTATTACTGTATTTATACTACTAAAATGTGAGTTTGTGATCTATTTAAGTCTATTTTATTACATCTGACGAACGTTAAAACGTTCACGTTTCAATGCAGATTGCTCATCTTAAATGCAATATTATTCTACTGATTACAAATGATACCTCCACGCATTATTTATGCATTTGAGGTTTTTTATTAAAAGTTGCGAGTTCCTCCGATGTTACACAGCCTCCCTGATCAGAACTCGAAGGATCATCGCAGGACAGTCTTACAAGTTTCCAAATATTGTGTAGAAGTCAATAAACTGTATCCTGAAATTTAGCCAACAGGGTGTTACCTACTTCAAATATAATATTATTTCACTGGAGCTTCTGTCGGAGATCACTTTGTGTAACGGGAAATTTGATTTCGGATACACATTCAACGCATTTGCATTACATGAAGTAAATTGTATTACTTACAGAAACTGTAAGATCAACGAATAAGCATATACTGAGCTATAAGTTTTGTGGGTCATGTGTAATTTTTTGTGACAATATTCTAAGGTTTCCATTTCACCATTTCAAAATTTTGCTTACCTACATCAATAAAATTAATGTACATAGTTGGCAAGTGTTCGGGCAATACAGTTTTAAAATTTTAGTAAGGCTCCTATAGCGCTTCCCATAGTTCTATCATGTTCTCCAAAGTAGTTTCCAAAAAAATAATTCTTGCGAAGGTAACAATATTCAGCCAGTAATAGATTTGAAATATTTTTTGGGAAGTTGGCAATAACAATCGAGCAGTAAATGTGCATATGAATGGATAAATCTTAGCCCATCTTGTTCTCGCTTTTCGAGAGTATGATGGTGGTCATGCTTGTTTGTTAGCGAACGTTGCTCCTTATCCTGTTTTATCCTAGTTTAAATACCTGATGTTAATGTCCTATATGTGTGTTTACGTCTTGAGTGTGACTTGAAAAGCCCGAGTTTATAACGAACATAACATAACTTTAGTCGCTAACATAATTCTTTCATCTTGGATTTTAAAGCCTTGCTTATGGGGATAAACTGAAACTCTGCCTGCATCCTTGCCAAACGCTGAACAAACTTCCTACACTCTACCTATTGCGAAGCGGACTGCTTGCATACGACAAGCGGGGGTGGTGGTGAGCGATTTTCCTCCTTCCTTTAGGGGTGTTTGGGTACCAAATGTGTCATGATCATGATTGATTTGAAATCTACTACACACATCAGAAATATGCAAAATCCTCTACTCACACACTGGGATATACTATAGCAGGGTAGATGTAACGGCTTACGATGTGTTCGACTGTACTCTGAGTAACCGACCAGCAAGTTATTAAGCAGCCACTGATAGAATTTTGGCTATCGTGTTTCATATTGTCGGAAATATTCTACTATCAAAAAAAGCAACTCAATTTTTGATGTCATTGGTGACAACCCTTAAATGTGAAGCAGGATTCTCAAATTTTTCATACGCGAAATGGATTTTATCTTGTAAGCCATTTCTTGTTATCTTGTGCGGAAAAGGAGTTCTGAGCAACACCACCAGAGTTTAATAATACATAACAATCACGGGTTCGACATCATTATTAACAAGTTTTTTTAAACATGTTTATAAAATCAATATAAAGATTAGAAGGCATTGTTTATTTTGCGTATGGGATAGTTCGCTTCTTCGAATTGAGAAACTTTCAGATTAAGTTGTTTTTTTCATAAGTTTTGCAATTACCGAAATATTTGATTTTTGCAAAATGGTGCTTACAAGTTTTTTTAAACAACTTTTAATTTGGCCTTACATTTTTTTAAATTTTCTACACAAAATTTTAGTCGGCAAAAAACTGCAACATTTTGCCCATCTAACCTAATCGCAGTCTTCAACAATAACCCATGCAATCCCTCTCGATCTGGGACACCCTGTATATTCGAATATTTTTAAAATTAGATAATACGCATAACATTGTTTTGAAAAGTGATCTTGAATTCGGCATTTATATTGTTAAATACATAGGTACTAAGAACTGAAATACATTTAGTGAAAATCGTGATTGCGCAAATCGTTAAAAATCATAATATTTTTTTCTGATTTCATAAATAATGGTGACTTTCCTAATTACGTATGAAGGTCGATTGTTACTTGCGCTGCATTCAGCTCGGAGAAGCGACGCGGTACCGCGCTGCAAAATGTAACTCTAGTGTGCATTTCCGCTATGGCGGCAAAAAGCGACAGCATCGATACACTTGCGTTGTTTTTTGGCTTAGTGATGCCCGGCGACATACACAAAAATAAGCTCACGAAATACGATAAACTTCGCCGCGCGACGTCGTAAACTTACTTTAGTGTAGCTTAAGAACGCGATACCGACTGTGTAGCGTGGCATGGCGTTGCGTCGCCAAGATTAATGCAGCGCAAGTGATAATCGACCTTAATAGTCCAGATTTATTTACTCGTTTGTTTACTAGTACATTACATAATAGTTTTTAATTGTAATGCCGTGCGAGCGGTACATGCGTTAGCTACATAAAATTCTTTTTCTATTTCGGTGTCACAATGATGATTTTGTACAACTGTTTTCGGAGTTGTACAAAGACAGTGATTATAGTCGTGTTTTTTTGGTAACTCATCTCTTAAGTTGGCAGTTACTAGTTAGTACAAGTGGGTACTTCGTTGGGTACTTCCATGTTTGAACTTCAAAATGTCAGTCTTACACTACGCTGCCAACCCAAAACTTAACGGCATAAAAAGTGTTCCCAACATAAAACATGTTAGTTCTAATGTTCCCTATAGTTTCTGATAATGATTTTTTTAATTAAATTAAAGCACCGAAATAGAAAAAATAGTATGAAAAACGCGTGTTACAATGCGACCTATTGTAATACTCCTATCTTGCGGACACTCGTGGCTACGCTTCGCGTCGCCACTCGTGCCACAAGATAGTCGTATTACAATAGGTCGCATTGTAACACTTGTCTTTCAATATACTATTTCAATTTTCAAGAACTTAATTTTGGATTCGTTATTTTCATCAAATATAAAATTTCCTCGAAATTTTTTTTACATGAAAAATTGTTTGTATCGACAACGTAGAGCGTGTAGTATTTATACCTATTTCAATTTTTAATTGTATTTTTGTTTTGTGAAAAATGTTGCTAAGAATATTTTGGAGAAAAGTTCCTTAGACAGTCACCCTCTGCGTAAACAATTTGAAACCCTTTTGTGACAGGTAAGGGCATTTTTAATCCTCGTGAATCACACAAACAATGGCAGACCGTCCGGAGACCCAAATTTTAAACACAAAGGCAATCGACCGAGATTCTTTTCTCTCGTTTAAATCTACCGTTATTTGTCGCTCGACTACGCTAAACATAAATTTCTTTCAAAAGTAATCGGTTATTTTTTGCGGCAGATGGGCCGATTTTAATATTTTTAATTACAAAATGAAATATGGCTGTCTGCTTAATTAATTTAGTTAAGGCCGGGTTAGTGGAGACCCTAAATACTATAACCAAGCCCTGGGAATATGCATTCTTATTGACCGCGTTCAGTACGACTCTTTGGTGGGGGTTGGATTTCAAATTACGCCGCTGCGTGTGAGGGCGCTTCGATCCGTATTGGCGTCCTCTCGATACTGTGTTGCCAGATTTTAGCAAACAGTTCGTCGTGTGTGCGTTTAAACTCGCTTTGTAATTATTTCAAATTATCGGTGGTTTGAAGGTGGATTTTTGTGTTTAAGTGCGCTCGTATTAGTCGCATTGAAGTGGGTGATCGTCTGGCGTGTGTCTAATAGTTTTGGTTTGATTTATTTCTGGTTTGTGATCCGAAAATGTGGATTGCGGGACGGGGAAATTTGTGTCTGTGTTTGGAAACTAATTGTTTGTCAGTTTTTGGTTCGATTTATACCTACAACTGTAGCATACGGCGTTAATAGCCCTTAGGCTGACCTCGACATTGAATTGTCGGCAAAATCTTTCGCGCCGTTGCAGCACCTCTTATCTCTTTCTCTTTTTAACACGAGCGGTTAGTACTGCGCATCACCCCGCATAAAAGAGTGAAACTTGCAACAACCCCTCGCAGCCGCCCGTTGGTGAGTTGCAGTAGTGAGGTCATGTCGGACCATCGTGGTGGAGTATGGGGTGCGCGGGAGGATGCCGTTTGGTGGCCCGGCGCAATAGCCGCCGCCGATCAACAATCTCTCCATCACCAACAGTTACTTCACCAACAACAACAACAACTTGCGGTCCAGCAGCAGCAGCAACAACAGGCCGCCCAACAGCAGCAGCAGCAACAACAAAATGAAATTGCCAATTCAAACGCCGGGACACACCAACTCTTCAGTTACAAGATGGCCAGCACGTTTCAACATCCCGCAACCACCATGGCAAATGTATCTTCCCCTTCGCCTATCGCAGCACCGGGTATGCGCGGTTACGAATACAGACTTGCTGGAAACCCAACTATGACCGCTCCCCCGCCGACGTCACAATGGTGGTACCCTAGTGCGATGGACAACTCGATGCAAAATTCATTACCACCAAACAGCATGCAAAATATGTCACCTGTACAGACTCCTCCCCCAGTGGTAGGTTCCGTTTCGTATTCTATTAACGAAAAATTAATAAAATGGCGTCCGAAAATCCGATAATTGCGAATTTTATTTCCGAACTTCGGCACGTTTAGGTCATTATCTCGCTACTTCGCCGGAGGTCAGGGCAGGTGGTCTTTGGGTGCGGCACTTCACCTATAAAAAAATAATTACTATATGCATAAAATTAACGTCAGGATCGACGGTATTCGAAGGTTTCCAAATAGCACCTTGAACCGATGTTAAATTTCCCGTGTTACTCTCTTGATATTGAACTTCATTGACCGCAAGTTTTTTTCCAGTTTTTTTTTTCTTATAATTCGTCCGTTTAGTCATGTCATTCCAATTACGCGAACCTAATTAAAAGTTCTTGGTACGATTAAATTGTTAAACGACTTTTGCATGGGCACCCCCGCCGGAGAGAGCGTTTGCGTTAGTACAATGAAACTTGCAGTTACGCGAAGAATGCGCGCCGTTAGAAAAACTATTTGTTGGCCTTATTCAAATTGACGATGGAGATTACCAATAAAAGGAAAATTGCACGTGTAATTTTGTTGCAGACAGTTCAGTCAGCAGTTCAGCAACAGCATCAAGCGGCTGAAGTTCATAGGCAACAGGAAGTGCAAAGGCATCAAGCAGAGGCTCAAGCTGCCAGACAGCAGCAAGCGGTTGCGGAAGCTCAGGCGAGGCACCAGTCTCAACAGCAGCAAAATCATTTGCAACAGCAAAACCACCAATCGCAGCAAAACCATCAGCACACTCAGACGCTTCATCAGCCCCTACAGAATCACCAGTCGTTACACTTGCAATCTGCGAATCATCAAGTTCCAGACCAAAAGTCGCTTCATCAAATTAGTCATATCCAGGTACCTACGAGAGGAAGGATGCCGCGTGGTAAAGCCGATTCGAGACCTAGGGGTCGTATGACCGCCTACGCGTTTTTTGTACAGACGTGCAGAGAAGAGCACAAGAAAAAGCATCCCGAAGAAAACGTCGTATTCGCCGAATTCTCGAAGAAATGTGCGGAAAGGTGGAAGGTAAGCGCGCGCGTTTCCGTTTTCAGTTACAGGAAAAAACTTAATTAAGCCATTAATTTCGGGTGTTTTAACTCGCAGGTAAAATTAAGGGGACATTGTGCTATTATTACCTTTCTCATTTTAAAATGAAGGTAAACAGGTTTTGGGTAAGGCAACTGCGGTATTTAAGATTCTCGTCTACACCGGTTAAGACCGCGTTGCCAGTTTTGTTTTATCGAAAATCCCCGTCGATTTTAGAAAATTTTATTGCAAAACTTGCATTATAGATTATAAATTAAGATATTCGTTTTATTATACGCACGCGCCCCTTCGCGGATTACATACGAAAATCAATGGTAGACGCTTAAAGAGGGGTTTTACAGGGGTAAGAGGAAAGCAACCCCTTTATGTGGAACCCTTTTACGAACTAATCTTGAAAATTTTAATTGAAAAATCTTTTTAATTTACTTTTTTCTCTTTGTAATCAATTTAGATCATTCACACACTGACATTTCCATTTGGTAGCGCAACGCCACATACGAAATTGTGCACGATTTTCTCAAACCCCTTTATTTTAGACTATGCTGGATAAAGAAAAGAAAAGATTCCACGAGATGGCCGAAAAGGACAAGAAGCGTTACGATGCCGAAATGCAAAACTACACTCCACCGAAAGGCGAAAAACAACGCGGTAAAAAGAGGAAGCAAATCAAAGATCCAAACGCACCAAAACGTTCCTTGTAAGTTCAACTTTCATTAGCCCATCACAAGCATAACTTGATCGATTGATTTCCCAATTACTTTGGATGTCAGTCATAAAAGTATGCTATACTAATCGAACGCGGGAAATTTTTTTAGCATATTTCATTGCTAAAATTCTGATTTGTGTTACGTACAACAAATTGAATATTTAATTTTATAAAAAAATTTTTGTTAACGATAATTACTTTTTTCGTTTGTTTAGGTCCGCTTTCTTTTGGTTTTGCAATGACGAACGCAGCAAAGTCAAGTCACAAAATCCGGAGTATGGCGTAGGCGACATTGCTAAAGAATTGGGACGAAGATGGGCAGAAGCGGATTCTGACGTAAAATCAAAATACGAAGCGATGGCCGAAAAAGATAAGGCTCGCTATGAAAAAGTAAGTAAAGTAGCTGCTTTGTTTGTATATTTTTAATTTTCTTCGCCACGTTCGCATTAATATGGCGCACTTTTCCAGTTTCCAATAAATGTTTAAAATTACCGATTCTTAGGAAATAGGCGTTTACATTTGTTCCAAGATGACAGTTGTCTTCTCTCTACCTTTTTTGGTTTATGAAAACTGTCTTACGTTAAAATCAAAGCATGTGTAAAGCGTTGTTTTAATTTTATGATTAATATGCATCATTTTTAAAGTACGCCCATGATTAGACACACCAATTGAATGAGATTTGATTTGTCTTTCCCAAATTTAATTTAATACTTGTTACATTTCTACATCCCAAATACAAGACGACGGATCAACCACTACATTACATCAATTGAAATTGAATTTTTCATTTCAATGCATTAACATTTAATTAATTAAACTTTCTCAGTTCTACTTTTGCCATATAATTGTAGTATGTGGTTGAAAATTGTGAAGATGTGCGGGTTACGCATCCAATTTTTTAATTTTCATTTACTGTTTGTATGTTTAGTAATACGTAAATATGTGTACAGTATACCCGCGAGCGACGCCGCTAGCCGAAGATAGGATTGGCCACACGAAACCTGAACAGTGGCGTAACATTGCTTAATGTATCGATAAACTGAACTGATAAGACGAGTGACAAAGATCACTTTTGATTGATGAGTATTGACCAAAATTTAATCAGTTAGTCCTTTGACCATTGTCTATCTATTACTGAAAACAGAATGTGTTTTTGTGCTGAATTCTAAAAATTAGTCGAGGATAAACTGTCTTTATTTTAGCACATATAACAAAAATGTATTTAAAAAAGTTGTAGGGATAAAAATTATGGTCGACTTTTTGTTACAAGGATGAGTACGTCAGTATTGGATTCTGATGAAAAAACTATAAAGTAGGTTTACTATTGACTAATTTTTAGAATTATGCAAAAAACACCCCATATATTAATTGATTTTTTAATATTTTTCAATAGTCAATAGTTTGAGACTAAGCAGGAGCGATCCTCAGAATATGAAGGTCCAACTCCACTCAATCCGTGGACACACTATACATAAAAAATACGTACAAAAATTGGATGGAAAAGAGTATAAATTTTTTTCCAATAAAATAAATGGTAATAAATGTGGCCACAGAAAAATGGAACTAACAATATAATCTATCCTTTCGCTAAATGCGAAAAAAATTATGGCTTGGACTTTCTTTATATCAGCATGTTGGAATATGAACATTTACATAACAAATTAAGATTTCAAATTACGCTAGCTAGTGCATAAAATTCATATGACTCATGAGATTACTGTAAATATTCAATGAATTTTTATAGATATTATAATAGGCATATGGAAAAACTTTTACTGATACTCATACTCAAATTCTTGACTGAACAGCTTCCTAGCTCAAAAAGTAGACATAAAAAAAGTTTTTGACATTCTTACATTCTTTTATAACGAAATCAAAATAACCGTTTTGACAAAAAAAATGTTACTTTTTCAATTTTGATACTTTTTCTCCCTTTTTTGTAATAAAACCTAGTCATAATTTTTTATGGATGTGGATAATTTAATAAAAACTTGTTTTTGAGAAAAAAATTCAAAACCGTACAAAAATTATTTTTCGTTTCTGTATGCCTAGTATTACATATCCAAAATTTGAAAAAAAATTATTCTTTAAAAACTGCTTAAAATGATCTAAAACGTCATTTGATGAAATTTTAACATGTCCAAAAACTGTGATCGCAATAGCCCCTAGCTCAAGCTAGGAAGCTAAAAGTCTACGTAACGGTTTACAGAACATTTTTCTCCCACCACCCAGTTTACATGTTAGCTTTCTGTATAACTAAATACATTATTTAAAATTTTTCCAACCATGGGAAATCCTAAACTTTTTTTTCTTGTGAAAAGTCAGCCTCTTAATTGCAAACTTTTTTTACGCAGGAAATGACAGCGTACAAGAAGAAAAATAATCCCGCCATGCCTGCTGCTCCTGTACCTGAAGCGGATGATGAAGACGACGAGGAGGAAGAACTAGAGGACGATGAAGATGAATAAGCATAGAAAGTTTGTCATTTGTACCTCACATGCCTTTCATTCATTCCTCCCATGTAAATAGCAGTTTGTGTTTTTCATTCTTTATCTCATGTTTGTTTGTGAGTACTTACTGACTGCGTGAATGAAAGTCGCTCGAGTCGTTATATAAACAAAGCTCGGTGACGTTTTTGCATCATCCCCATTTAAACCAACAAAAAAAAAAGATATTTGTAACTTGAATTGAAAAGTTTGTTTTGTAATAAATTAGATTATAGAACTGTGTAAAATTCTGGTATTTTGATAGAACGAAAGATTTTTATATATGATTTGCTTTTCAAGTTACTTTAAATAATCGGTACGATTTTACGTGTCAGTTTCGTTCATAATTAATTTAACTAATTTTTATGTATTGAAATCGTTATTTTTTTAATCCTTACGTGTTTCATTTCCGAGTCCGTGCTCAGGCAAGTCCAACGGGTTCATATATATTTGCGACGACCGATTGTTTATTTTTTGATGTATGTACGTATTTTTACTGCTTTGGATTTTGAAGTTGCCAACCGTTAGCTTGTGTACGAGTATTAGTGAAAAAAATTACCCTTTTTCGTAATCCACATTTGAATTTATTTAAATGGGTGAATGTAGGTTGTGGAAAGACAAGGGAAGTATTTTTTAGCAAAGTTTAATCCATGTTACCATAGAAGTAAAAGATGATCAGTGCTTTTAATTATAAATTAATGTAATAAAATGCGATGTTTGCAAAATTGCAATGTTCAAAGTCCAATTCGCAGATTGTTTTGGTTGTCGCAATTTAATTTAATTTATATAGCTGTATTCTACGATGTTAAGTTAAAATATTCACTAGTATATGTAATGTCAATCGTACCCTATAGGATAAGCAGAGCAGAATATTTTTTGTCGGTAAATTTTTCATTATAACTGATAGCAAATTATCGATTTTAAAGTAAGAACAGTGTGGTGACACTTCAGACTGCCTCAACTATGTATTATAAATATATTAACAATGGACAATATATTGACTAGCCAAGTGCTTTGTATATCCATTTCTTGTGTATTTTTTAAAATCTGTTTGTAAAATATAATTTTTAATTTACCTCCCCAAGCACATTTAAAATGGGAGTAAAATGTAAAGACATGTTGAATTTGACATAGTATGTATTTGCAAGAAAAATGTTAACATATTTTGTATTTCTCTGAATACTGTTTGCGTTAACTTTTCTACTAAACTCCATAAAATGGAAGAAATTCACTTCCCATGACAGTGCTCTGTATTATTTTAGGGAAATTGATAGAAGCAATGATTGTTTTTTGTATCTTATAGGGTTTAATAAAAGTAATAAACTTTTGAGAAGTAACTTTTATAATTGCTAGTTTTCGAAGTTTGTAAAATGTACATATTTTTAATCTCGCAAAGATTGTACAAATTGTGTAGCATTATTTAAAAGAAAAAATGCATTATACAGACTTGTCCACCTTTAATCTTCGAGTTCAAGAAAACGTTAATGTACAAGAGCATTTTTGTAGGCATATTTGGAATCTCCAAATTTTCCTCATTTGTAAAAAAATGAAATGTCCTTTTTATGCCTTGTGGTAGTTTTTAAGCCTCTTGTTCAAGCAATTCCTTTTTACTCCCTTTAGAAAACCTACCTGGCTTTAATTGGACATACGCCATCGGGTCTTTCTGATTGATTGCTGGAGCCTAACACTTGACCCTTTACAAAGCTACATATCATTTTATTTGTAAATAATTGTATACACAACCTCTAATTTTTCTTTTATACTGTGGTTTTGTCAAGTTTTGAAGGCACTCTACAAGTTATAATATAAAGCGCTCTTATACTCTGGCGACTTCTTAAAAAAAGAATGTTGTGGGTTACTTAGTCCGAGATTATCTTTGTGTCTGGTATCGTAAGTGTGCACATCTTTATTGAGCAAATAGGAATTCTTGTGCATGTGTATGTGAGTCACACAGTGGAGTACATATATGGAAAACAAGGTGAGAATTCGACGGCTGCGGAAATCCCCTTGGCACGAATGATTGTATTTAATATTGAAAATTAATCGGAGTAGTCTTTTTTGCAATACAAACACTCTGTCACAGTAAATGCTGGCTCCCCATACTGCAATATTATAACTAATCGCTGAGTATGCTAATGCATAGTACACACTTAGTAAAACTCCAGGTGAGGTTTCACAAGCTCCAATAAGAATCCAGAAATCAAATTGTGGCAATTTTTTTCTATATATTTCCCATTAAAATTCTTTTTGTGAGAATCTGCCTAATTTTTCCTTGAAAGTTCAATAAACCCGCTCAATTTTTTGGCAGATTACAAAATGATAAAATATAGACTAATCTATATAAATGTCACCTTTGGAATTTTTGTTTACTTGGGAAATCGTACTTAATTGTAATTTCCAAAGGCGACACGACAGCAACTTATTTTTGATCGCTCATTATATTTTCATAATAAGATTGAAATGTGTCCATGTTGGAAGATCCAATTCTGAATCAAAATTTGTTCAATGATGACAATGTATTCCCGTTTGTAGCTTATTGTCATGCACAAAGATTCTCAAATAATACGAAATATCTGCGAGATCAGTATTTTTCCGATCTGTGGACTGTGGGGTTATTTACACTATTATTAGGTTTTAAAAGTTAAGGAGAATAATTGAAGAGAAAATGCAAAATTTCAAATATGAAATATAGACTTTTCCTTTATTAGAAGTTGCACATTTTTTATATATTATACCTACCGTGTACAGATAGGTTTTCCCTCCAATCAGTGGAAAGGACATTATTTCTGCAATGGTAGGGGAGTTTCAATTTCAAAGTTCTTTGGAAATTTAATAAATGCCTCAATCCTCTCTCACTAAAATCACAAAAAGTATACATTTGTTATCCCAATCAAAGAAAGGCCTCTTTCTAATGCTTATTTATGGTATCTTGATCTGTGATGGCACAATTTGGAAACTATAGTTTTTGACGGTAAATGTATCAAGTCTAAGACATGCTCCTTTCAACGAATTTTCGATGTGTAGTATACCTACTTAAAATATTCAACGAACCATTGAATCTATGCACAGATGTCTATAACATAAGAATGTGAACTAACAAAAATATAGATCTAAAAAGCAATAATCATATTTCATCAACTTGTCAGTAATTTTGTTCAGTCATGCGATCTCTAGTTTGGGAACAGTTCACCTAAAACTGCTCAGTTATTTCGCCTCAATTTTGCTTGTGTCGTTCAATAGTAAATTGTAGTGTTTAACCACTCTCAAATGAGAAAATGCAAGCACAGTTGCCCAAAGTAAACCGCGGTCAAAAGATTCTTTTCTCTCAATTTGACCATGTGAAGAATGTTGACGAAAATTATGTTGAAGAGTACACCGATAAAGTCGTAGACGTTAAATATCACGAGTTGGATCTGGTAAAAGAAGATTTAGCAGTATGGATTAACAAGATTCTGGGTAATTGGCTTTTAATTGCAAAAAATTCCAATACATTTGGATTGTTTGTGTTTCAATCAATAGTACCCTTCTAAAATAGGACATTATGTACCAGGTACACAAAAAATAGTAACAGAGTCGTGCCTGTCTATCAGTGGGATGATATAATTCCTAAATTATTCTAAAATAGATCACTTTTGTTTACAAGAGTTTTTATGGGCCTTTTTTGTAGGTATCCATTACCTCAATCGAGAAAATTTACTACAGGAACTTGATAATGGAGCGATTCTATGCCATTTAGCATTGTCTATTAAAAGGCGCGCAAAAATCGCAATTGTGGGAGGATTGATAAATAAAGTATACAAGAATGACAATGTAAAATTCAGAGTGCAATTTAGTCACTTTTTCAGGGCATTCCTAAAGTACGCGAAAAGTACTTCGAAAATGCTATGCGGAAGAGTTTTTTCTCACGCGATAATATGGAGAACTTTATACAATTTTGTCGTTCGCTCGGCGTGCATCCAAATTTGCTTTTTGAAAGCGACGATTTGGGCAAGTTATTAATTCAATTCGCTCTAGCTTTAAAGAAATACTTGCAGTCCTTCATAACAACTGGAGAAATGTGATCCTATGTCTTCTAGAAGTCGCGCGCCTTTCTGTTCAGTACGGTATCGAGCCACCAAATTTGGTACAATTTGAAAAGGAGGTTATGGGCAAGTCTCATTATCCTACATCTGATTATCAAATTGATTCACAAATATCTTGGCAATTCCAATCGTTACCATCACGTTTTAATTGTGAAGAAATTATCAATTCACATAGCAGGTAAAATCATATAGCCTTTCAATAAAAATGAATGCTTTGAAATACCGAATACTGAATGCTTAGCCCCACTTGCGAACCAGACAACAAAGAACAATCATTCTGTGCAATAAAGGGAACAGATGAGCAGTACCAATCCTTACCAATGTCCTACTCTGCAGCGAAAGCAGAAATCGATTGGAAAACAGTTAAGGACGATTTTTACACATTTATCGATAGTAAAATGCTGAATGACACAAATAAAAACTTTGATGAGCTTGATCGTAAGGTAGAACAAGCAGTGTACCTGTTACATTCCAAATGTAAATGTGTTAATCCAAGATTGGTCAAGTTGAAGATTAAAAAGATTGGAGAAGGCCGGTATACTATAGCCGGAAGAAATGTGTTTGTACGTGTAAGTATCACACAATTTTTCACCGAGACAGTCTAAGCTTGTTTGTTAGTTACTCAAAGATCGTCACATGATGGTAAGGGTGGGCGGTGGATGGGATACCTTCGAACACTTTTTACAGAAATACGACCCGTGCCAGGTACACAATTAATTTATTAAATAAACATTGAATTTTTACATTTACAGGTGAACGGCAAGGAGTTTAAACCGTTCATTGTAACAAGACCTATGGCAGTCTCAGTGTTGTCAAATGTACCAAAACGTTACTCCTATTACAGCAGCTTCAAAAAAATTCTACGACCTGGCGAGAGCACAATATAAACTTAAATTACAAAACACGATTTTCATTGTAGAGACGACTTAGAGCAACATAAAAAACTATGCGCTAAAATAAATACAGTTTTACTCATTAATGAATTGGAAAAATAAAGTAAGGAGCATGGTTATTTCTTTTTGCTTTTTCCCAATGTCAAAGTGTGATGACTGGAGCCGATTTGTTGATATTGCACTTTACGACGATTAAATTCAATTATCTCATCGTCTAGTTTCTTGCGTTCCTCCTCAATTTTCTTCTTCTCTTCGGTGTGTTCCTTTTTTAATTTATCGAACTTGGCATGCAACTAAAGATTGTAGATTAGTATGAGGAACAAAAATTTATTTTAGTCCAGCAAAACTAGACAGGAAAAATTAGGAGTTCTGAGCCTTCATATTGTCACATCAATCCATGTGCCCCTAAACATTCCAACGGCGTTTGATCACTTTTAGGTAAAAAGCATAATTACGCCACCAAATTTGTTTCTGTAAGAATGATTTTATAACGTTTATTCGTAACCGTTTTGAGATAATTCAATTAATAGCATTATAACCACTTGAAAAAGGCTAATGTCCGTTTGCACTGGCAAATTTAAGCTGAGCTGAGCATAGCTTAAGATCCATGACAACCATTGTCCCTATAATAATATTGTTGTCATGAATTTTAAGCTATGCTTTAACTAAGACAAATACCTATACAGGGTGATTCCTATAGTACCTGCCACCGTTTGGGAGCGTATAGGGGGTGCCTAGGGGAGTATTTTGATATAGGACACTTGGGGTCGGAAATCTAAAATAAGGGCGCCAGAACCAAATTTATCTTCTGGAATTTCACGCCTGTATGTAGGCAACCCAACCGACCGACGTTTCGCGCGGAGCGATGCAGAGCGAGTTAGCGCGAGGAAGCGACATGGGAGGGAAGGAGGGAAAACGACAGTCAAAAGCAATAACGTTTACAAGTGTTCAACGTGGCCACCGTTGTTCTCAATGCACTTCCTACATCTAGCCAACTATTATTATACTATTGCCATAGTGTTTATTCACTTGATACGCGTCGTTGCAGACGGGATTTCGTGGGTTTAAACAAAATTCTGATCAAGTGTCAGCCACACATCGCCGCCTGAGATCGCTCCGTGTGCACCGCCGGCCGGTTGGGTTGCCTACCTACAGGCGCGAAATTCCAGAAGGTAAATTTGGCTCTGGCACCCTTATTTTAGATTTCCGACCCCAAGTGTCCTATATCAAAATACTCCCCTACGCACCACCTACACGCTCCCAAACGGTGGCAGGTACTATAGGAATCACCCTGTATATTAACACAGGAAACTGACGTTGAAAACTGGTCGTTGAAAAGCGGTAACGAAAATCCGTAAGAGGTAAGGGAAGACCGTTTGCGTCATATATTGTCAAACTGACGTTTGAGATTGTAGTACCAAAGGTTATTTTGCTTTTCATAGACGTAGGTGAACGAATATGGATAGTGACATCATAATCATAGCGCTTCTAGTGTTAATACACCTTCAACACAAATGTTTTAACGGTCGAATACATTCTCATCTTAATAAACAAAACATGATTCCGTAAGAGATAAGGTATGAAATGAAACAATCCATTTCTTACCTCTTACTACTTACGTCTTGCATCTTACGGAAAAACTCTGAATGTCACCATTATAATTTAAATGTTTATTTTTCTTATTTCTTATCGTTACCTCTTACCGCTTACCGTTACGGAACTCTGAATCGGCCTTAAGCTGTCATAGCGACTTTGATACATCTTGGAATTTTTAGTGACACTTTGACTTTTGACATTATGTTTAAAGTAGTTAGAGCGCGTTCGGCTGAAGTCAAGTGATGTACTCGGCCTACCTATTACTTACGGTAAACGTCCCCAAAAAAATGTTGTTATGAAGGAAACATAATTAGAAATACGGTATGAGTGGTATTTTGTACCTCAGCACAATGCAAACGTCTTATATGATTTTTAAAAAGGTATATATAGTAGTCAACTTGACTAGTGTCCGTACTTTTCGACCCTGTTTCAAACCTTTGCACACTAAATGTTCACGACACACCGCGACTAAATATTCACAGTGTAAGCGGTAAATCCTAAACGAATATATTTATTCTTAATCAAAACGTATGCGAGACGTATGTAAAAGCCGGGAAACTAAATAATTTGGCGTTTTGCGTGAAGTCGGTGTAGTGGATTTGATTTTTCGATGTTGGCGCCAGAGATCCCCAGCCGCTATCTTGATCTCGATCCGATCAGTGTGTCAACAAGACGTGTGCAGGCCTTTATAAATATCGCTGGTTTTGGTGTTCTTTCTGAAAGACACGATGCCTTTTGTGAAGAAAAGTGCTCAGCAGAAGAAGGAAAAGATTGTCCTAGCTCAGCTATATACTAGACCTAGTGGAAAAGTCATCAGATTTAAACGCGTGTTGCATAGCGTGCCGCCGCGTCAGAGCAGACGCCGCTTCGGCGGTAAATATCTTCCTTATTTCATCATGAACATGTACTTTTCCGTGCATATTTAGATTCGTCACAAAATTTCGCTTCTAATGAGACCCATCTCGTTTAAGTCTTGATACAAAAACCTTCACTAGCTCAGAAAAACTGAGTCTGTCCATAAGGGCCCAATGTTAAAATACCCTGTTTTTACTGTCAAATATCTCAGAAACGGCACATAGGAACACTTTTTTCTTTTGACCATTAGAAAGTGCGTCTCTCAGAGAATAAGTGACCAAATTTTCACCAACTTCTTGTTACTTTTACCTAGGCGCTCTAACTACTTTAAAATCAGAAAATCACGCCACAATTTTTCATTTATTGTTATTGTCTAATTGTTCTGGACTAGACGCTTTGAATAAAGGAACATGCACTTACGTCTTTTTCTGCATCCTTCAATTCGGCCTCCTTTTCCTTAACACGCACCACAAACATTTGCCTCATCTCGTCCTCCTTCTGCTGTAACTCTTGCAAGTGGTTCGAGCGCTTATTCTCGAATGTCTGTTGGAAACTAATGGGCTTATTTTCTGAATCGACATCACTAAAACCCATTTGCTCAAGTCTCTTCTTACGGTACAGCTCGTAGTGGACGCAGTGAGTTTTTTCGCGCATATCCTCCATATTTGTACGTATCAGCATCTCACGTAGTTTGACGAAATCACAATGAGATTCATTCTCAACCTGAACAGTACCCCATGGATATTGTCGGGCTCGCACCATCTTATTTCCGACCCTAATGAAATCTGTACTGCCAATAACGGCGAAAGGAATATGCGAATTCATGTTTGTGTTTATTTCAGATACGGATTCGTCGTCCGTTGGGAAATTATAAATTTGGACATCGTTGTTTTGCAGTTCTGCGATTATTTTCGATTTAAATTTTTGGAGTTCACTTTTCGAAATGGTATCGGCTTTTGCAATTATTGGTATGATGTTTACCTTTTGATCAAGTTTCTTCATGCATACAAGATCAATGGATTTTAAGCCGTGGCCAGTTGGACAAATAAAGTACAGGCAAATGTGAATTCGGTTGTCATGATATGTCGATAAAGAACGTTTTATTTTTAATTCCTCTTGAAGGTATGACTCAAATTGTGTGTCAATGTAGTCGACGACTGCCTTAAAACTGTCGTCCTTATTAATCTGGTCACCATAACCCACGGTGTCGCAAATGGTTAACTGTGAATTATTAATTGTTAGTGGTAATCATTAACATCAAGGAGGCGATTCCCAGACCATAAAACACGAACGAAATCCTTATAAAATTCCTTAGAATACTTTGCAGGGATTTGTAAATTACATATTCTAAAGACTTTAATTGGATTCCTCTTTACCATGCTAATACTGTAAAATACTAGGTATATCATTACAACATAGTTTGAGACTAAATCCACATGGATGGGATTTCCGATATTCAACATACAAATTGGAAAAGCTATTTTCGTACAAAATATTGTTCTCAATGTACAGGGTGTAAATCAAAAAGTGGAACATAGGCGTTTAACATGGGAAATTCTACGGTAGCCAATATGCGTCCAGATTTTAATACAAAGGACAGCTTGACTATTCTGCAGCTCTACAAGCCAATTACTTCGATACATGCCCAATAATGTGATTATGTGACCAATAAATTAGTTTTATGATCAAAATAACGCCTTACGATAAAAACCCTGAAATGGACGTGTGAGAGAATGGAATCTAGAACCTAGAAAGCCATTTATCTTTTCAACCACACTATTGATTCATGTAACTAGCCCATTCTACCAGCATTTAGTTCTTGTATATTTCTACGAAATGTATATAGGCATTAAACATTTCAGTTCTGTCCATGGCATTCACAACTTCATCAATACATCTTGATACTGAAAGCTGTGATATTCCAAAGTTTGAGAATTGTGTTAAATTATATATAACAATGAAGAAAAGTTGTATTAAACCGCCATTTAAATTTCAAATTAATTGCACCAAGATTCCTACTGGATTTCCGATGCATGCGGATTCGTCTTAAACTTCACTTTTCACGTTCTAGAACATTTTACAATCAAGATGGTGCACGATTTGTTTGTCCGTCTACCCATGCGAGAGCCAGAGAATGGAAAAAAAATTGTTTTCTCAATCCTTCTTAAGTCAACTGAGACTCTACAGATGACTAATGGCCGTTTGCACTGACAAATTTAAGCGTAGCTTAGCTTAGCTTGTCATGGATTTTAAGCTACGCTTAAGCTAAACTACACTTAAATTTGTCGGTGCAAACGGCCATAAGGAATTTAACAGATTTTTTGAACTTTAACAAATTAATCAAAGACAGTTCTTAAGTACTTTAGGTGTAACATGGAGGACTTTAGTTTGAGAATCACCCCTCACAAACAAATTACCTTCAATCGAACGTTGCTCTCTTGCAATTCGTACGTGTGTGCTTTTAATTTAACTGTTGGCAAAGTATGAGGACTGGGTGTAGATTCGAAATTTGTGTTAAACAGTGAATCCATTAGAGTGGACTTGCCCAATCCCGTTTCACCTGAAACTTTGAATCAGGAGGATTAGAGGAAGTAAGTACTTACCAATGCACATAATGTTAAAGATAAAGCCATTCTGAATACTTTTTGACACGAGCTGGTCTGGTAAGCTGTCGAAACCGACATGACCTGAGAGCTTTAGAGTGCGAAGATGACTTTCCATCTAAAATGTAAACATTTAGGTCTACTTTGAATCATTACCGTTAATGCCAACGCCCTTTCCTTACATTAAATGGTAAATAAAAACCATATTTAATACCGAATATGCAAATACACTTACGTTTGGTTTTTGTACATCTACTCCCGCCATTTTCAAACTGTTATTTTTATAATTTTAATTTAAATATTATCAAAAAACAGTACAAAAAGGACGGTCCCCAAAAGACAATAAAAAAATTAAACGGAAGTAACTCACGTACCGACCGATTTGCATTTCCATACAGCTGTTCTTTTAAAATGCGCGTGCGCCGCGAATGGGGGTTTACAGTATAGTTGAATTCCGCAGTTCTAATTTAATAAGCGTGTACCTGAAACCATAAAACATTCTTTTGGACAGTAAAAGTTTATTTAAAAATAGAGGCTGATTAGCAAAAAAATAATGAACATGTGCGGTTTTAAAGGTTTATTCAAAACGATATGATTGTGGCGGGCTCTGTGACGTAATAAGCCCGACCAATCAGCTCCTAGAACCATTCAGATGACATAACGACTTGGCAATATTGCAGGAGAATGGCATTTCTAACTTGCGTCATCTGTCACAGGCACTTGTCACTTTCGTGCTAGATGCAGTTAAACATCCCTCTCAAAACGTCAAATGTGACAAACGTCAGACCCTCGCGGTTCCAGCTCACTTCTTCGTGATTGGTTGTAGGTTTGTGACGTATTTAGTCTGAAGCGTTTCAAATTCGGACTAAAAATACAGCTTTTCAATAATTTATTTTGGGTTTATTTTACTCGCAAATAAAAATTGAGGGCACACGGGTCTTTTTATTTTTAATGTACTTTTTGGATCAGAAATAAAAAATGAAGGCGGGATGACCCCATTACGTGGTAACGTAAAGGAAATCCGTATACTAGGGTTTTCTTTCGATCGTACACAGAAGAATTCTAAATATTTTTTATACCTACTTAAATTACACTGGTTTCTGTATTGGTTTTTTGGTGACGTCGTCAATTTTAGTACAGCATTCGAGTAAGGTACCAGACTCGTCTGCCATTTTGGAGCCCACTGACCGCTCGACTGACAGTCTAAATTTGTGCATTGTTGTTTAATGTGTAAAATCTAAATACCTATCTGTATGCATTAATAAACGTCACAAAAATCAATAGTTTTTCTTTAAAGGATAAGACAATACATGTAGGACATGCAACGTTTTGTAAGCTTGAATTGACAGTGGGCTCCAAAATGGCGGACGATTTTACGGACTAAGCTTATTTAATTACGGACGAGTCAGCCGTGGTATTATTATAGTAGCTATAAATTTTAGTTTTTTTAATCGCTATATGCATGTGCAGATTTGTAAAGTTGGAACATTAACTTATTTGGGAAGTCTCTTTTGGAGTACCTACGTACCTTATTAACACCTTGTTCTCAATCTCAAATCTCTTTTTGACTGTAAAACATAAAATCCTGTTTTTCCCTGTTCCCGTTGGAATTTCGGAAAGTGCGTTACCTATCGTTCAATAGCAGTTTTTTTATGTAAAAATCTTAGTACTTAATGCAATAAATGCGATATGTTTAAGCATCGGATATAGATGCTGGTAAAATGCAGTAAATCTGTATTATGCCCTTTAAAATGTGTTGGGAATGGAAAGAAAAGGCTTGTCGAATCCAACAGAAAAGAACAAAGTACGAAGAATCACATACCATTTTCAATGGCAGAATTTGTTTGACACTATATCAGCGCGCGTTCAAAAACAAGCCTTTCAATCTGCCGCTTATTCAATAGCACTGATCCTCGAACTCGTATAAATCGATTGGCGAAGGTGCAACACCGCTGTCACTTTTGGTTTGCAAGTTACAAACAGACGGAGGGACAAAACCATCACACAACGCGAAATTTCTTATGAAAAATTCCCCTAATTGCAAAAATATTTCCTGTGCCTAGCACAGATACCACCCGCACACCTACGATTCTGCCCTTTTATGTCTACGAATATGCGTACATATCAAATTGGGTTCTTTCTAATCAATTCAGCAGGTCGGTAATGAAGAGTACAGACAGACGATGGACATCATCGAGATTTTGTTTGATTCGGATTCATGATGATTCAAAACGTGTATTTCCGTGAAAAAAGAGGAGGGCCATTTATATCCTAAAAATGGGCAATCAATACTATATGGTCTAAGGAAATCGTACTTAACTTGAACTTCCAAATGTGACTTGACAGTAACTCATTTTGGTGATCGCATTGTACAATACCTCCCTTACTGTCGTGCAGGAGGTACAAACAAAAAATCACATTATAGTCTTGCTATACTTTAACTAAATGCAACAATGTATGCCGATCATAAACATAACATGCAATAAAGATGTAACTGTTTTATTAAGAGTACATCACACTATTCAGTTTCGTTAACATCTAATAGGTACATGTAATAAGATTATAATATTAAAGTATATATTGCAACACAAAAATATTTTTCTAATAATTAAAGTAATTTTTGTCAATAAAAAAACATCCATCATTCTTTTACATACACTCGTAAAATGAAATAAACTGTACCATGAAAGAGAAAAACGGCCCTTCTTAATATATTATTTCGTTAATTAAATGGAATCCTCTATAGTACATACAAAAACATTCCTAAGCTTTATTGGTAACAGGAGGTGGCGATTGCTTTAACTGCAAAATAATCGATCGCATGCGTGAGACATCCTTATTTCCTTTGCTCGCTTTCGGATTAAAGTCGCAGAGTTTGGCGATTCGTTCCCATTCTGTGCCTGGTTCGATTTCGTTATCTTCCGCTACAAACTGTTTCTCTGCATTTCTGTAGACATAAAATGCAACATTATTAAAATGTTCCACTAAATTCATAAGATCAACATTGTAAAGGTTGGATTTCATTGGATCATTCGTGGCCCCCGGTGGCGAATGCTACACGTCGCAATAAAATTCCACCTTAAAGCAGGCTTGTTGAGAAAAGAAGCACTTACTTTGCAGATTCCCTAGGAAGCAGGAACAATAACAATAAAATAAAGTTAGTTACCCATTGTATCTACATTTTTGAAAAAAGGCTAGGTTCGGCAGTTCACAATAAATGAGCTAAGCAGAAATTTTAGAGCACTTACCTATTAGCTGCTTTAGTTTTAGCAATTTGTTCCTCATGATGTTTATACCAATCTTGAAGTTCTTTTGCAGCAATTTGCCGTAACTCTTCTTTCTTGATTTCTTCTTCCCTATCTTTAATTCGCTAATGAGGTTTTTGAAAAAAAAATAATTCCAATACCCTACCTTTCTCTTCCAATCTAGTTTTCTGTTCTTCTCGCCATTTTTTAATCTTTTCTGGCTCCTCTTTCTTTTCATGACGAGGCGGTGACGGCGATATAGTCTCCATAAAACCATTCACTGCAGGTTCTAAAATGATTGCAGTACAAGATTTTGCAAATTGGTAAACAAATTAAAAAAAGACACAAGTAAACATTAAAATACGCAAATAATCTAATATTAAACATTAGTGCTAGGAGTATCGAGGTGTAAGTGCGAAACATACCACTATCTTGCTCTTTGGAATCATCGTAAAAATCCTGTTCAATTCCATTGATCATCTCAAAGCTTTCAGAGTTCTCTTTGAATACATTTGTAGTGGTGTCATCTACAGGCAAAGCAAAACTTAAACATTAAAGAAGAAAGCTAAAGAAATACAGGCGAGATTCAAATGCAACATTTACCCCCATGCAACAAAACAATTTCCAAATACGCCCCCTCAGCAAATGTAAGGTTATTCTCACCGATATGCGGGGGTACAACTGTAATAACGTTTTTAACTTCATCGTCAAGACCGGCGAGTTCGTCTTGTTCTCGTGCCAAAAATTCTGCAGCAGGATCTATATCGAAATTGTCACCAAAGTCGCCCATTATTTTCAAAATGTTCACTTTTCGATGACACAAGTGAAATGAACAAATGACAGTTATGGCTGTGTTGCAACGTCGTATACCAACGTCACGTCACCCTACCCTTGGCTGGCAGGAAACGGAAAAACACCATCAATTAGTACGCGCTTCAATTTGAAACTATTTATTTACAACTACAATAACATATGAACATTCATCACATTCAATAACGCATTCATTTCCTATACTTCTTTTAATCACGTAGAAATTACCACATCTACACTGATAGTACGATACATCATTGTCGAAATTGAGTTCTTTAAAATGCACAGTGGCGTAAACCAGGTGTTGTTCCTTATATCTCCTATCCATTAAGATGGAATCGTATTCCTTTCTCAATTTTTCGTCTCTGAGGGTTCTCCATGCTTTGTCAATTCTTACAAACTCCTCGTTTTTATCTAGCGGAGATTGTTTATCCGGGTGACAAATTTTTACAAGCTGACGATAATTGCGTTTGATCTCGTCGAAAGTGGCATTTTCTGTGCAGTTTAATACGCTATAGTAATTCTCGTTCATTGTTCACCCAACAATTACATTAAAAAGAAAAGGTAGGTTATGTTCAAGTATTTTGCCAAAAAATTGCTATACATTTAAATTTTCACTTTTCAACTACTATTTATTACAAATTGTTCCTAAATGTTTAGTGAAAATGCAAATACCTTTAAATTGCAAATTTGTAAACGTGTCCGTGATTCTTGTACCGGCTGATGAGACGTCACGAATACCTCATATGAGAGGTAGGCAACACATCATGCAGTTGTATTTTGTCGGCATCGCGATCACATCAAATTAAATCAAAATCTATACTTAGAACAAATTCTGTTGCATTTTGCTTATGATACAAGGTTTCGCCATGTTTAAAACTCTGGTTTAAAATCTACCTACGAATGTTCCATTTTGTAATTAGATTACCAAGATTACACTTAAGAAAAAATAGATATAGATGGAGAAATCCTATTTTGGGAACATAAATTCTACCAAAATTCACTTTTCAAAAAAAATGTGTCCAATTAAAACATATACAATTCAATGCCTAAAAGTATTTTACAAAGTGGCAACACTTTCTAATTTAAAAACGCCCTTAAAAATTATTTGTTGTATATTAGTATAGGTATACTTTTAAGTTAATGATTTTGTGAGCTTAAAATAGTTATATATATACTATGCGATCAAAAATGAGTTGCTTCGAGTCACTTTTGGAATTTTTGTTTACATGCGAAATCGTACTTAACTTGAACTTCCAAAGCCTACTCGACAGCAACTCATTTTTGATCGCCCGTTACTAAGACAATGTCAAGATTCGTTTGAACTTTTATGATTTTATATTGATATTATTTCTTATTAACATCAATAAAATATGTACAAATACGCTTCATGTCTTGAAAATCATTTCCAATTCTTTTACTAGATTCTCTTGGATGAACGTAATTTGTGCTAGTCAACTCCAATTTAAGGGTGTTTTGGTCACTAATTTTATCAAACATGATTATGAATTATGATTGGTATGCAGTTTAATTTGGACGAACTTTTCAGGTTGAGGGAAATGCATATAGTTCTGATAATACCTCTCCTTATCTCGCAAGTTTTTGGCCATCCTTTTCCATTGGTCATAAACACATGGGGTTTTATGGAGGCCACCAAAGCAGGTAAGTTAATGTATCCAAACAGCGTGAATAGTTAGTGTTTCAAGCTTGGACCGAAATCAGTAGTGGGGGCAGTCGGCTAGACGCACTCGAAGTCGGATGTTCTAAGTGTGAAATGCTACAATGTGACGGTACCGTCGGGTTTGGAGGTAGTCCCGATGAGAACGGCGAGACAACTCTTGACGCCCTAATGTTTGACGGGTACTTACTCCATCTCTCAAATTGGTAAATAATTCCTTCATGCAGAGTAACGATGGATATGGGCGCGGTCGCTGGATTGAGACGTGTAAAGAACGTTATCAGTGTTGCCAGGCGAGTCCTCGAACACACGTCTCACTCACTACTCGTTGGTAGTCTCGCAACAAAGTTTGCTAAACAAATGGGCTTCAAGGAGGAGTCATTATCAACAAATAACTCTTTGTCTATGTGGAAACAATGGATGGTGAACCGGTGTCAGCCAAATTTTTGGACAGTATGGTATCACGGGTGTCCAGCAATTTTTCTGTTATTTAATTTGTGTAGAATGTGTTCCCCGACCCTCGAGGCTCGTGTGGACCTTATCAACCGATAAGTCCAAACAGCGTCTATTACAACTCGCTCTATCTCTTTAATAAGAGAAATCACGACACAATTGGCATGATTGTTATCGATCAAAATGGGAACGTTGCCGCTGGAACATCCACTAATGGTGCAAGTCACAAAATTCCAGGGTTGGTATATGCAGCTAGTTAATGCATGTAAAAATAGTTTGAGTAGGCGCGTTGGTGACTCGCCCATCCCAGGAGCTGGTGCCTATGCGGACAATGACGTGGGTGCGGCGGTTGCGACTGGTGACGGAGATCTCATGATGCGTTTCTTACCGAGGTATATAAACTCTGAAATGGATATAATAAAGTGCTTGTAGTTTTTTAGCGGTTGAAGAAATGCGGAGAGGGGTATCACCATCTGATGCAGCACGAGTTGCTATTGATAGGATGGTATCCAAGAATGACAAATTTTTTGGAGGCGTTATCGCGGTAAATAAAAATGGCGAGTACGGGGCGGCTTGTAATGGAATGATCGAATTTCCATATTCAGTTATTACCAAAGATATTAATAAAATTATTGTCAAAAGTGTAAAATGTAATTTATAGTAAAGGAGAAGTAGGTATATTGTACTTTGTTTCACTGGTGCTGAACCTGACGTCATAAATGTGATTCTCTCTTCATTACATTTAAATCGATTGAGACAAAAAAATTACGTCATTAACGTAAGTCGTGACAAATAAACCAATTGATCTGTCATAATATCAATCCGTCAAACGATTTTCGTTATAGACAGATTTCCAGTGTTGATTAGGTAGTTTGTGAAGTAAATATCATCAAAGTTAAAAACGCTTAGGCAAGTCGACAGTGCAGCAACGCCGTTAATAGACAAGTATTTTAAAAATTTTACCGCATAATGGTTCGATTCGCTCATATCATGAATTTAGGTCATTCCCGTTACCATTAGGTAAATATGACGAACCGATACACAGAATGAAGAGGTTCGCTAGAACACTTAGGTATTGAATTGATTTTATAGGTGAGAATGTTACACTCCGTTCCTTTACACAGTAATCTTCAACGACTTGATGACGTAGAAATATCTGCTACCTCTTTGTCCCGCAGTTTGAAGAAACTGAAATTCACGTGGCGGAGATGCACCGTTTCCAATAGATTATTTTTAATGGCACAGCCCTATGCAGTTCAAAGAAGATTACAATTTTTGAGAGACTTTAAACACAACGAAACTTCACTCTTTCCATTACGACCTGTGGTTTTAGACGAAACCTGGATATACATTAAAGGGTCTTTTAGAAGAAGCTGGCAAGATGGTACTCTCAAAACAGTTAGAAACAGAAGTGGTGAAGGGGTCCGGTATATACCTAATACTCCATGCAGGATCAGAAGATGGATTTGTGGTGTAGTGTCGTTTTTTCTTTTGTACATACGATTTGAATATGAACATTTGAGAGTTTTTTCTTCACTACCTGTTTTCTCTCACAATTGCGTTTTTTTTTAAATAAATCGGATCAGAAGATATTCAAGATCCTTATGCGAATATCTCGACTGTGTGGCAAAAGAACAGAAACTGTATGTATGCGTTGTTATTTCAATGAGCCAGTGGTATAATGACTACGCTTTATCTCAAATTTGTAAGATGTATAAATGCGAAAGGCTTACCGATAAACCATGGCCTATTCTACTTCTGCAAATGGCTAGTTAAGGGTCATTAAAATTCGCGCAACTTAACGCGTATTCTTCACATTGGTAGCATACTTAATTTCACATCAACATTATGTAAACAAACTATTAATTTACGAACTGCCTAAACAAACTTTAAGTTACAAATGTTCCTATGCGTTTTCTGTAACCATCATACACTTCATCTCAAAGAGTTTCGGATGCTCTGGCAGTATCCATTTGGATTGTCGGTGCAAAGAATCGGTTACATGAGGTGATTACAAACGGTGGAAAAGGTTTAATTCATACCAACGGACTTCCTCTACATAAAATACATGACCATTTAGCCATTATAAAACCTAAGAACAGGAAAAAACCTATCAGGACCAGATGCCTTACAAGTGATTGTCAACTTGGACGGTCTGATAATGATGAACGATAGTGACACGGGTACGTTCCACTTAACGCCCGCAACGACCACGACGCTCGGCGGTCGCAATCGCGACGTCAGATATGACGTCATTACTATAAGCGACCGCAACGAGCCCACGGCGCTCGCCTATCGTACCTGGGTCAGCGTGGGCGTTCTAATTTTATAACCTTACATTCTTGACAGGAGACATTTCTAGAGACATTTAACTGTCAGACACTGATTGTTTGAACACGCATGCGTTGCAAATTTTTCGTTTTCGCTATGGAGAAAATATAATTACGTGTTTCAGAACGTAACCTTGTGGTGGACATTACACTATATGGATGTTCTACATGCACAAACTGGTAAGTATATAGGTATGCTGATTCGTGAATGTTAAAGTTATTTGTTAAGGAAAATTCTGCTTTAACACAATTTTCTTTATTGTAGATCTTAGATTTGCAACTAGTTTGCTGCAAAGTGCTTTACCAGGGAATGCGAATGAGACTCGTATAAATGGTAATGCAACGATTAATGAAAATGCATGTTAGTTTTGAATGAAGAAGAGAAATTGTTTTCGAAGCAGCATTCCCAGAAGAAATTCTGGGGAGAAGTGTTCATTATCATCGTATTAAGTATGGCCGCAGCATTTATGATAGAAATTCAAAAGTCGTCTTCAATATTTTATTAACAAGAAGCAATATCTTGTGTAAAGCGAAGAAGTATGTGTCAATAATTGGTACTGAAAAATAAAAAAATATTTACTAACTTAATGTGACTTTTCATAATCCACCCCACTTTGTATCCTTTACGCATTACGATTTCTTCAACGGCGTCCATGTTGGAAAACTGTTCACTCACGCGTGACGTCACACCGCACTCAAAAGCGTTCCACTTAAGGGTTCGCCCACAACGCCTCTAAGCTAGTGGAACGATAAAACCGCGGTCGCGGTCGTGATCGTTGTGGGCGTTAAGTGGAACGTACCCTAATTTACGACCTGCAATTAATATATATTCTTCGAATTTTATACAACACGAAAACATACACCTTTTTTATATATGACAGATTTTTATTTTTTTTCTTATTGAACATGAAAAAACCATAGTTACACACACACAACCCACTACTAATTTCTATTAATATACAACAGTCTCCAATGTGATGAAGGAACGCCGCCCCTGATGTACGAAGAGGGTACGCCACTGGAAGGACGAGCCGGAGCCGGAGACAGGGACGAGAGAATGACAGGCAGAGGGTAAAAATGGCCGACGAGAGGAGTTGAATTATTATTTTTTAGTTTTGACGTTGAAAGTGTATTCGTACCAATAAAAATGTTGTAAAACGAAGTGTAGTTTATGACAAATTAATTGGGACTGAGTATTACCTTGTTGTCCATTTGGGTTTATATTCGAAGGTCTTGGAATTGGTGGTGGCATACAATCTGATGGAGATTGTAAACATTGCTTTTGTCTTGGAATATTTAGTTAAATCAAATGTTAGTACTGACAGCGATGTATCCGACGACGATACTGTTCCAGGACTTCACAATATCGGTCGAGGTGAAGTACCATATCGGGTTTTGTTATCTGTTAATGACAGGGAATGTGAATTTGAAGTAGATTCGGGTGCTAGTTTTACAGTGATGTACAATCATGTTTTGAAAAACTATTCCCCCATAACAAACCGCGATTAAAGGATACTAAATTAACTTTACGGGACTGGCAAAAGAAGGACATTGGGATTCTGGGCGAATGCTTGGTGCGCGTAGTATTTAATAAACATGTTAAGAATTTGCCATTAGTAGTGACGAAGGGCGATAACATTAGTTTATTAGGACGAAATTGGTTCGCAGAGTTAGGTATCAGACTGTCAATGAACTCTGTATCGGTGGTGGACATTAAACTAGAGAAGGTTTTACAAAAGTATAGTGAGGTGTTCAATAACAGTCTCGGTACTTTTCGAGGGCTACCGGTAAATCTCCAAGTAGATCCTTCAATACGACCCATTCGTTTAAAGGCGCGTAATGTGGCTTTTGCACTACGGCCCAAAATTGATGCGGAAATTGAAAGACTAATAGGACAGGGGATTTTGAAACCGTGTGATAACCCTACATGGACGACACCAATAGTGCCGGTAGTAAAGGGAGATGGAACTATTAGGATTTGTGCCGACTATAAATGTACACTTAATCGGGCTCTTCAGGATGATCCATACCCGATGACGTCTACTCAAGAAATCTTAACTGCGTTGAATGGAGCTAAGGTATTCGCAAAATTGGATATGGCTCAGGCATATCAACAATTAAAGGTGGATGAGGATTCAGCAAAGTTACAGACCATAATCACTCAGAGAGGTACCTATACGGTCCACAGACTCTGTTTCGGAATCAAGGTGGCACCGCAGATCTTTCAACGTTTCATTAACAATCGTTTGGCAGAAATTCCGGGATGTTTTCCATACTTCGATGACATTTTGGTTGCCGCGGAAAACGATGAGGAACTGTGTGAAAGGATCGAAGAAATTTTACGCCGATTTGCAGAAGATGGACTGAAACTAAAGAAATCTAAATGTGTTTTTAGGACTACGGGCATTGAATTTTTGGGATTTTTCATCAACGCAAAGGGAGTACGTCCTACGGTTGACAAAGTTCAAGATATTAAAAATGCGCCTATACCATCTTGCAAACGGGAATTACAATCATTTCTGGGATTGTTAAATTTCTATCACGGATTCCTAAAAAATAAAGCGAATGTTGCTGAATGCTTGCATCGACTTCTGGACAAGAACGTTCCGTGGAAGTGGACAAGAAGACACCAACAAGCATTTGAAAAGGTCAAGGAGTTGCTCTCGTCGGAACAATTGCTGGTTCACTATGACCCAAAGAAAACTTTAAGACTTTCGTGCGATGCTTCTCCTTGGGCAATTGGAGTAGTACTGAGTCATGTGGAAGAAGATGGTAGGGAAGCTCCCATCGCGTTTCATTCAAAAACATTAAACCAGACAGAGCGCAGGTACAGCCAATTGGACAAGGAAGCTCTGGCAATAATTGCGGGAGTTAAAAAGTTTCATAATTATTGCTATGGACGGAAATTTGACATCATTACGGACCACAAGCCGCTTCTAGGAATATTGAGCGAGAACATTCAGGTTCCACAGATGTCATCTCCGAGATTAGTGCGCTGGGCATTATTTCTTAGTAATTATAATTATTCGCTAATACATAGGCCAGGTAAAGACATAAGTCACGCGGATGCTCTGAGCCGCATACCATTGTCTACAGAAGTTGATCTCGGCGGTGTAGAACATATTGGCGAAGTACTCATGATGGAGAATATGCCCGAAATACCTTTAAACGACGAGAAAGTTGCAGAATTAACAGGAAGAGATCCAGTTCTTAGCAGGATCCGGGAGTTTATACAATTGGGCTGGCCGAATAAGTTGGAAGAGGGATTAGCGGAAGATGAAGTACGTCCTTTCAAGGTTAGAAAGAATGAGTTATCAATTTACAAGAATTGCATACTATGGGGTACGAGAGTAGTGATTCCGCCGAAAATCCAGGAACGAGTGCTGAGAGTTCTTCATGGGGCACACATAGGAGTAGTAAGAATGAAGGCACTGGCAAGATCCTATGTTTGGTGGCCGTCAATAGATCAAGCCATTGAAAGTGCTGTAAGACAATGCCAAGAGTGCCAATTACAAATGAAGATGCCTGCTAAAGCAGCTATACACCCATGGGAATGGAGTGAGATTCCTTGGAGTCGAATACATATAGACCACGCAGGACCATTTTGTGGACAACAATTTTTAATTATTGTTGACTCTTATAGTAAATGGTTAGAGGTAAAAAGAGTTCCGTCTACATCATCTAAATGCACCATTCAAGCATTACGTGGAATTTTCGCAACTCATGGAATTCCAGAGGTAATTGTAAGTGACAATGGAAGTTCGTTTACGTCAGAAGAGTTCGAATGTTGGGCTAAGAAGAATGGAATCCGACATACTCGAGTTTCACCATACCACCCAGCGTCAAATGGCCAAGCGGAAAGAATGGTACAAGAAACCAAAAGAACTTTAAAGAAACTGAGTACGGGAGATTGGGAAGTAAAAATCGCTCGATTTTTGATAACCCAACATATTACGCCTACAACCACAACAGGAGCATCACCGTCTGAATTAATGTTCAAAAGAAAAATACGCACTTGTCTTGACCTGCTTCGGCCTAGTTTTACAAAAAAAAGTGCGAGAAACGCAGGAGAAGATGATGGAAGCTGGATCTAAAAGTACCAGAGTGTTTGAACAGTCAGCATCTGTGATGGCCCGAAAATTCGGTGGAGGGGAAGGTTCAAGATGGCAACCTGAGAAGATAGTGAGGCAGTTGGGTCCAGTGACTTACGAAACGGTGGATGAAATTGGAAAAACACAGAAGCGACATGTAGACCATCTACGTAGAAACGTTATGAATGGACCATCAGAGACCGATGAAATCATAACGGACAATCTACGTACTGATGACAACAGACTTCAGGAGGAGGAACCAGTAGAGACAGCATTAGGAGATACAAAAGAAAATATGACAGTAACAACCGGTATGCAAAGACCACAAAGGAACGCCGGAATGCCCAGTCGTTTTCGAGATTTCGTGGTGTCTACTAGAAGGGGAGGAGTGTTGTGTATTGAGTAGCTGAATCATAGATACATTAGTAAACAGTTGTTAGTGTTGTCAAACTAACGTGAATTTTGCATAATTAGTTAAAAGAGCAATAAACCATTTACACTAAAGCGGGTATTTAATACTTGTACATACCGATCTCCCAAATCTGTAACGAATTAGGGACAGACAAACTGAAACTCGAAGTAGCGATAGACTGGTTGGGTAATTCTAGGAGTGCTATTGCATTTTGTCTGAGTGGGAGACTAACAAAATTAGATGTGCACATTCAAAGTCTGAAAATTTTCAATAAGGGAATTCGTCACACGTCCTATTTGGAAATGTTTTATTTCATTTGTTTGTTTGGTTGATGGCAATTAGATATCGACCACAATATCATTCAAATAATCCCAAATTAAGAACTTCAATAGGTTTAAATCGCACGATCTTGGGGACCAGTTGATATAACTTGACTGTGATATAACGTTTCCACAATTTTAGCTCGACTGCGTAACGCTCCCTAGTTCAATTTGTCAATGTTTATAGCAGTGTCGCTATTGTCCGCACTTTGTCCATTTACTACTAGTCCTCCAGTTTAAGCTTTATCGATGTGGTTTCTTTCTTATATGGTGTAGCACAGTCACCAGACCAGAACGACAAAAGATTTTTTGGATTAGTCAATTCCTACTCGAATTATACTGATTCTATGTGGGGACAATGAGCTTTCATCGGTCGCGAGTGAGCACATTTTTAATTCCCCTTATGTGATGGTTTTGTCCTCAAGACAAAGACAAAAAACCGAGACCTAAAATCTAACATTTTTCCCTTAGATCATATGTTAATATGTATGATCTAAGATTTTTGCCGTGTATAATACACATTTTTTTTCTGTGACGGGGAAAACGAAATGTAGGAGTCGTATCGATTTATACAAATTTGAAGTTTTAAACTGCAGATAGGTTGTTGTACTTCTCGCGACAATACGAACTGCATTGCTAAGGAAACCTTTACTCAAATGTTATGACAATCGCGAGATCATTCATGTAAACGTTCCGTCCTCGTTCAGAATGCGTAGAATCTGCCACATGGAAGCTTGAAAAATCCATTCAAATACGGGTTTGTTTTCAACATCTTTCTTTTTTCCCCATTAAAAAATATGTTTAAAACCAAAACCAACTGTACTTGGATGTAAAATAGTAGATTATATCACGAGTCAATCATGATAGCTATTATTCTCGAGGAATGTTTCCATGGATGATATTACATTTAAGGAAATTTTGTGATTGGAGTACAAGAAGGCTATTAATCCCTAAGGGAATAATGGATGGCATTATACCGAACAAACCATAAGTATAATCATTCAATGGTATAATACTCACATTATATATTAGTTGTGGATAAAACAAAAAAAAGCTTTACTAACATGAATGCTTTCCACAAAATGCATGGATGAGGAAGAAATCTATTTATAAACAAACTTCACTCATACTTTAGATACATTTCCAACAAAAACAATGTTTCATCGATTTCCAATTCTGTTAAGCTCAACTTCTTCATCATTTTGCCTATCCGTTCCAATATCTCATTTTCTGGAGGAGTAATCATTTCTTCAATCTACAAATGAGTATTAGATCACATCCTAGTCTGAAACCTAACATACATCTAAGACAGAGTCACCTGATATTCCTTGTACTCTCATCCCATGGGTGATCGTATCCACTCTATGTTTTTTATCAATTAATCGTTTATTTAAATATTTTTCATGACATCTTCTAGTCATTATATTATACAGTGTTTTATAACACAACTCCAACATTGTTCTAACGACCTGACTTAAACGAATGTGGAATAGTGTGAATGACTTACTTGGTCCCAAACTGGTGGCTGACCTCTTTAGTTCATTAACAACCAAAAAATTTTCTTCCAATAGCATATACAAAATCCTCTTTACTTCTTTTGCCGGTATCATCACCAAATTCTGGATCTGCTCAGGTTCGATGTAATGCCTCAACTTTACCAGTCGAAATATTCTTGATGCTTTTGAATCGAATTTTTCATTAACGATCTCCTCCACTGCTTCCCATGTTAATTGTGTGAATATGTGCTTGATTTCCACTTGAAACGAGCCACCACTCGCTTCGCCCACCTTTCGTATTATTCCGGTTGCATCTTGTTCCAATATATTGACATATTGTTCAAAGAATGTGGCCAGTTGTGGGTGGGTGTTGCGCTTTTTAACAATGTCTTTCACTTCTAAAATTGGTATAGGATTCGATGACGAAACCCAAGGATCGGTTCTAACATACATTTGTTGAAGCAACAATCTAATTAGTTCACCCATATTGTCATCAAATTTGTTCGACACAGAGTTTACAATTAATTGATCTCGCAAATCTTGGTGAAAACGGTCCGAGTTTATTGTCCAATATATCCCTGCATCGGAGAGAGTTTCGTTTTCTCCATTTAGTACCGTCAATATTTGTTTTAAATCGAGGTTTGGCAGTAAATACAACTCTTCCGCCTTTGTTACTTGCGTTGATAGTCTTGTTACGTATTTTGCCGTTACCAAGGAGTTGAAATTATCTTTAAGTTCTTGAAGCAGAATGTTAACGGTTTTTTGCTCTTGTAGGCGTTTCGCAACTTTGATAATTAGTTCAGAGGCTGTTACACATCCTTTGAGTAAGATCTCTTCCACCAAGACTTCATACGTTTCATCAAATTTGGTCTTGATCAGATTGATAAATTTGGGGAAGCGGAGCATTAGAAGTACATTTTTAAGGTTCAACATATAGATTGCAGCTGAGGAGTCCACATTTAGTTTAAACGTAACCAAATTATACTTAATCAATACGGATAAAGCTTCTTTTACCTACAATCTCAACGAATTACAGCTCCTTTGAACTGGACTCTTACTTTACTGATACGTATATCAGCTGATTTAACTATATTGTAGAGAGAACTCGGATTTTGAAAAATTATGTCTCCTACATCTGCTATAACTTTCCCAAATCTTTCTAATAAAATTAAATTGATTACATTTCTGTGTTGAAGAGACATTTTGTAGGTTACCCACAAAGCACAAAGTTTTGTGAGGTTAGAACAAAATGTGAGATAAAAGGCCTAAACTTCGTACAATCTGCGCATGCGAAAGAAACGTCAAAGTTGCAATGTTATTAATTAAAATGTAGGTTAGGTTATTGTTTTTATCACAGGCTGTTATAATGAATAAACATATTCATAAATCGTAACTCACAGACTTTTGACGTTGTTATACCAAGAGCCATGTTTCGCTGCGGCAGTATAAAATCCGAAAAGGACAGTATAAGTCCCATGTTCACAAATCGTAACACAAGACATTTCAAATACCTACCAATCGCTCATAAACCGGACGGCTACTACGGTGATAAAACTGGACCGCTACTACTGGCATAAATATACAAATTTGCTTTCCTACCGCCTCCAATAAAACAGCCCGATTGTAGATGACAACCGACACAAACAGGCCGTCACATAACTTCATTGTTCGTGCATTACATCAACGGACCCGACATTCACCGCTAGCACGAAGGAATGGGCCATCACAACCAGGCTGTATAAGACCATGCACCAAGTCGTTGGCGTACGTGAACGTCACACGGTCACGTCCCTGCATTCAATTTAATGTTTGCTACTTGTAGGTTTCAGTTCTTCGTACAAAGAAGCCTTGCAAGCAGTCCGACAGAGTTTATGTCCGATTGCAAACACGAACACAACGGCAGTAAGGTCGCAAAGTTTCTAACGTGCTCCAAGATTCCAATTTGAAATTGTCTGAGCCGGAATAGTCAAGAGAGCCGTGGACGAGAGAAAGATTACCAAAACCGTGGGATATAATCTGACTTTACAGATAATGTGAATCGACCTTAAATTGTGTACCTATTAGGTGAATAGCTGCATATTTTACAATAAAGTTTTATTTGTACTTGTGCTTCCATAGTTTCTGTAAAGAGAAGGCTGAGTATTGGGTCGCTCCAATGAAGTGATAGAAAGCCTTACGTTCAGTCTCTCGAGATGCTTCCCTGTTTCTAACTCAAAGGTTCTTCCAAAGAAGGTGCTTATTACTAATTTCTAGAATGCATGAAAAACCGTTTATTTGATTTTTTAAGAAGAAGTTAATGGGTTTCAAGAACAATAAATTTGATAAATATGTAAACTTTTTATTGCTTACTAATATTTTAAACATTAAATAATAATAAACTACACAATAATAAAAAGGGCACCTTAGTTACAGTGAATTGGCAATTTCAAATTGAAATCTTAAACGGCGCCACCGTCCCTTTTTAGTTCATCCGAGATTTCCCTAGGGTTTTAAGTGGCGCCACCGTCGCTTGTTAGTTCATCGAGATTTCCCCAGGATCTTAAATGGCGCCACCGTCGCTTTTTAGTTTATCGAGATTTCCCCAGGATCTTAAATGGCGCCACCGTCGCTTTTTAGTTCATCGAGATTTCCCCAGGGTCTTAAATGGCGCCACCGTCGCTTTTTAGTTCATCGAGATTTCCCCACGGTCTTATGGCGCCACCGTCGCTTGTTAGTTCATCGAGTTTTCCCCAGAGTCTTAAATGGCGCCACCGTCGCTTTTTAGTTCACCGAGACTTCCCCAGGGTCTTAAATGACGCCACCGTCGCTTGTTAGTTCATCGAGATTTCCCCAGGGTCTTAAATGGCGCCACCGTCGCTTTTTAGTTAATTGAGATTTCACCAGGGTCTTAAATGGCGACACCGTCGCTTGTTAGTTCGTGGAGATTTTCCCAGGGTCTTAATTGGCGCCACCGTCGCTTTTTAGTTCATCGAGATTTCCCCAGGGTCTTAAATAAATATAATAAAATAAAATTCAAAGGGCTGTAACTTTTGAACTAGTAGCCCAATCTTGGAACTGTTTGAAATTATGGATTCTACAGGCCACGTTCTATAAGAAAAATACGAATTGTTTTGGATTCTACGCACCAAAATTAATAAGAAAAAGTGTTTTCCCGAGAAATGTTGGTGCAGTCGATTTTTGGGAAAAAAGGAAGGTTATACACTGCCCTTTTTTTTGCCCCGAAAAAAAAATTGTCTCAGATCGACATGTGAAATAGAATTGCATTTCTAATCGCAATTATTACTTTATATTGCTAATTCTCTTTTACCTTGGAAAATATAATCAAAGCAGAATACATTGTGCTGACATCTGTCTTTATTATTGGGGACTAACATTTTATCGCTAAATGCAGGACACTTTATTACCACCATTATTTTAGTTGGAACTTACACCTCAAAGATGTCGCCACACTAATTTTGTAAGGTACTTTATGAAACTAACGTTAGATGTCAAAGCTCTAGTTTAAAAAACATAGATATATAAATACCTAGATACAGCCATCCTTAACAAACGTACCTCGGTTTTTAAAAAACATATCAAAGAAATTTGTACATCTCTCCATTACTTTCTAACCAAGAAGAAACATGTTCTATCTCTTTTTATTGCATTAACCACTATGTCGTACGCGAATCGGACGCTTAAAACAAACTTAGCGCGTCCCATAAGTCATGTGACAGTTGACACATTTCACGATCGCGCGAAATCAAATCTAACTAAAAATATTCGCCCTAAACATGATGGGCGGTTTTTTCACTAAATATTATGTAATTATTGCGTTATCAATTGAATACGAATAAACATTAGTGCTTGCCATAATGATAGACGCGTCCATAATTGTTATTCCTGAAATAGTTTTATTACATAGAGCTACGCCATTCAAATTTGGGACTATGTTTACCTTGTTTGGCATGATGTGCTGCAGTGAATTCATTGCTGGCTTGCAGAATATCAAAAAAAACCGTAAGTAAGTAAAGTTTATGTTCAACAATTTAATTTTAATTGCATGGTTGTAGGCGTAATGGTTACGGAGATTAAGTTGCGACAGGAAGTGAATTCGTTTCCAATTATCATTTTGGCCTATATAATGTTGATGCAGTGCGTTTGTATCATGATCACAAAGAAGGATCCGTGCAATATTCTTAGGAAAACGAGATTTATAGACTGTGTGTGCGTGCAATATCAAATTTTGGTCGCTACGCGTCTTGCCTACCTTTCGGCATATGTCCAATCGGTGGGGTTTCTTTTTGAAATTATAGTGCTAATTGTAGTAAGTAAGCTACACGTGTACATTTATTTAAAATAAATACAACATCTTATAGCAATGATATCCAATTGGTGATAATACTCATTTAGTGAACATTCATTACGTTTATAAAACTTCACAATCCGAATCATCGTCAGATGAAATTGACAAATCCGAATCATCACTGTCATTATTAACACTTATTATAAAGTTCAGAAACATCAACCAATATAACTTCTCTTTTAAATTAATCACTTTCCACATGTTCACACACTTTCTTCCATTTGTCAGCTGTAATTTTTTCAAATTCGTCATTTTCCAGCTTTCTAAGTAACATCTTCCATTTTAAATGTAACATTTCTTGCTGCTATGCGATTTAAATAAATAAAAAGGCGGTTTATTTATGTTGTAAAATCTCAAATCTGATAATTTTCTGTGTGATTTGTGCTAACAATTTGATTGACAGCTATAATAAATAATGCGAATCTTGTCTTCCATGCTCAGGGTACCTCTATAAAGGATAGCGCTATACGTAATTAATGTGCCGAAAGTGATGGTAATAGATGGTACGTCCTTTTGAACTATGTTGGGGTATGGCTGTATCTATGTATTTATATATCTATGTTAAAAAACCATAGATATTTGAAGTTTTAACCTCAAATGCATAATGAATGTTTGTTTATTTTATAGTCAAAAATTAAACTTTGTTATCATTCCTTTCTCGCTTACAGGTTTAAATTAGGGAACTGGCTACTGGGAGTGACAGGAAAGCGACAGACTCAACCTTTGCGGAATATGATACTGTTCGCTCTGGGTCGTGCTATCGAAGACATGTAGTTCTCGATGGATGAGAAAGGTTAGCATTGAATTCAGGCAACACAAATTGAAAAGGGAAATGCTTTATAACCAAAACAGGAGGACACCGTGGAGAACTTGGAGAAAACCCATTCTAATGCAATTCAACTTCTCAAGGTTAAAATCGGAACAAAAACATAATTGCAGCAGCTGGCGATGGTGCGAGGCTATTCTTTAAAGAATTGAGCCTAGAGTTTATTTGATAGAACTACGGTTATAGAAACGGTAGTGAAATTGGCAGCGAAATAAGGCAAAAGTGTTACGCAGTTTGCAATCACGAAAAAATGTGTTGTTTGTGCGATCTTCGTGTGAAAGTTGTTGTAAAACGGTTCAGTTTAATGTACCTGTTATTGAAATTGTTCTTCCAAGAACTTTAAATAAACTCCTATGCATAAGAAGTTACGAATTGCAAAAATAAATGTTTTCTGTTCATTGAGCATGATGTGTTGCCTACAAACCAGGCTACACAAATATCGAGTGCTCATATTCAAATTAGGAATTTGCTTGAATCTCCCCCATCTGCCGTTTTTATTGAGGGTAAGGAGGGCCTCCACGCACGAATGGCCCAGGGCCCCGAAAAACTTAAAAACGGCACTGCATTTAAGGAATAATAAGTGCAACGTTGCTATTAATCCCATAAATTCAAATAAAATTTTAAAAGAAGGTGCGTACGTGGCGACATCTCAACTAGACTTCTAAAACTATAATTGATAGAAAGTGTATCGATTGCCAAGGAGATGGCGCACTAGTACTTGTATGAAAGTCACTAAATATATCTAGTGACTTTATGTTGTATTTAAATTATCTATTCAAAAACCGGACCTTTAAACTACAATTGCTCTACAGATCTTGCAAGACTCCGTATATTTTGAACTGCCATTTATTCAGACTTCTCAATCAAAAGTTATAGAATAGAAACCAATTTCGAAAGAAAATTCAAAGGGCCGTAACTTTTGAACTAGTAGCCCAATCTTGGAACTGTTTGAAATTATGGATTCTACAGGCCACGTTCTATAAGAAAAATTTTTTCCGGGTCCATCTGAGACAATTTTTTTTTCGGGCCTCAAAAAAAGGCATAGTATAACCTTCCTTTTTTTTTACCAAAAATCGACTACACCAAAATTCCTCAGGAAAACACTTATTCTTATTAATTTTCTTGCGTAGAATCCAAAACAATTCGTACTTTTTCGATCAGACTTCTCAAACATTTATAGTATATTTAAATCTGTGTTAATAGGTACCTTCTCGCTAATGCTACTCAATTGTCGCTGCGTAATCCACACCTCAAAGCGTGCATATGCTGCCTCGTATGCTGGACGTGAGTTCGGAAGAAGTAAATACGAACTAGCTTCTTCTGCAGCCGCTTCAACGTCGGATGAAATACTCACATTTTCATCGGAATCGTTCATTTTGATTTTTGCTACCAAAAGCTCGCTTTAATCACTAGGAATTTAACATTTCTTATGGGGTGTAAATTATGGTATCAATGCGTATATAAAAAGATGTAACCTTTCTGTAAGCACTGTCTCTGCTTTCGAAAATATAGACTGGTGTCATAGACACTTACAGTTTTGCGTATTTCAACGGGAAACATTAAAAAAAATCCCTATGCGACCTGTTACACTCCCATTAGACAGACTAATTGAAACTGTCCGATTTTTGCACCCATGTGATTCCTATACCTTGTAATAAAATATCTTTAAATAGGTAAACACACATTTTTGTTTTAATCCACATGCAATACATTTACCAACAATGACAGCGAAACAGGAACAACAACTTCCTACATTGTCTGCATAAAAATGTAAACTCACAACAGCGGCGAGAGAGCGTGTTCTGTACTATTTTTACTTGCACTTTTCACGTCTAAATTAAATTCACTAGTGTGTCCAAGCACAAACCCACCATTCTCTTGAAATTTTTTCATGCACTGAAATAAATTTAAAAAAGACTTTCTAAAACCGCAGTTCATGAAACAGTAAGTGATTGGATTACAGCAACTCGAAGTATAGGCTAACAACTGAAAGAAGCTTACGCCCGTGTAGCCAATACTGCTGTAAATGATTGACGGTTGAAAAAGGGCAATTGTATTCACTACGTACAAAGGCGTCCAACATATGAAAAATTCGAGAACGACAGCGAAAAGCATCTTGATTACACGCTTCTTATTAATCAGACTTTTCTCGGCATTCGTACGTCGCAGGCCTTTCCCGGGTTTCCGATACCTACTCGAATTGGAAAGGTCCTGTGCGGAGCTGTAGCGAAGTTTACGTCCCTCCGACGGCTCCTGAATACAGTATTCCCATTTACTGATTGCCGAGCGGCTTCGGTTTAAATAGAATTGGGTGACTTCCTTGCCTGAAACTGGGGAAAAATTAGTACCTTCGATTTCAAAATATAGTCCATAAAATGAATTAATTTCAATAACGGATTAGCGCTTATATCTGCGACCATTTTTTTCATCCAAGGCTTATATGAATGCTGCTTCTGGGGTTATAGATTGTTGACGTTCTAACACCTAATATTTCTGCTAAGACGCTAAGTACTGCTAAGTACCTTATGTGGGTTTCTTATTTTACAGATTTCATAGTGAACTAAGCGTTAAATAGGCATTTTAAATTTTTTCGATCGCAAGAAACCTAACCGCACTTGCAGTAGCAATGACCAGCGCCAATCCGTTTTTGCAACTTATTAATTTTACCATTGAATGATTTTACCGACCAAGTGTTAAAATATTATTTATTTTTCCGGTACTTTTGAAAGCACTAGAATGCCAAATTGGGCATATTTAAACACATTGGTCACATCCAAATCAGCAGTAAAGCAGATCTAAACAAGTTTGATAGTACTTGACGCGTCGAACTACTTAAGCACGTTTTTGTGCGACGGATCGAGGTTTTATTAGCGCTGAAATATAATTTGAATGCAAAAAATTGTGACACAAAGCTGTTGTGGCCATCAATTTTGGTAAGTATGGATTACATACTATTCCTATATTTCCTTAGTGTTATTATTATTATTATTATTATATATACGAACGACGCGACATACAGACAAACACTAATCGTTACTTGATTTTAATCCATGCGATTAGTTAACCAGGCTAGACTTGAGTTCTCACAAGAAACACCGACCATACTAATAATAAAATATTACCATTGTATAAGGTGTATATACAATGATAAGTATTAGCACAGATAAAATTTTATCTGTGGTATTAGGTACTTATCATTCACATATACACAAATTATGACAGCGCGAAATATTTATGCAACGTTTAAAGAAACGAAAATTTTGTGAAGTTTTTGAAGAAAAAAATTAGTAATATGGAATTAGTTTTAAAGCAAATTACAGAAACAAATTACGAAGTTTAATACTTCTGTTAGCTGATAGTCATGAACGGGGCTGTACAGAGTCACTACAGAGTTACTACTAACACTCTCCCTATGTCAAAACTTGAAGTGTCGGGATTGTTCCAACCAAACGCCAAATTTGAAAACGTCATAACTCATTTGCGATGTAGATGCTTTCAGCAGCTACTACACTTCTAGAAATTATGTTGTTATTATAGAAGAATCGAATAATGTAAATAATTTGTATTCCTTAGCGGCCGGTTCGGAATTCAGTAATGATACCCATATTCGACATCAATTGTAGCTATCTACGTATTGAAGATTTTAAGGTAACGATTATAGAGTCACACTCACAGGGTCATTATTTTACTTGCCATGCATCATGCATCACACTTCACACATGAATTTATAAGGGTAATTTGATTAATTTAATTCTGAACAACTTTAAACTCTACAGTTTTTTCTGTAAAATGTACAGGAGGCTGCTATTGCATAAAACTAATTTCCCATGTTAAATCCCTATGTTCCTACTTACAGTGCACCACCCGGTATAATTATCACATAGGCTTAACATCTCTATTAAAAAGTTTACTCCTGAAGGTGGGGGTTGGAAAAGCCAATGCATATTTCTTAGGATATAAAAGGAACCACAAATGTTTATTAAATTTTTTTTTTTTTTGAGAACTACATTACATATACCAATGCATATAATAAGTATAGAATACTGGTGCAGGTTGAAGACAAATTAGAGGCTGCTTCCATTGCAGGTATTTAAAAGTAGGTATCTATTAACATTTGGCAAGAGATCAATTAGATAGGTAATGCAATTTCGTGGTCGCATCGCCAAATTCCTCTCCCTTAAACACACGCAAATACGACCAGGCGGGTAAATTAGGAGAATACAACATAACGAAGTCATTGATAAGATTCAATTAATCTTAGTCAAGTAAAGCTTACCCGCTTACTGTCTACTAAGTTTGCTTATCGCTGAACATCTCGCGCGAATAGAAATTGCTATTTACATTTAGGAACCTCAAATTATAGACGCACCATTCAATTAAGTGTAATATATCACAGTTTTGATCTAATTGTGTACGTTTGTCGTGTTTCAATAGGAGCGTTAATTTTGAATTTCATAAAATAACGATGCAGCTCCATTTCCATTTTATTCGAAACCCTCGCCTGTACTTTCAAATTGGCTACGTGTTTTATATGGTGAAATGATTCCAATAATCCAATTTGTTGTCTTCCACTTACTCAGGAATGTCTTGAATATTTATATAGGTACCAGTCGAAGTAGCACTTGTTTATTTCAACTTTTGTACTGCTGTAAGTATTATGGAAGCAAGTTCTAAATACCTCCAAAGAAAGTTTACAAAAGTTTTTTGTTACCTACATCTCGCAATAACATTTCCAATTGACTGAATATTTTTCATTCATTAGGTACCTATTTTTCACAACTGTGCTTATGGTATCATAAATTAATTCCCTTTAAGTAGTTAGTGAAAAAAGTTTCTTTGTCTAAGAATCGTAGTAGAAAGTTTTGACACCCAAAAGAAGACTAGCAAACAGTAAAATCACGTTCTGGGTATGTTCGATTGGTAAACACAGAATAAAAGAGCGTACAATTTCAGATGACATATGTATAAGGTACACGGACCACGGTTCGTTTGGTTTAAAAGTATAAACTACTCACCTTCATGATGTTTGAAACACTTTTCTCGTCTTATACCCTTCCAAAGGGTCCTTGTAATCAAAGAGTAGGTAAGAGCAAGAACAAGAAGAGGAATAACTAGGAGTACTATATCAAGAAGTATATTATATACTTGCTCGAATTCGAGTGATGGCCAGTTTTCTCGACACTTGTGATGACCTTAAACATAAGAAATTATATTTATTTAGGAATTTTTTTGGAAGATATAATTACTACAATAAGTTAATAAAATAATAACGTGTGCTCATTCCGCACGTTTTGTGCGACCTTTTTCGGATATTTGATGTGACACGTTCTGTTGAATTGGATTAGCAGTTACTGAGCCGGAATTTGCCGACGTAAGGGTGACCGGAAATTAGGCCACCAGACATTAGGACGCGGGCATTAAAGGCCCCATTCACATGCGGATATGTACGGCGGATCTGTACGGCGGACATGTACGCGGGACAGATCCGTATCAATTCGTATGTGTGTATCCGCGTGTTCGGCGTATATATCTTGCTCGCCATCCGTCGATCAGGACGACGAGCACGGACAGCGAGCCCGACAAATCCGCACGTGTGTAGTCGTTTCACGGATTTGTTTGCCGGACATAGAATCACAAAATAGGAATTTCTTGAAAATATGTTTGGAAATTTAAGAAATCAAAATGGAAATGCGATTAATCCTACTCCAATTAAACAGTCATTAAAAAAATATTTTGTTTAAATTACTTTTGAATATAATGCAGGCGCAAACTGTGCTAAAGATTTGAATGATCTTTTGGGTAACTTTACAAACAAAATTGCGGAACAACACCGCACTAATGGTGACCGACTATTAGTCGAATACAATCCGATCAGTTACCTTTTGGTTTTTGGTGATATTTTAAAAGTGAAATTTGAAGACTACGGTGATATTAACATTCCAGAACAAAATGTGCATTTTTGGGGAACAATTTAAATACTGGTAAAGATTGTAGTGCCTTACTCCACCAACCAAGTACACCTAACTACTAATGAAATAATTTTATGCCATTTCCGAGCATATTCTGCCAAAAAATTGTGCAAATTATGAGGCGTTTCCAATTCTCTAAGTAAAGTCATATGAAGAGTACTTTTTCGATCACTGTTTTGACCACAGTGTCTTCTGTTTCCTATCTTCAAATAAAACCATATATCCTGTAATTTTGTCAGTTTCTTCTTATGATCCATAGCAATTACCACAGCACTCAAAACCACACAACCCAGGGGCTAGCACTACAGAACTGAAATAGTGAGAGAACGCCGCCTGCTCGTCTATTAAGATTTGTCCGTGATCTGTGTACAGACATATTCGCCTGTGTGTAGCTCAAGGCGGATCTGTCCGCCGTACAGATCCGCCGTACATATCCGCATGTGAATGGGGCCCTAGGGTGTAATGCAACCGGGCCTAAAGGTAGGTAGTATAACCAAGGGACTAAAAGCATGTGGTTTAAACCTGAGGGTGCTGTTTGTTTTTCAAAACAGAGATCGTGTAGTATGATCTTTGCCCAAAACGAAGTTGAGTTTCCTTTTCTGTAGAATGATGACACCTACCTTGATTGGTAGGTTGAAGCTTACTCAGCATTGCAATCGGTGACATGCATATAAAGCTTCCGGACCATATCGTGCAGATCGTTTTATACGCATGGTTGACGGTTTGCCAACGAAGTGATCGTAATGGATGGCAAATGGCGTAGTAGCGTTCGACGGATATGGCCACCAATGTCCACACTCCAACTGACACGGAGCAAGCTGAAACAAGCCAATAGGCAGCGTAAGAAATAAATACTTTTTTTATTGATTTAAAAAAATAGCACGCGTTTCCTAATTTGGTAATGCGGAAAAACAGATTCTAACCGTTTGTCCTACGCAGCGTAGCACAACAGCTAATCTCATTTGAAATGAGCAAACGCTTCGTTTCTTTATAGCAAATCTTTTCAGAGCATATTTTGATGCATCATAACTATCTCGTTTTCATCAGCTTGGCGATGGCCCTATTTTATGGTAATATGGCCGTGTCCTGGGATTTCCCCAATGGAAAAGAAATGACCTTGATAAAAGGGAATTTCCCGATTTAGTAGCTCTGAAGTGACCGTTTTTGTCGTTCAAGGTTGTGACCTTGGCGCCGCAAGTACCTTGTTGTCTTGAGGCTATAAATTAAGGCGTGTTTTGTTCTTATGGTGCCCCATTATTGCAAGCTAGTAATTTTGCTTTATTTTATTTTTAGTACCTACATATAACTGTATTATTTCGTCATCCAATTTGCATATTGTTTTAAACATATTATGTTCCTTGCTTTTTTTGTAAAAGTATTCTCTTAAGTTGTTTATTTGAGTTTCACCTTTGAATATTATATTCAAAGGTTTCACACAGCTTACGTAAGTTTATTATTCCTAATCCTCCTTGTGATGGTGGTAAAGTGATTCGGTTCTATTGCAGATTTTGGATGGTGCATTCAGTGTTTAGTCATAGCTGTTCTAATTTTCTTTTGGTTTCTTCTAGGTCTGTACGTGTGTCATGTGACTACGCGAGAATCGCCATTGCATATTCATTATTAACGAGCTCCTAGCGAGTTTATAATTTTGCGGTGGCTGTCCGTCTGTCCGTCCGTTAGCACGATATCTCGATAACGAATGGACCGATTACGATAAAATTTAGTCGATGGATTCTTTATCAAATTTCTAGATCGGAGTTCGTGAATTGGCGATGTAGCCCAAAAAATAAAGAAGGTCCTTTTGACAGCTCCGTGAGTTATGAACCGAATTGCTTGATATTCAATATGCGTATAGCTTTAACCATATAAAACGCAATTCTAAAAATTGAGCCTAATCGATCAACATTCACAGTGCCCTTTTCGCATCTCGACTTTTTTATTTAAGAAGGTATGGAATTTGATACATAGCCGCTTGGAATAAAAGCAAATTTTAAGGCCAGTTTCAAAATTTGGTTTTGAGCATGCGCAGTACCGACTTTCTTATTTATGGAGAGATTTAAATGAAATTTGATACATACGCACTCGGGACTTTATTACGTGGCAAATTGACTCGACGTACCTATAAGCAAACCATTTGACGAAGACGTCAAAATTTAATCGGCTATTTTTATGCACTAGGAATATTACGTTGAGAAATGTGACAAGTTGAATGTGTTTACTGATGTCTAAATTTTTCTTCAGAGATACAGTTGGTATTGTATCATCGAATAATACGCCCAAAGATTTGAAGGCTTAAGCGGTTGGAGATAAAATTAAATAAATGAATAAATAAATAATTAATTAATTTTTTCTCTTCGCACCACTTGCATAATCGTGCATAAGCTTGTTCATATTTAATTCGCGATTGTTCTGGCAAAAATGCCAAATCCACATTTGTTGCGGCTTCTTCTACGTCTGATGGCAGAGTTTCAGACTTACTCATGATATAGCAAAGAGAAATTATAATTAAAAGCAAAATTTTTGACGTACAAATTTTCTTGTTCCTATGGCGTCGAAAACTATGCTACTTTTTAAAAAATGCATCAAATTTCTTTTTCGGTTTTTAGCAGTAAAGAACAGTTGCAGATAATAAATATAATATATGACTATTTATTTCTTGGGAAACCGCACGTGATTGTGACTGCAGTGGTGATTTTGAAATGGATTTTCACGTGGGATAATAAGTTGCAAGGTTAACTAATTCGTGTCTAGGACATTTTCGTTGAATAACTACGGAGGGAAAAAACAATTTAAATAAAGAAATATTTACCCGATGGTCATCAGATTTGCGTGAGTAAAACTACTTATACCTTCTGATTGATACAAACTGAGTTGTTATGTGGAATTTCGTTTGTGTTTGCAAAGACTATTTGAACTCAATGTATGCTCACATACATGTACTGTACATAAATAAACATATTCTACTAACCTTGCAAATATGGCAAGAGTTTGCACATAAATTCGCCAAAGATGAAATCTCGCAAGAGCGCTCCAACAAGAGTAAACGGCATACACAATACGCCAAGTAGCAAATCCGAAACCGCCAAATTCAAAAGGAAAAGATTCGTGATGGTCCTCATCCGTTTGTTCTGCACCTGTAACAAGGAAAACGTAATCTATTACTCCTTCATTCAGTCACTGACTGAGTAAGAAAAGAATTCAATAGGCATATTTTCCAATAGCTAGTAAGGTAGTACAGTTTAAAGTGGCCATAATAGTTATTTGTATACCAAGGCTGCGAAATTATTATTTGGTGTATCGAGAGAATAAGTTTTGACCGAACTGTAAGCCGAGGCAAAAACTTCTCTCGATACACCAAACACATTTCGCAACCGCGGTGTACACAACATTTTTTTAATTAAGACATTTTAAGCGAACGCTTAATTGTACCGTAATTACACTAATGTCAGTGATAGAAAGCTATTCAAAGTGGAATGTGTCGAAGAATGAAGTACATGTTTCCTATTCTTTGTTGTGTAATTGCAATGTTCACAATTAAAGACTTTGGAAATGTTACGCGTTAGACGACGTTAACCGTAAAAACTACAATATTGATTACTTTTGACCCTTGTAAATAAACAAAAAAGCGGTTTTATCCCACCAGTAGTAATTATAATGATCTGCCACTAGAGGTAAATTAAAGCACAGAAATAGAAAAAATTGTAAGAAAAACGCGTGTTTACAATGCTTTATTGTAATACTCCTATCTTGCGAACACTCGTGGCTACGCTTCGCGTCACCACTCGTGCCACAAGATAGTCGTATTACAATAGGTCACATTGTAACACTTGTCTTTCAATATACTATTGTGCAAGCGCAATAATAAAAATAAACAATGTTTCAAATTTTCAATTTGATTTTTAAATTCCTTCTGTCAATTGTGGCCTGCCATGGGAAAGCGTACGTAATAGTGTTGCCATGGCTTTCCATTAATAAATTTTACACAAAATAGTCCAATTTTACTTATACGATATTGCTATAGGGCTAGCGGCCGCGAAATTCGATTTCACGCTTGCACAAAAATTCAGTTTTTACGGTCTATCTATAAACTGTAATCAATAGCAAAAAAAACATTTTTAAAATGTGAAATCTGAATCGATGAGGGGTATAGTTGATTCCTTTGCCGATTTAAATTGCGGTATTTCGCCAACCGCAGCATAATTTATCGGCCTACTAAGCATTATGAGACCAGGAAATGGCCAATAACTATAATATAAGGGATCAAATTCGGAAAAAAATTTGATATTTTTTTTATTATATCTGTTTAATGAAATATGGAGATGAATAAAGTACAGAAGCAGTTTAAAGCTTTTTAATTTTTTAATTAACGTATCCCAAGCAGAGAATAAATGAAAGTGACTAAAAGCCGAAAAGCTGCAAAATGATACAACTCTGAACAACAGAAATGTAAAGTAGGTACACTGGAAAAAATCTCGACCGTTGGAAGAGTAGCAAAACAGTTGCAAATCAGCATACGGATATGATGAAAGTGGATTTTTGATAATACAAATCAGTACTTTATTAGCAAAATTTAAAATTATCGATCTCACTAGTAATCTAACTCAAAATAGACTAGAGCTTGCACATCACTGCACTATAGCAGAAAGTTTTTAGTGAACATTTAAAGTCTCTAGTTATTGTAATTGCTGAGATCTCCGGGCACAGCACATAACGAATATTAGTAGTCTATTTTTTCAAAAATGTGCTAAACATAAGTAACCGCTACGACGAAGTGAACTGACCACAGCCATTCAGTCTTTAAAAAAAATGTAGTACATTGTAAATGTTTAAAGGGGGAGGCACCAACATTGTTGATTATGTTCCCGAATATCTTCAAGCGTTTAGCAGGGACAGAGAAGCGTGACCCAACCGGGTCATTGGATTTGACCCATTTTAAATAGGCTTTTTACATGTGGCATATAGGTCAACTCTGTGCAAAGTTTGAACTGAATAGGTTCAAGCGTTTAATAATATAATAAAAATAATAAATGACTTTATTAGACAATTTGTATACAGAGCCTGTCTAAATGGCGGAGTTCAGATAGGGATATTATCCCTGTCTGCTCTTCCGCTCAACCTTTAATTTATTGTATGTTAGTCACAAGGACTGTAATAAACGTTATTCTATTCTATTCTATATTTAATTAGACAGGTCATGATACATACAAAAAAACTCAACAAGCAAGACATTGACAATTACGATGTGGTTTACAAAGTAAGCTGTTAATTTTTTTTAACACAGAAATATTTTACATAGCAAAGCATTATTTATGAGTAATTTTGATAAAATAATGAGAAATACACCTGAAACTCAACTAACTCGTATATCATTAGATGAAAAAAACTCTGCTTTCGAATGGTGTCATTATAAACCCTCTAAGTTAACGTGGGGAGCAACGGATCTGCAAAAAACGTTTCTCCCATGTTAATTGCCTATGTTTGGTTTTAAAATATTCGCCCGATATATGACATTATATAATAACAATAAAAAACGAGCAACAAAACACAATTAAGTGCCCCTTCATACTGGTTTGATTAGCAGCGCTGCACTGCGTCCTGTCCTGCTGCTCAGCAGCGCTGCTAAGTCGCCCAGTATAAAGGAGCACTTACGAGTAGGTATTTACTTTGAATTTTGCAAGTATAAGCATATTGTCCCCTTTATTCATATGGGCCATATGCCACGTATGCATATAAGGCAATGGTGAGTTAAAAGATTTGGGCGTGCAATCTATATACCGTCAAAGTAAATAAAGCCCTTAAACAGCAGGCAACGCCAGGAATAATTAATTGAGTACACAATGTGTATCCTCAATTTTTAAGACAGTCTGCACCACGCGAATATCCTTTTGTTCTGCTCGACCAACGGCAACAAAGTTGGAAGACGTGTTTGTTCATCCATTGAACCGTGAAATACTTCCAAACTAAATCGAACGTAAAATGATTCCTTCCCTTTTAATTAAGATTTCGGTCTCACTAGCGAAACAATTCCTATACGTTTCAATATTTTCTTCCGCGACCCATCCTTTTGAAACATACAGTAAACGACCTTTTCCTTTGGAAACGATAAAAGCAACTTTATTGCGTTTTAATCAATTGAATTAAAACCTTTAGTGAAGTTTATAGACATCTGAAAGATATGAGAGATTCTCGACGTTTTGAAAGTTTATAAACAAAAATTTAACGAGAGCGTTTAAATAAAGTTCGCAATTTTTTTATGAATCACAAGTCTGGTTCTTTGAACGGTTTTTTTTGTTTAGTTTTGTTTTATATGGTAATGTTTCGAGGGTAAAGATATTGATTGGCTGCCTATATAAACGGGGGGTTTTGATAGCTCGCCACCATTTCATCCCTCTGTGCAGATTGGTTAGGTTGCCTAAAAATAAAGGGATGGCAATTATTTGCTTTTCCAAAGTAAATAATAATAGTTCCTATGTATACTTTTAATTTTCCATTTTACCTATGTAATATATCTATGTAGGTATATAAAAGTGTTAGCTAATACACTGACAGATAACGACAGATTTTGGGCGGTGATCATTAAGCGTGTGTCACCGCGCAGTTTTCTCTTTATATAGGTTAAAGGTAGCGTATAGGTATCATACGTCTGTTGAGCGGGCCAATCTATTTTTTTTTTGTAATTTTTCAGATTCTTACAACACAACAACAAAAGTTTATTCATAAACGTGTGCTATTAATACATTTGATATTTAATATTGACAGTCTTTCCCAATCAAATTTTTTTTAGCAATTTTTGACACATTACACAATAAATGCTACCAAGCGAATAGACAATGTAAAACGTCTGTCAACGACCATTATAATAATAATAATAATAATAATAATAATAACCTTAACAGCACCACAGGCTCACAAAATACTGCAATATCTCCACCAAAAACCCAAGCAACCTCACAAATACGACCTCAGGAACAAATAAACACCATAAATACAATTAAAAAACACAAAACTCCTTCTTCACAGAAACACACCACGTTATCACAACCCACTCGTATTCAACCCAAACGCAAAGCCAAAGAAACACTTACACAATAAACTCCATTTAATAAAATTACAGGAATTATTATAATGATTTTTTTTTGTTTTGTTTTGTTTTCCTCTTTCCTGATAGCGTTGGCTATTGTGCCCATCAATAGGTATGTTGGTTAAGTACGAATTACGTGTGTGATTTTTTTTATCTTTTATTTATTTATTTATTTATTTTTTTTTTAAGGACCCTACATAACTTCACCAGACACAGACACTAATCGTTACTTGATTTTAATCCGTGCGATTAGTTAACCAGGCTAGACCTGAGTTCTCACAAGAAACACCGACCATAATAATACATCAGAAACAATCCAACATATAATATCGGCATGCACACGACTTGCACAAACTGAATACAAACATCGACACGATCAGGTAGCTAAAATCATACATCAAAAATTAGCACTTAAACACAATCTCATAACAGATAAGACACCATACTACAAATACACGCCACAGATCATACTTGAAAACAACACACACAAATTATACAGGACAGGACACTACTCACAGACAAAACTACCCACAATAATAGACCAGATATTACACTTATAGATAAAACACAAAAATCCATTTGTATTATAGACATTGCCATACCCAACACTAACAACTTAACTAAAACACATGCAGAAAAACACCGTAAATACACCGATATAGCTATCGAGCTTAAGACGCAATGGAGAATGAAATCTACTGTTATAGTTCCCATTATTCTTAGTGCTACCGGAGTTATACCAAAGACAATACACCACAATTTACAACTATTAGGTTTAGACAAAAACACATACAAACATTTACAAAAAGCAGTCATTATCAACACATGCCATATTGTTCGTAAATTTCTAAACATAACACAAGATACTACATACACAAATGATCCACAACGTATACATGTAAACAACAGTACTCGCTCACAACACGGTACACAACATACTGTAATATCTCCACCTCTAACCCAAACAAACACACAAATACAGCTTACCGAACAAACAAGTACAACAAATGATACAACATATACTACAATCAGAGATTCACCTCTGAAGCAAACCACATTACCACGACCCATTAGTATTCAACCCAA